CCGGCCAATCGATGTTGAGTATCTTGCGTAGACAGCTATTTATAAATACTTGTACCTTCTTGATGATGGTTGTTGTAGTTCTCCAAGTTTCAGCTCCGTACAGTAGAACTGTCTTTACGTTGGTATTGAAGATTCTCACTTTGATATTGGTTGAAAGTTGTTTTGAGTTCCATATGTTCTTCAATTGAAGGAATGTGGCCCTTGCTTTGCCAATCCTCGCCTTCACGTCTGCATCTGATCCTCCTTGTTCATCGATGATGCTTCCCAGGTATGTGAAGAATTCTACATCTTCCAGAGTTTCGCCATCAAGAGTGATTGGATTGCTGTTCTCCGTGTTGTATTTTAGGACCTTGGTTTTCCCCTTGTGTATGTTGGGGCCTACTGATGCAGAGACTCCTGCTACACAGTCCCTGTCATCCCATGATATCTTCATATCCGGTGTTGTCTATTCCAACTTTGACATTTAGATCTCCCATCGGAATGGTGAGGTCCTTTCTTGGACACTTCTCTATGATTGACTGCAGCCGCTCGTAGAATTGATCTTTAATGTCGTCGTTGCCATCATTGGTGGGTGCATAAAATTGGATAATATTCATTGTGATCCCCTCCTTCTTTGTTTTAAATGATGCTTTGATGATTCTGGATCCGTGAGACTCCCACTCTACAAGTGCATTCCGTGCTACTTTGGACAACATTAGAGCAACTCCCTGAGTGTGCGGAGCATTTTCCTCTTCATGACCGGAGTATACCAGCATCTTTCCCGTATTTAGCCTTTGTTGTCCAGTTTGGGTCCAATGGGTTTCGCTGATTACCAGTACTGCCAAGTTGTATCTCCTCATATCCGTTGCTATTTGACTGGTCCTCCCGGTCTCCCACATTGTCCGGACGTTCCATGTACCTATAAAAATTGTTTCTCTGGTTTTTAGAAGGGGCATCGGCCTCGTGGCTTCCGAGGGAACTCGGCTTTCCCCACGAGGCGACATATTTCTTCTAAATGAAGACCTTCTAAATTCCAGTACAGAGTTTAAATGGTTTGAATTATTTTTTTCTGGTAAGCGTTTTTTTAGCGAGTTAGTTTTCTACGGGATGGGGTCGCTAACCCCATTCCCAACCCTCCTCCTTTACCCCGGGCTTGGGACCGACAGTAACTCTAGAAGAGCTACAGGCGGAGCTATTGTCAACAGTGGTGCAGTATAAATCACTGTTATGATCTTTTTAGTTTTGTGTTCAGTTCCGAAATCTGGAATAAATTCCAAGATAATTTTAAACTAAATTTTTTTAAAATCTTTTGTTCAAATATGGTTTCCCACCGTTGATCTTGATAAATTTTTATCCGAATTTATTCAGGTGAACTCTCGCAAACACGCGATGCTGTAGCATTGATTTTAAGCAAGATTGCTGAGGATCCCCAATCGTCCAGCTGTCCAAATATATCTTACTCCGAGATAATCGGACCAGTAGCAAGTGCTTATCCCACCGGCTCACCTTATGCTTTAGCAGTTGGCTCGCATCCAGGATTACCTGCATGCGGAATGGGTTTTGGTTCAGATATGCATTTCAGAGCAGCATCAGGCTCAAATTCCAGCTTTTCACCTCCTCATATTAATTCTCTTTCGCCTGTAAGCCCAACTACCTCGAATCCAGCTTCTGGATCCATTTTCGGCGGAAGTTCCTCTCCAGCTGTTGCTGCTGCTATGGCTGCTATGAGTGCAGTTGCTGCCTGTTCTCCAAACGCCAAGTCATCGTCTGCATTAGTTCCAAATGGTGGTCGAGCATTGATGGGTCGTGGTGTGGCTAGTACACATTCAAGTAATCACCAAACTATTACTCATTCCCCTCATAGCCTTTTAGGATCTGTCGCGACACATTATAATGCTAGGATTTCGCCGACTTATGGACCACCCAGACCTATCTCTTCACCTAATTCTGGTATGGGTCTTGAGGGGATACGTAGTGTTTTAAAAAGTGCTGGGTATTCTGACGTAGCAACAGACGAGATTGCTAATGCCATGGATGTATTGAGCCTATATGGTTTTATTTCGATGTCCAGCTTAACTGGATGCATTAATTCTTCACCGATGATTAATTCATCTTCAAACAATCATTTTACTGTAAATTCCAATACGTTAAGTGGATTAGGCAAATCATTTACGAACCTTGACTCGGGTGGTCAGCAATCTCCAGTTTTGTCAAACAGTTTTCATTCTAACGATCTTTCATTGCACAACTTTCGAAATCTTGCGGCAGCATCCATACAGAATTGTGTCCCTTCTCAACCCAGTCAGATCTACACGCATAGGCGATCTTCATTCTCTTCGTACCAACCTGTTAGTATGAATTCACACGCACGCGCAAATCATTTAACCGTTACAACGTGCAACAGTATTAACAATAATATTGAGGTCATTCCAGTAATTAAAGAGTTGAACGTACAGGATTCACTTTGCGCCTCATCTGATCCGACGGTTCGTGGATCGGTAGAAAGCCATAATTTAGATATAACCACAGGTTTATATTCTATTACTTCATGTGAAAGATTAAATCCGAAAAGTTCCACCCAGTCTCCTGTTTTGGGGATTCGAGCTGTATCTCCTATATCCAATATTTCAATACCACTTAAACGGAATGGTGTGGTCACTGATAGTTCTGCTAATGGTTTAATACCTCGCCGAGTTTCGGATGGGAGTGTAGGTGAAGAGCATAATAAAAAGAACGGAATTTGTTGTAGTACAGCTTCCATAAATAATGACACTAGTCGAACGAATAGTTTATGGAATTTATAACATTTATAGGCATCTAACTTTGTGTGTGTAAATGTTTCTGTGGCACTTAACCTTGAATTTATTACTACTTGGTTTATACTATACTCACTAAAAAAATACCTCGACTCCATTGTCTTTGTTGTCATTGCATCATCACTCACTTATCTTAATGTAAAATTTAACTTGCTTTTTCTCTCAACGCACATCCTCATCTACATTATGACTATTCGGCTTTGCAATTCAAAAATAATTGTGAGTAGTGCTTTTTTATTTCGTGGTTTTATTTTGGTTTAGATTTTCCCGTTTTTCTTGTCTTTCCAATTATTAATATTGCTATATTATTTCAACGTATTGTTGTTCGTGTGCCTTCTACAAAGGAGAATAAGAATTTTAAGTCACAGAGTTGTTATATCTCTTTCTTTATACATGGAACCATGTGTTGTGCCATGTTTTGTCTTCATTTTTGACGTGACGTTCATCATTATTATCGTCATCGTTTTTTTACTACGTTTGCTCATCCTTTATTCTTCACAGTTAAATAAGATAATAGGAAACTCGACCATTCGTATTTACGACATTCACATTCATATTTAAATAATTCCACGTAATCATCATACAAATGAAAGAAATGCACCCATTTCATTGTGAACCCAAAGCTACCTATAGATGTCATTTTTTTCATTTGTTGTCAGTTATTTCAGTCATATTTTTATGTCGGACCGGTCGTACCAAACGTTCGCTTGTCTTCCTTATAGTCTTTCTCTCCGACTGACTTTAGTTAATGTTGTGTTTGATATTATTTATTATTACTACTATTATTATGTACCTGCTTACTTCATCCAGAATGATTTTTGTGATTTATTCTTGACTTGAGTTTCATAGTTATCATCCTTTGTCACCCGTTGCACCTTTTTGCTTGGAATTATCCTGGAAATGTACTAATCTTTCATATTCATCCATATTGCGATTTTCCAGTGCCTCGATACACAAACAAACCATAATATAAACACATCCAACTTAGTTTTATTTTATTGCGTGTATAAACTAAAAAGTATTCAAATTTATTCAAAATCTGCCTTCAGAACACATCATCTCAAAACTAAATTCATCTTTGCTTTCTCAAATAGCCTGTGATATTGTATCTGTCATTTTTCTGAGGTCTTCCGACTTCTGCAAAGCTATGTAACTTTTTTATGACATGAACAAGATTCTCTTATTTATGACAGACATCAACGCCACTTTCAAAGCGTTTTCAAAGTAAGTATCATGGAATTCATACGTGTTAGTTTGCATACGTCACGAAATCATACATATTTAAAATTTCATGCACATTGTTCGGTTGGAGGTTTTTTTCTAAGTACATTGCTATTGATCCCCTAATATCATTACTATTTATTCGAGATACTTTAACGTCACCTCTGTTATCGTTTGGATGTTACACTCATATTTGTTTCTTCCGTCTTAATTTTTTCCTGTTCCTTTCTCTGTCCACCTCGTTATTCAGTTTCATCCCTTTACTTCACTAACCACTAGTTGTCTTAAACTTTCCAACTGTTTTTGCTTGTTTGTTATGCTTCTGCTTGTTCGCTTTCGAAATCTAAAACTCAATCTATTTTCGAAATTATGATAGATGATTTCCAGTTTGTTTCATCCTTTTTTTTAATTGCATCGCCAGTTATTCACTATCACGGTTTTCTTCGATTCATTTAAGTGTCGAGTTTTGTATGGAATACATGATATGCATCGCACTTCACCATTGGCTTTTGTTTTTCTTTTGACCTCGTTTATGAACAAGTTAATGTAGTTGTTGTTGATGCTCTAAAACAAATAGTTGAGTATTGTGACCTATTGTCGTTTGTCTCGATAGCTAAAGCTATAATTACATTCTCAAGATTGGTTTTAGGTCAAGCATTTCACCAAGATTCCAGTTACTGCTGTTTGAAGTACCATTTCAAATTTTAAGAATAGTCATTTTTACTCAGGTTTCCTAAGCATTGTTCCTATCTGAATCATGCGAGAAGTTACTTTGGGTCTTTTGATGTCAAAAATATCTATTTGAGAATAAATCTATGGATGAAAAGTGATTTCGATCTCAAACTAGAGGTTAAAAAAACCAAGCGACGAAAACACAATGTTGCTTCTTGACAACTATCCCATAAAATCTACGAGAAATTTCCATGCTGATAATAGCAGATTTTAAGAAATATTCTTAAATGGAAGCATCAAGAAAGATAGTAATAATACAAAGTAAAAAAACAAATGTATTATCTCGTTAAGTGCATCTAGAATTCCCAAACTTGTATTGATAGTTCGCTGTTCATAATCAATCTATGCTATTTTAAATAAAAACAGTAGCAAGTTGATTTCTCTGGTGAACGTTTGACTAGAATCTAACAATTGTATACTAGGTTATGCTCTGGTGGCTCTCACTTTTCATTTCCGATTGGAATAAAAGTCCCTGTTTCTCCATCGCGAACAACTTCACTTGGCTGGTAGAACTGACCATGCATTGCTATGAAAATTCCTGGCTTCTTTGACATTATCAGTCCACCAATTGCAAATGCTACGTTGAAGTCGGCATCTGTATTTTTGAATACACCGGGTCGAAAAGCACCTAGATCGAAAAGTTGTGGATTTTAGTAACGTAAATCGAGTTCAGAAATTTTAAATTACTTTTTAAAAACTCGAAGACTAAATCAAGTAAAGAGTATACAAATGGGACTTCTTGAGAATTAATATGACTGGGTTTTGTCGCTTGTTTCTTTTACAATGCTACTAGAGAATTAAGTTTGTATGGGTTTTACACTTCACTCATGTTGTCAATTCACCAGTACTGCTCTCCAGCACTGATTAGGTTTACTTAAATTAATGCAGTTTAAGCGAACAAACTACAGATCTCAATAAATGTGATTCTACAAACGAAATGGTAGTTTATTTCTTATGATTAGCAGTCACTCTGCAAATAACTCGATGTATATATATATATATATATATATATATATATATATATATATATATATATATATATTTGAAACAGCACAACAGTATGATTGGTACTGTTATTATTTGTTGTTCTCTCTAGGTATCTTATAGACTTTATTTTACTGATGATAGTGGGGCGATTATAGGGGATGTACATTTTTGTCAAATCATGACTGAAGTGACCATTTTGGTGGAAAATCAAGAGACATCGCATGTGAAATTGATATACCACATTAGTACACTTGTTTAAGTTATTAAAATAACTGATCTTAAATCCAATGCAATCTATAATTAACAGTTCAGTTATCAAAGAAGAGAAATTTAAAATTACTATTCCTAAGAGATGAGCCATTTAGCAAAATGAGAAGAAATCTCAACGCCTTAGATACCAGTGAGCACGTATGATTTTAAAAAATAATAAATGTCAGCTACTACCCTACATTTAAATCACACTGACACTACATACTTGTATGGGTAATGAACAGATAAGGTATGATGTCAATATGTATCGTCACTTTTAAACGAAAGAATTACATTGCAGAAGCTTGAATTATATATATAGTACCCAGTTATTATTCCGATCTACTAACAAATGCGACGAATGTTTAGAAAATCTTACTCTGTTAGCTTGTCGATTTGTAACATAATATAAACAGGTCCTATCTCGTACATGAGGTATGACTGTATGGTTCAAAATCTGAACAAATTATTTAACGTTTGTGGTGTTTTCGAAGACTTATCTCTCAATGTGACATCGAGTACATCCTTCCTTTTAGCAGCACATAGTTGATGAAGGCACTCATTCTCATTAATATAAATATGAATCACAACGCCAAGTACAAAACCGTAATTGCTAGGTAAACTTCATCATCCATAGCAAAAAGACATTACATTCTATGAATATGAGTAAATAAGGGTTGCAAATCATGAATGTTCATCATATTGATGTCCTTTTCTCACATTAGAATGAAAATCATATTTTTATGCTAATAATTACTATAATGATTATATTCTAGCAAACTTAAGTAGAATCTGAAGTTGATAAGGGTCATTAACTGAAACACAATCCCTGAATAACTTTATATATCACGCACATGTCAAAAATCACTTGTTTGCAGAAAAATGAAACATTCTCCAAGTCAATCAACGGAGAAAATCTTTTCAATACGTTCGTCAAAAAAATAAACTAGACAATGTACCTGTTATCACAATACATTTGTTTTTAAGCTTCTCTTCATAATTAGTTAAATACTGTGCAGTTTCAATCATTGTATCCGTTCCATGAGTGATAAGTATCTTCAATAACCAGAAAAATTAATAACTGCTTATTTGGATGTCACCTTCTCAAACTGAGTATCAATCAATAAATTAATAAGTTCGGATCTATCTTCCATTGAGATTTCTAAGCTATCCTTTAAAAATGGTTTGGTGAGTTGAAATTTTATGTAATCCGGCAATGTATATCTACTGCAAATCTCCATGGCATAACTATTGCCGATTTCAAAGGCATAACCCCCAATATTTTTAGGATAACACTTATCTATTGTACCTGGAAGCGTATCAGTTACAAGTTAATTTGACTTCACCTCCTGTTTGAACAATCAAAATCTCCATTTTTGAGTTTAATATTTAGAAAATGACTTAAATTAACAATTAAATCAATATGGACTGTGATCACTATGTCATTCAGCCAATCTCAAATTTGATGGATCGTATAAACACTAATCACAATCACTTAAATTATGGGCTAAACAATTTATTCACTGATTAGAGCTCATAAATTCACTTCATTTAAATTAAAGTACTATTCCCACTAAACATCAAGATGAAAGTTGTTTATATCATTCGAAAATTAACGGTTAACTTTATTTTTCAATTATTTGTTAATTCCATAACACTATATGCTACATACGGACAGATTCAAATGGAGTTAACTGATTCGAGTGGAATGAATTCTGGGATGGGATATACTAATGTCGTGCCTGGTGATTCTATTCAAGTTACTCAAATGGGTCCAAATGCAATAACTACATCTGATTCATCTCAAGTACCAACACCTGTTCAAAGTACAGTTTCTGTAAGTGCAGAAAATGTAGGTGGTGAAGATTTTGCAGCTGGAACTCGAAACTCAAATATCCAACCAGCATCTTCAGTTGTTGGAATCTTCCCATCATATCGTCCGCAATATGGATTTCCAGGTTATTTTCCAACTGTTCCCCCAGGGAAAGGAATTGTACCCGGTATCAACTCACCATCAGACAACATAATTGTTGCTTCTTTCCCTGGGGGTACTCCATCTGTCACACAGCCAGGAAATGCTGGATTTCCAGGTGGAGTTTTACCAGTTACACCAGGAGTAAAATCAGGTTCTTCAGTTTCTCCAACTGCCACACTTACTCAGCAAACTGTAGAATCTGTTTTGTCATACCTAGCCTTACATCATCCGGAAATATTTCGTAAATATTTATATCCTAAGCCCTATCAAAGGCCGTACATCGGTAGTTATGTTCCAAGATGGTTGAGAGAAATTCCACCTCCGTACAAATATGGTGATGATGGAGTCAACCAGCCATATGGGGACGCCTATCAACCTGATCCTTATGATTACTATGATCCAGTTGATTCAGACCTACACTATTGGCCAAGAAGAAAGAAACTATTGGGTGGGCTAAGACGTAGGAGACGATACAACATATATAGACGTTTTACCTAAAAACAAATTTAGTAGTACTTTTTGAGCGTATACTTTAAAATATGTGCACAATAAAACCGCTGTATTCAGTGTACTCGCTACTCGTTGCGTTACTGCAGTTGACTCGTTTTCTTCTCTTCCCCTCATGGCTATAATTGCTTTTATGTTTCTCCGAACTTTTCGTTCTGTTTTGTGTCTGTGAATATGTGTTTTGTCTTTTAATTCTTGCTGGGCAGTGTAAAATTTGTTGGTTCTTTTTGCACTTCTATTTATCAAGTTAGTCAGGTGAGTATCTAAATTTTAATAGTCGTTCCTTTTACCCAAGCCGTTAATTTCCAGAGTAAAACACCCTGGTGGCTCAAAGTCTGTTGTTCAAACTGATGATAGCGTTAGTATGTTGTTCCAGTAATTTTCAGACGTGTCATATTCCATGATCAGTTTTAATAGGTCTTAACTCGGTATTAGACCGAAAAACTCTATTTTTATGTTGGGATTTTGTTGCCAAATTCGTAGGTGTTATCCGGTATTTCGGGTGTTCCCAGTGGTGAATAATTGTCTTCAATATGGCAGACCAAATATGTCATTAATAAAAATAGTAATAGAGATTAGATAAACTTTGTAAAATTTTTCTGCTACCGTTCTCACACCATCACCGTCTTATCCAGTAATATGAGGTTTGGTAATTATCCAATATCGTATTTTAAAAATCAATGTTAAAGGACCCTCTCAATTTGTTAGCAGGTGTAGAGTGCTTTTAGTTGCCAGGTTGTCTGAGTACGTAACCAGTTTAACTATTGTCAGTTTTGTGTATTTAGCATTCAGCATATTACTTGCAAGTATCTACGTTTTTAGGTAGTTCCTAAGATCACGATCTCTCAAAAAATGGCATTTAGTTGTATCTATTTCCCGTCGTACTATGGTTATGTTAATCGTACGTACGCCTACAAGTCTCCTTTGTCTTAAGGCTAGAGACCTCGGACTCTCAGCTTACGCGAAAGAAGTTATTTTCAGGCGTATATCTGTTTAGGACTGTATAATAAGTTTTGCTCATATCATGTTTACCAGAAGGAACAGCACAAAATTTCTATTTTCAATACGCAAGTGTTTGTGCCAGTATCCTCGAACTCCACTTTAATCATACATAGAACGTTCGGCCCATGAGCTCTTTTATTATTAGATTTGCTTCCGATTTCCAAAGTCTTCATAATAATTCTCAGACCTAATTTGGATTTTGCGTTATCACAATTTCCTTCAGGGATTGGAACTTTGTATATCATCTTCGAAACTTTCATAGGTCTGCTACGTGCCCTATAACAGTGCTTTTTATATGTATGAAAGCCTGTAAACAGTAAGCAATAAAGCAGTTACTGTAGCGAGTTCTCATTGATTTTTCGTGAATATTAAGAAAAAATTTTGCAGGTTTCAATAGTTTGAGATAGTTCGTTAGATGATTTCCGAATAGATGCATAAGTAGTGAGCATTAAAAATAGAGAATTATTTGAAGACTGAGCGGATGTGAGCACAAATTGAAAGCTCCAGAAGCTGTTCCTCGCTATTTTGTCTCAGTCGATCAGACATTACTGTATCCTGACCACTACAAGCCATATTTTTTGGGGTTCCAAAATTGATATATGCTTCGTCTTTAAGACACCTATCGTAGTGTGGTCCTTCACTTAACCTAGCATAGTTACTATAAAGAGCCAACACAATATACCCTTCCTGTATCTGAAGACGTGACAAAAATTTCTCGTGGCCTTGATAGTGCAAATATAGCATCAAGTCTGAAGACAGAACAAATACATCTTGTCTAGATCCCTGTTGATAGTCGCTTATGCTCCGTCTGTCGCAAATAGTACGGTGAAAACTTGAAAAGACAGAGACATGTCATAACCTCTTTATCGTCTCTGTCTGTGTCCCCACCGACTGCAATAAGTGAGTTTTACTAAAAAGCATTAGAACCTACAGAAAAACTAGGCTCTCGGAATTGGTGATCTTAGCAAATGATTTTAACGTCCATGCCATACTGAAAAAATGATTAGTTTGGTCTCATAGTGTTCGCGGTCAGTAAGCAATTAATGATGACCATCTGCTGCAATTGTCCTCAGATAATCTATTATTCCTAGCAAGTGCAAGCCTTTGGCATAGAGGGAGATATTATTTCATCTGGAAGCCCGAAATATTAGCACATCACTGGACGCATTCGATTACTATCAACCGTCTTTGGACAGGCTTTGTAGATTTTCACTCCTACAGTATCCGGATAGACTACGATCATGCCATAGCCAAAACACGTATTTCTATGCATTTTTACTGGATATAGGCAAGTCAAAACAGAAAGATCCTTCAGATATCAATCCGGAAATGTGAAGGTTAAGGATGCATTCAGGGAAGAATTTGCTTAGCATCTAGTCGATTGTAGAAAAACGGTTCATCCTGAAAAAGCTTGGGTAAATGCCCATCTAGCTGTAAAGATAGAAGTGGCATCTACCAACAGCTCATATCAAAAGGTTGCGAAAGATCTTTGGACTTTAGTATCACCTACTGAATTGATAGATGTTCGAAAACTCACCTAGCTAGGCTCGAAGAAAAACGAAGAGTGGCGATAACTTAAGCGTAAACTAACAGGACGTTTTACAGATTATCGCGGTCAGTGGTGAATGATGAATTTAAAAGGGATAGAAAAGGTAGGGACTATACATAATGTTAGACAACTATTCCGATTGATCAAAAAAACAGGTATTAGGACTATCGGAAAAAGACGGTTCCTCTTTACTCCCTGTCCAGGAGATTAAACCTATGAGGAAAACACTTTGAGGAACAGTCCAACTAGCCTCCAGTTACCCGATATCTCCAAACAACTTGAATGGGAAATCGACACAAGTCCTTCAACTCTTAATGAGATTGAAAAGGCTATATCCATTTTTAATCTGAAGAGAGCAGTGTACCATGATGGATTAACTCCAGAGATATTCACAGGTGGTTTTTCAGTTGTAGCGAATAAGATGTCTAAGATAATAGCTAGATCTCGGGAAATAGATGTAATCCTATTTAACTGATATCGATGACTGATCGTCCCAGTTTTTAAAAGAGTGCAGAAATCGTCTCATAACAATCATATAGGAATCAGTTTGACCAGTATAGTATCTGAAATACTAGTCTCCATGATTAGCAGACGCTCAACTAGCGCTCGTGAAGAACGACCCTGGGAAGAACAATCTGGTTTCAGACATGAACGTGGATGCATTGACCAACTTTTTGTTCTCCATCCGATTTTAGAAAATAAGTTTATTTACCGACGCCCCAATTTAGTTGTACTTTTCGACGTTAAGGTATCGTTCAATTTCGTTGACCAGATGGTTTTACGGCAATTTTTGTTATTGAAAAGTCTTCCAAATAAACAAATACATTTAAAGGCTGTCTACTCGAATTAGTCGTCCAAGTTATAAATCTTCATCGACTGAAGTGGTTAGTACATATATTACGTATTCTTTACGCACCACTTGCTTCGACAAGGGATGTTAGCTGATTTATGAGTAGGTTAGTAGAAAGCTAAGGGTGACTAAATCAAGAAATAAAGTCTATGACTGTTGATTTGAGGCATGTAAGTAGTTGCAGACTACTTTCTTGGGGTCCATGAGTTAATTGTGATCAGTAGTTGAAGACGTTAGGTGAATTCCCTTAGAATCGTTCATGACCACACAACCCATTCACCCTTTATCTTTCTCCAGATCTTTAGTCCCGAAATTTTTTTATGTATATGCCTTTTAGTTCTTTATTTTTGAATCATTCTCAATGTTTAGTCTCCCAGTACTACATTATTTTGATTCCTATGATACTCATTTTGTTAATTTCATCTCGTGCTAATGCAGTATGGTAAAGTGGTGTGACGTACACTTATGCCAAACCCTAGGTCAATGATGACCATCTACCGACTGGCACATGATTATAATAGGGAGCATTATAATACCCACAAAAATAAGACTCCCCAGCAAACCCTTTTTCCTTATGCTCATATTGTCATTTATTTAATGATAAGTACTTGCATTTGTAGTACTCCAGATAGTGATTAGTATTTTATTTCACCTCATCAAAGTGGATATAACTAAATTCATTTCCTTTGTCACTTGGTTCAGTGACGAATTTCCAGGCTCTGTTTATTAAACTCTTGGCCGATATAATCTACAACGGCCACTGCTTTTTGGATATAGAGATCTTTTCAACATTTACACATCCCAAGTATTTTTACAAACTTTTTATCGTCTGGCGATTATAAAAATATATGTTAAAAATTACGAAATAACAATCTCGGATATTAAAACGATGGAGCTCAAGTGGATTTTTTTATTGACGTTATATTTTCGTAGATAAATGCTTTAAATGTTAAGCTTTTTTATCGTTCTAAGCAACATCATCAAGACTTTTCATTTGTTCCGCCAATACTAAATAAGTTTATTCTGATGCCGTTGTTTATGAATTGGTATTTTCACATGTCCTTGCATTTCTATTGATTGTCTTGTTCAGTTGAACTTTGATAGATTGGATCCACATCGGTGCCTATCGGCTGCCAGCTAACTTAACTATCGTGCTTTTAGAAACTCATTTTCTCAGAACTCTATTGATCCGTATTTACGACATTTTAGTCAAGTACGTGTTCATGATTGTCTGTGTATTGATTTTAGTCTTCACAACACATCGCTTCACCACTAATTAATGTTCGTGTTTGTGTAAGTGAAGGTGTGTTATGTATGTCCTGGATGGTGTTCCTTACTGTTGGCGCAATTTGTTTTGGAAATGTTGGATTTGTCTTCTTTTGATGTCGTTTTTATATCACATATAATTAAATGACTGATATCGCGCTTTTTCAGTCTGCATGAATGGGACTGGAGTAATCGCGTTGGTTTGTGAGAGATACTGGTTGGTAAGGTTTCAGAATTATTGTCGTTTCGACATGTTTCTTGGATTTCTGGGTTGATTTCTCTACGATATGTCGATTCACCGGATATATTTTGAAGAAGTTCCTGGGATAGCCATTTCTATGGAGGACCGATAACTTGAGTTTCTCGATTTTTTCGTATAGTTTGTGTACTGCAGTGAGTTTCGCCCGTTCTTAATGTTGTCTGTTTATAACCTCTCTTACAATTTGAAGCTGTTACTATTTAAAGTCAATATTTTATTAAAAGTAATATTAGTGGATAAAGTTAAATCTTATTCCCATTGTTGATTTCACTTAACCTACGCAACCATCTTTTGTTATAGTACTCTACTGCCAAATTCTTCGGTAGTACAAACGTAGGCTTTTTAAGTGAACCAATTCCAGACTTTATATTAGGACATGTAAGTAACGATGTATGGTATTGTTTATTTTGTATGTTTTTTTATTATCGTATATAGTATTCGCAAGAATCACCTTAAAAAGATGAATCAGATGCCCAGTTCTTTTAATTAAAGTAAATGTGTTTTGCAATATTGAACTATGTGATTTGTTATTCGTTAAGTCCTTTTGGCCCATTTTTATAGTTTATCTTTACTTACAATTCAATTCAGTTATTATTATTGTTATTTTCTAGTCCTAGATTTGGTTCAATATTCGTTGGGATCATTACCCATAGCTGCTATATATGGTCACATATTTTTGTGACTATCGTTTATTTACTTATCGCTATCAATCTATTTATTCACCTGGAGAAACGATTGGATTACATTTTTATTGTAAAAAATGGATTTTTCCACATGAAAAGTCAATCTAGTGAATTTTCACCAGATTATCTGCCAATCAGTTATAATAACATTCATAAAAGTAGTGTTCCTGCTATTAACACTACACATCATGGTGACAATAACAGCAGTAATCGTAATAATAACGTTTTAGCATTTAATCAATGTTCATCAGATATTCCACAACCTTTAAGCAATCTTGTGATTCCTTCAGTTTGTATAGCACGTAAACTTATTTGGTGCAATCAAAAGGTATGTGGAATTTAATTTAATTACAAAGCTAATTACTTATATACTTAATTGTTAAGTGTGATAATCCTGATTGTTTAGTGTTCGCGAACCTTTTTCATTTCGATGGAATGTGTAATTTTTCCAGATACAAGCTTGGCTTACGAGGTTGTTCAATGGACTGGTGGTCAGTTTTTAAGGTGATTTTTGATCAGATCAACGTGAAAGAGTCTAACTTGTATCTATTTTGGACTATATATATAACTATTTAGTTCATACGTGTATGTGAAAAGATAAATAAGTGACATAATCTTCATGAGTTAATTGCTTTCCACTGAAGTTTCCCTACATTCGGAATGTCAAATTTATACCATTATAGTTTTATCAGTATAACAAATGGCTCTTGTCACAGAGTTAACAAGTTTGTTTTCAAAGAACAAATGCCAGACTGATGATTTATTATTTAAAGAAACCACAGTCTGTGGATGATAATAAATATTTTCATCTGTGCCGAGAATTCTATATTGTACCGAAATATAATATTGAATAAATAATAAAAATAATAATAATAATAATAATGATAATAATAATAATATTATTATTATTATTTAAGCATTCAAAACCACCTCTTCTGTGGTTATAACAGACGTCTATTGTCAAATATTTTCTTTAAAGAAACGAAAGCAGTTAGTTAATTACGTGTTATACTAAAGAATTGTTTTCGTGTGTTTTCAGGATATGGTTATGTGTAAAAATTGTTTACTGTCTTTAAAACGTTTCATTTTCGAATAATCCTTTTTTAAAATTAAAAGGAAGTTGCTGAGCTTTTGCTAGGAGCATGTGTACACCCCAACTGGCTTTCATCAGTTATTCAAGTTCGGTAAGTACTTTTATAATGTTAATAAATTCTACTCAATGAAATAAGATCCGTTTAAGTATGTCATCTGCATATATTATGTAAGCAGGGACAATACTCTATAGTCGCACAAGCTTATATTACTAATCACAATTCAATCTTTCTGCTTAGGTTTATAGATTCAAATTCCACAAAAAGCATTATTTATCCAAAGTTTGTGTATTTGTTTTTCTAACCAGTACTAACTAACATAAGACTTTCTACTGATTTCTTCCAGCCATCTGACAACCTAACACCTCATTATTCACCATTTTAAACACATTTGAGAAATGTTATTGTTCAGTATTCAAATCATCAGGGAGTTAATTTGAAAAAAAATCATGTTGTAGCCATGACTCCTAGATTACTGACTGAATTATAGTCGAATATTCAATTATATTACTGTCATGCAGAAAGGGTTTTATTACAAATTAGAACTGGAACAGTTTGACCTGCCTCATATTTTCCATCATACGTAAACATAAGTTCTGAGCTTTGTCGAATCGAATCCATCTTAGTCGTTACTTTATTTGATATGTGAAGGAAGGAAGAAAGGACCTTTCCAAAGTTTAGTTAAAATACTGGTTAACGTTGTTAATCACTTATTTTCCTTTATTTTTTTAAGGGGAGACTGTGCCTAGAAACACAAATCCATTACTCGTTTTTCATTCATTTTCACTTTCGAAATACGTATACACGTTCTGTTGCCTTTTCATAGGCATTTATAGATATATCCTGTAGACTACTGAAGAGCGCACTTCGATCAATAAGGATAATCAGGCTGTTATAAAATTTTAATATTAGTAATTTCATATTGCTTCATGTCTTTTAGATTCTTTTTACTATTATTCATTGAAATATTTTAAAACAGTCCTAGAAATGGTTCTATTATTTTTTATCGACGAGAATTGGCCACCGTAGCACGTAAACAAGATGGTTATTTATGGAAAAAGAAACCAAATCGACGTACTACTAAAGAAGTTCACATGGTCCTTAAAGTTCAAGGGATCGAGGTCAGTGTAATGACTTTTTTCCAGATGACTGTTTGACTAAAGGTAGTTTAAAGACATTTTCCAACATCATGGAACGCTTAATGGATTATCCTAGCAAGTTTCAATCAGATTTAGGAAATATGTGCAAAATGTATTTCTTATGATGAGAAATGTTTTTAGCTCATAGGAGGATTTATTTCATATTTACAAATGTTATGCTAACATGATAAGTTTCATGTATGATTGCACGGATATATACGGAATGAAGATGTGTATAATTGCGTTCTAATTAAAAAAATTGATTCCCAGATTTACTTTTAGTATTCACACCAGTTTCACAGCAGCTGACGTTACAAATGCCATCATTCGTATGTCCATTACTGACCTATTTCTTCGACACTTGAACTCGGAATAAAAATGGGAGGAGAGGAATATTAAACCAGGCCTACTTCGAGGATAGTTTCTGTACAGAAAACAGGGGTTTATATAAAACTGAAGGGGACCTGGCGATTCGAGAGGTTTTTAGAAAGGATAATAAAATTGTTAATAAGTTTTCAAATTATTCATTTAGATTAAATAAAAGCCTAAAAAACTGCTTTATAAGTTTTTTAGAAGATTCTTAGCACGTCTAATTGATAAGTATTTTCCACGTTATTCTTGTCTTCTGGATACTTTTCCTAGGAATTAAGGATGACTGATAATTTACAGAGTTAGTTGTCATTATAAATGTTGCAGTGATATTGTACCTATTTGTTTTACTATATCCTATTTTTATTGATCATGTAATTTTTCTTACGGAATCTGTCAATTAAAGTAGAAACGTGTGTTATTCAGAGTGTTTTACTTTGATTCACTAATAGATAATAATGTTTTTCTCTCTCATTCGGTATATTTTCCAGTGTATTATCGCCAACTATGCACATTCCGCTTTAATCTCTACGTTTCATCGACGAACCTATTCATTAAGATTTGTAAGTTGTAATCCATTTTTAGCCGATTGAATATCATATTACCGGTGTACATTTATTTTACATGCACACGTTAATTAATAATAATTTACTCCGGTTTTTCATTTAAAAGCATTATTTTTCAACCGTTGTAATAACTTTCATGCTATGTTATAAACAGATCGTTTTTACGACATTGTTGACTTGATAAAATATTATAATTACTGGTATAGCGAAACTAATGATGTGCTCACGAAATCGATTTTCCGATTCCCAATTAAATAAATTGATGAAGTAGTAAAACTTCATCAGTTGAGATGGCTGGGACACGTGTTACGTATTCCCAACCACCCACTGCCCCGACGTGCGATGTTTTATGGTATAGGAGTAGGTTGGAAGAAAGCTAGAAGCGGTCAGATCGAAGCGTGGCACAAATCTACGAAGTCACTGACAAGTGGACTGAGTCATGTTGGTAGGTGTAAACTACTCGAACTGATGTACGTACGTACGAAGTTCTACGTTGTTACTGACTGACTGATTTCCAATTATTTAGTTTACAAAACACAAAATCACTAATCGATGTATATATATATATATATATATGCTCAGCTCATTTACCAGGTACTGAATAATGTACATGACTTCGAACCACACTCCTAATCTGAGGGTTAGTACTAATACTCGATTACTTAGACCAAATTAATTGGGGAGGGATTCAAACCCGTTGAAATTCGTACACCATCACCACTGATACACTGCTCCGTTATAAGTGAATTTAAGCTGTAATTCATGCTCAACATATTCAATCACAATAGTTTGACAAATTACTTGTCAGTTAACTAGTGAATATTTATAAATGGAAATAAAGGTCACAAAACAATGGGTGATAATTTTCCAGCTCAAAATCTAATGGAAGCCGAAGAATGAGTGCATCTCCACCACTGCGATCGATTTTTAGCTTCATAACGCAACGTCTCCAACCATTGGTCACAGTAATCGCGCGGACCCCAATCAGATAATCTGCATCTACTAACATAGCTCAGTGAAACAGTAAATGATACACATCATACATTTTTCAACCACCTCAGTCGACGAAAATTCATTTTATCGATTGGTTTCAGACATAATAATGATTAATTTAGTGATTTAGTCAGTACGTAATACAGAAATGTAGCCATTTTCTCCTAAAAACATCAATTTTCATTGAATCTACTTGTTCACTGTCTATTATTACTACTGATTTTAATTAATGAACCAATGTTTTTGTTGTGTTTTCTTTTCATAGAATCCTTCTATTGTATTATTTCATTATTTGAATGTACCCTTATTAACTCATGAGAATAAACTTTGTTTACCATTACCTAATCTAAGTGAAAATGATCGTAATGAATTAACTTATGCTCAACTTGTTGAACAGTTAGTGAATATGTGTAAGTTTAATTAACGGATTTATTTATTCTCTTTGTAATTTTGTTTTTATGTCATGAATAGTCAAGATTAATAAAAATGATTGTTATGGTTCCATTAACTGTTGTACAACGTTACCAATTCAATCCGATTAAAAATTCTATTCTATTGATTATCTCTATAAATTAAACATTAATAATATTGATATAACTTATTTATCTTTAAAATCCTTTTTTTTTCTCGATCCATCTGTGTGTTTCTTTCACTCCTTTAAAATTAATCTATCTCTTCCTCTTCATAAAATCTAAGGCTGTACAAATTTGATCCTTGTTATATTTAAGCATGATTGTGTAGCCATATTTTTTATAGTTTGATATAAATTAAAATATCAAAGCATTATAGTTCATATATGTGTAGTGAACGAAGACATGGTGCGGATAACCATTTTATATTTACAGGGTGTCTTCGTAAATTAAATACTTCATTTGCACATCTTCCATCAGTTGTCGTTTACATCCTTCATGATTCTTTCAATTCTCGATTCCTTTATGTTTCTTTTTCTTTTTTCTTCAGTTCAATCTTCTCAACCTTCTTTTGATAGGCATTCCACTTCTGAGCTGTGTTATATGCTACTTATATCTGTCAACATAAGTGGCATACACCACATGCGTATCATGTTTGAACAACTATTTTTGTAATCCATTGTATGCACACTAGCTCACTAATCGATTCCCAAAACAAGGAATCGTGCATTATATAGTAATTATTTGACTTGCATTTGTTTTAATATTATATAGTAGAATTATTCAGTAAATAATAATCATTGTGTTATTTCATTTCACTAAATGATTAAACGATTTAAATAGTTAGACGTTTGTACTTTAAAATATTTTCGCAATTGTTATGACTTCACCTTGGTTTGTCTAGCTCGTGTTATGTAGAATAAGATAGGGACAAAAATAAATATAAGTGTTTTACAGGTTTTGAATGAAATGCAATAACGTCCCAAGAAAATAGCTTTCGTAATTGTCTGGGCTTCTTAATTCCCCGTTCATAACAGCAATAAAAATCACAATATTTATTCTCTTCAGGTCAACTAAATAACCTTTGGGTATTTTTAGTTTTAAATAAATGTGTAATATCGGTGAAAATCAAATAAGTATACATTTCATATTCAAAAAACTTGGTTAGGACACTTGGTAAAATGTTAAGTGCTTGATGTGAGATATAGATTCGATCTCTGACTGGATAATGGGTCCACACTCCTGACGGCTTTTATACTAGAACTAAATATCTATCGGATGCTTCTTGATTTTCATTGATTCACTAACTGCGGTCAATCCGTGACGACTACCATCTACGACGTAACGAATATGATGAGATTCATTTTCCAGATAATTGTGGGCAAAATGATTCAATAACTTTGAATTTGTGTGGGGCTGTTTTTCGGCTTGCTCATAGAATATACATATAGTAATCAGGGACTGAACATAACAGTGATTCTAAGCTGACATTTCATGTTTTCTTTGGTATCGTGGTTGTGTACTAATGAGAAGTAGTAACAAACTATGAGTACATGTTAATGCTTTAATCAATGATGACATTCCTTATTGGAAACCAGCTCTGTTTGTTTTCCCTTTTATAGCTTACAGCACATCCTACTAGGATAATTTAACCTTGTACATGTATGGGATATTTTTATATTATAGATTTCGTTGGAATTATATCAAACTAAGGAAAAATTAGAATAGGGATATTCGCTTCAGTCGATTTTTATATCCTTAAAATGATAAGCATTTTCACGATAATTTGTGATAAAATGATTAGATACCGACTAATGAGATTGTTAAACAATACAAATTACTAAAATGTTTTACTTTTGTTTCAAGCTCTTAAAATGTCCAAAAGCTTAAATGGATTTATTTGATAGTGTTACGTTCTCTGGGCTTTGATTTGATATCCTTGTTGAATAATTATATCAGTGTTCATATCTGTTTGTAGTAGAAGTTGGAAATGTCATCTACATCGACAATGAAATCTTTTCAGTTAAACCACAGAGCTCAGTGAATGAAAAACCACCAAATTTGTATTTGTGTTACGTTTTGAATTCAGGTTGTTAACATATCATAAACTAGTTTGCCTACCAGATTCGTACCTTATTGATTATAAGTTGGGATATATATGTTTCTAAACTATTTCAAAAGATGAAAATAGTTCTGTAATTTTCGATGCCCTAGGGTTTCTCAGAATAAATCCATTTTCAATTTTTTCAAATGATTAAGTTGTACTAATTATAATAATATAGTAATCTGTAAACTAAACTATGTTGAAGACTGATGGTACTGCTATACGATGGTGCTTACACCTTGATAGATGAAGTATTATTCAAACCCGATAATACGGTAGTTAAAAATATTGAACATAAGCACTTAACTATGTTTCGCCCTACTGAATTTATTTTTATATTGCTTTTTTATAGTTAATAATTTCCCAAAACATATCATGAAGCCTGGTGTTGACCAAATTCTAAATTTCGATGTAAGTTATCACTTATGTGATTGTTTTACAAAATTACATTATATTTATTCAATTAATCATATAAACATGTATCTGTCTACAAGATTGAACAACATAGTTACATGATTATTAGATCTCTGCGATTTTGTACACTAATTCAGACTGCAAAACATCTCACTGTCTTACTCTTAATCGTAACATCAAATTCATCCATAGAATAAAATTATTTGCTTTCCAATTTATCAAAAATATCTACTTAAGATAAAATGAGAAAATATTTTTAAACTTTAAATTAGCTTTTCTGAGCGTTACTTGCGACCATATTTTTTGTAGACTACTGGTATATGGTTAGGGTGTCCAATAAATGATCGAACTGAAGTCATAGAAACTTTATTTCACAAACTTCAAAACACATCAATCTTATTCACAATACAGTTGTCTCGGCTCTGCTTCTATTGTTTAAGACATCCCAAAAGTCTCGTTTTACAGCTGCTCTATATTGTCATGTCTTTTCATAGTGGTGCACATAGACTATTTTCTCAATTTCAGTATCTCACCGATCATTCGGAGAGTGAATAGACAACTAGGTCACAAAAAGTATGTTTTAATCAGTACTAGAGGGTCTACTTTTGTTCTGGTCTTTATTAACTTCCCTAAATGACTTGATTTTGTTGGAAAGAGGTTTTTTCTTTGATGCATTATTTCCGTAAGCACCCCTTGACATCCGACCAATCACTTGAAAGTCTTTCCTAGGGACAGTGAAGAGGATTTGTAGCTTAGGAGGATGATCCTGGTAGAGTTCTCTTGTCTATTCTGGATTATTTAATCTTGACACGTTGATTGTCTTTCTAGACGACATCACAAACTTATTATAGAAACCTGTCCTCCTGGTTTTAAGTGGTATCCTAGTTGATATCAATGGGTGAACATATACTACTTACAGATTAAAACAGTCTCCACAAAATCGCTTCATCTAGGTTTCAAAATCCATGGAAAGAACTTGACAGAATATTTCAAAAAGAAAGGATCAAACGATGTGAGTAACTATCAGTCAGCTACAACGTTGGACCAGGAACATATATGCATCGGTCCAAGTTGCCATACCTCATTAACACAACAAGATGGACACCGGATTCATAAAAGTAGTTAATTCAGAGGTGGTAATATATAAAAGAAAGATCGCATATAAGGATGTAGTACAGGAAGAAACAATTAGTTCATAGAAAGAAAGGTATGAAGCGATTTTAATCTCTTGGTTTAAAGGAAGACAGAGAGTGTATACACCAACGCCATTGTGATCGATTCTGAGCTATGTCACCAAGAATCTCCAACCATTGGTTACGATAGTCACGCGGACCCCAACCAAGTAGTCTGCATCTACCAACATGGCTCAGACTACAAGCTAGTGACTTCAAACGCTGATACAACGTTTTGGTTTGTCAGCCCCTAACATCCTTCTAACCATCCCCAACACTAGTCAGCATTGCATGTCGTGGTAATCGGTGTTCAGGCATACGTAACACGTGGCCCAACCATCTCAGTCGATGAAGATTCACAACCTCATCAACTGATTTACCATTACTCCCTAATACCCAGTGTCTAACCTCACTATTACTTACCCGGTGATCCCAGCAGACGCCAGCAATATTTCTAAGGCATCTGTGGTCAAATACTAATAGCTTACGAGTGTCTTCTACTCTTAATGGCCATGTTTCGCTGCCGTAAATTCAAACAGAACGGACTGCCGCGCAGTATACTCGTCCTTTTGTTGATAGACGGATATCTCGCCTTCGCCACAGGTGACGTAAGTTGGCAAAAGCCAAACGAGCTTTTCGAATCCGTGCTGAGATTTCGTCAGACACCAACCCATTAGGGCTAATCAGACTTCCAAGATAAGTGAAGTTGTCAACGCGTTCGACTACTTCACTCCCTATCCTTAGTTCAGGTGTTGACGCAGATCAGTCCCGAAGCAATAACTTGCATTTAGAGGGAGAAAAGCGCATTCCAAACATTCTGACATTGTTGCTTAGTGCTACCAAAAGACTGCATTTTATCAGCGTCTTCACCAAACAGGACTATGTCATCTGCGTATTCTAAGTCGATAAGTGGACCTCCTGGTAGGAGATCAATACCCGAGAATTCAGTAGACGAGAATGTTATTTCCATCAGTAGGTCTATGATGAAGTTAAACAAAAATGGAGAAAGTGGACAGCCTTGACGGACAACACTTGAGGTTGCAAAAGTAGATGACAGTTCGCCATAAGCTCTGACTCGACTAGTAGTGTTCGAGTAAAGAGCCTTCACAAGGTTTATGTACTTCTGAGGTACGCCTTTCAATGACAGACACTGCCACAGAATCTCGCGGTCTACGGAGTCAAATGCTGCTTTTAAGTCAAGAAATACCACCATTGTCGGACGCCGATAAGTATGCCTATGTGAGTAACAAATGAAAGTCGATTGCAATTAATGTAAACTAATCACACCTGTCTTTTATTTGAAGTTGGTGCTGATAATTTTGTCTAGAGCGACAATGAAGACTTCACGAATAAACGATGCAGCTCAAAGAATACAACTCCACCAGAAGTTTTTCCTGGCTTTCGATTCACTTATCAGACAAATGACTTACACTGAAACCATTGTTCTACATAAATATGTACTTGTTAATTGATCCAGTGGTTAGTGTTTTAAAGTTCATTTTCAAGTTTATCAAACTATCCTTTTTCCTAAATCAGTGATGGGAATGATACTTTTTGCTTCCTTGTTTTTAAAAAAACAGTAAAATGAAGGATACCTTTTCACTAAACAACTCAATATATGTATGTAACATCATTCATTTGATCTTACAGAATTAGGTATATTGATTTACATTTCTGCACAATTTCACTTATCTATTGAGATTGTAAAAAATAAAGTAATATGTTTACCATAAAATCTATTCTAACATTTTAGTTAACATTAATCATTCTATTCTAGCAAAGTTTTTTAAATCTCAAAATCATTTATAATACCGAGAAGAAATTCATTAAAAAGAGAAGATTGGACGTCATCTCTTTCATTACAATCCTAAAATCACAAATGTTTTTTTGTACGTCTGGGAAAATCGTCAACTACCATATACTAAAAATATCTATTCTCCTTTTTTGCTCATACACTAACTTTTTTAATCTTTTTTTTGTCATTCTATTCACTGACAACAAAAATCCACTTGGTTTTTATTAGTTTCCCTTTATTATTAAATTTTTCATTTTTAAAATATCCTGTCATATTTATTCTTGAATTGGTTTGGTGGGAATGGTTCGAATCTCTCAGTGGTGTATCTTCACGAATTTTTCTCAGCTGGATTATCATTGATAACGAGGGAAAACTAGACAGATAATTTTTCTTGGTATGGAATTTCTCACCAGTGCCCACCCATAACCCTACTGGAAGTTGATCCTATAACGTTTAGGTACCTTGGGGAGTGTTTATCATTTGGACTATTGGTTTTGGTTCAGATGTTACACATTTCCATCTTTAGTCGATTCGCAATATGGCGCTACGATCATTTAATGTAAAACTGACAGTTGCTTTAATCGCAGGAGTGTGTATGCTTCCAAGGAGTTCCATACTAGGAAGATGATAATCGGTTGAATAAGACAATAAAAATACATGTTTTAAAGTTAGTGATTTCATCAGTCCAATTCCAAATTTTAGACTACTGGGTTAAACTCTGCTTTACTTCGATTCGGGTAACCGGTTAGTCTCGAAGGCCTTCATACCTCTAATGTAGCTCACAACCGAGTATATAAATCCGTGTACTTCGTAAATGAGTCGCTTCAATGTTTACATAACCTAATCTATTTATTCAGTTTTTTCCTATAAGAAGTAACTGTTCTCAATAGAGTTCAATATGTTATTTTGTATATTTAGCGGTGAAGTCAATATAATAGTTTTAAAGAAACTAATTGAATCGATTTCATTTGAATCTTTTCTGTTCTGTTTTTCCCTAAGATAACTGTTAGTGAATTGAACTGACAATATATTCTCTTTTCGTTTAATCTAAATCTGTCAATCATATTGATCGATATAATAAGTTCGTAAAGGAGTATCTTAGAACAATAAGGTAGCTATTATTTTTTTTAGCAAAATGATAATTAAATCTAATATCTGTCTCACTGTAAACAAATTCAAACCACACACCACTCAGCATCCATTCATTCATCCGTTCACCGACTTTCACCGCTTTAATGATCCTATACTATTCAAATAAACTGTTACGAATTCAAGAGATTGATTTCATGTCTTTATCTGATCACTGTAAAATGGATTCATTTAACTAATATTCCGATCGGCATACTACTTCAAAGTTGGTTACCAACGCATTTCTAGCATTGCCCACTACATGTTATTGATAATAATTTAGCTGTTTGTTATTATAGAAAAGGCTTAAATGTCATTGTAACTATTTTGAGATTATAAATGAGCATACTATCTCAACGCTCATTTATTTAGTAAATATTAGGTTGCAGGATTATATTTCAGTTGTTTCAACTTATCATCTGTTACAAATCGTTTAACCAAGTGTGTGTTGAGTGTACTGATATTATTTTGAATGACAAAATGCAGTTTAATTGTACTTGATATAATAAGCTGGTTGCTAATTGATCTGAACTAACTAGCTCGCTTAATTTATTGTGTTCGTTTATCCGTGTGTGTGTGTGTGGGCATCTACTCCACATTCTCTTCAAGCTATCGTATTTACGACAAAGTACTATGTCGTACACTGTCATAACATGAAAAACGTCAGTGTAACGTAGGAAGTTTACAATGATTCAGCGTATGTAGCTTGTACTTTACCACCGAGTTAGCGATGTACAATTTAGTCTCTGATTAAACAGACTTGGTTATACAAAATGTCATCTTTGAACAAGATTGGCAAGTCCAGCCCGTTGTCTATGATTTTAAAATATCTACCTGAACAGAAGTGATATAAGTTGTAACAAATGTAAACAAATAGAGTTCTCTTGTAGTGCAGAAGGGATATTATTCCATGGAGGTTATCGACTACTGCTCTTGGTTTATACAAGTGGTTACTTATATTGACTGGGTCAAGTATGATTGTCAAAAATATTTGTATTTAATTGCAGTCAATATAACACAAAATAAACTGATAAAATTTAAACGCGTGCCCAATTTTAGTACTATGTTATGTCAATGTTTCTATCCTTATTTAAGCCCTGCTCGGACGTATTGAACTCATTGAATGAAGAATGTTAACGTTAGTGGTGATGTAGACAAGATTAAGTTAGTCGGTTAGGTGATGAACCTCCTATGAGTTGACTTAGTTGTATTTTACGAAACCCTAAAATTACTGACCATTGATTTAGATTGTGGGATGAAACATTGACTTCCCGTGTAGGGTTTCTCGTTATGAAAACTACAGATGATTATAGACACAGTTCGTAAATATAGTTCGAAACCGATTACACTTTTAAAGATACATTCATCTTTCATCTCAGTTTCTATTGATGTTGTCTTTCTTTTCTGTTATGATATGCTGTTCTAAACCCAACTGCGTGTATGTGGTGTTACGTGCTTTGAACATCTATCAATTTCATATTTTAGACTATCTAATTCTCTCTTCATTTTTCTCTTGTTATAATCAATCATGAATCAATGTAATTAGTATATAACGTTTAACTTCCTAATTTTGAGTTCTAACCTTCTCTTTCTCGATAAATATTATTCCATGTTTCTATTTACGTGATCAGGTATTTGATTTGTGAGTTGATTCCCTTGATATGACCAGTTTATATTGATACAATATTTATGTCTAGTTATTACATTGATTTGAGTTGGATTTAACCAATTCATTACCGTATTCAAGCATTAAATTAAGATAGTGGCCTTGATATTAACTCTTCCAATTGGTCGTAACACTACTGTTATTCTTATATGCTTTCACACAGTGTTCTGATTTGGGGACTTGTTAAGCGAAGTATTGTCCACGAATATCAAGCAATAAGAGTAGCTGGGTTGTAATAAGAAAACTCATAACACATCAATCACTTGATAATTCATTATACTAACATATACGAGTAATCAGTGAAATCCTTTACTTGTAGCTGATAAATGTTGTTTTGTTTATTTATTCAGAAAAAATGGGCCTAATTTTTTCCATAGTTTTTCCTGCCCGTCGTGTTGAACAATTTAATATATCGTTCAATGTAAAATGGTATTTATTTTTTAAACATACATTTTAAATAACAATAAGTTGAACTTCTTCGAAAATATAATTAATATAGTTATTATTATTATTATTATTATTATTATTATTATTATTATTATTATTATTATTATTATTATTAAGATTAGACAAAAATATCATGCGTGTTAAGCCTTTTATTGAAGTCCAAGTTTATCATTCTGTTTCTATTGTGTGCACACATGTGTTTCACATTATTGTTATTCTCTATCTGTTGGTGATGTATCATGTTTTTGCGCTATGGTGTATATAAATTTAAGTAGATTGTAAATCTTCTACCTCTGTAAATGGCGACTTTTTATGTCACGAAGTAAAAACAATGACTACAGTTAATATATGGTGAAATTGGTACAAATGAAAATTTTACTAGAATCCTAGTATTTGTTTATCATGTTACCTTTGATTTTTTTTTGTTTCTTACGACGATGTACTGATATCTGGAGTTACATACAATAGATCAAGTATGGATTTGTTGTATTCAGTTATTTTTATTGAGGATTATATATATATATAATACAAGTTATGGGCTATAGTCTAGTTGAAGAAATTTTAGTCGCTTACTACTACATCTTATACATGATATTGATAATATTACATTATAGGCGGTATGAATCACTTTTTTAAGATACTATTCCTTATAAACTAGATTTTATGGACTTTCTGGGCTTTCTTTCAATCAATGACAATGTAAGTGTTGATGATGATCATCATCATGAAAATAATCATAACAGTTCAAATCAAACTGTTTGGTGAATAGTTGAAATTGTTTAATTTCATCTTGGTTGAAATTTTTACAAACCTAGTTTTATATTCATTATGCTAATATCAATATTTTTCAGTGTAAAAATGTCTTTATAGTCAATAAACTTTACTTTTTTGTTTTCCTTTCCAGTTAAATTTCTCTAATTTAATTCACATTCTGAGTGATCATATTTGGAATTCATCAGTGAATCCGAATTCCCCTCCATCATCGTCATTATCATTTCTATCTGATAATTCATATAGAAACATAACAAGTAGCAGTGTTGTGAAGAGTATGTCTTCACTACAATCTGATATAAATCATCGTCATCATCATCATCATCATCATCATCATCATCATCATCCGCACGCAGCTGTATTTCTCCTTATCACGCCCAAATTAAATGATAATTATCAGACAAATTTGGAATTAGTCTTTTCGAATAACAAGTCGTCTTGTCGAACAAATCCTCATACGCGAAATATTCGCGGATATCAGTTTTCAGGTAGGTAATTCGTAGTTACACTGAAGAGATTTCTTAATAAATAATGTTTTATCAGACAATTATCATTTAACTTCAATTTTTCCCACAATTATAGTATTGTTAACTTGATACACACCCTTGTTCAATCTATATATCACTTTTAATACTTGATATCTGTTTTACTCAATGTAAATCCATGTTTTTAAAATACTTTAAAGTTATCACTACCATCAATATTTACTATCATTAACCCCATTTTCGTTAGTATGAGGTTATGGGGATTGTTGAATCTCACTGGAATCCTGAACTGATCTAAGTTAGACCACCATTGAAAACCTTAAAGCGCTGGGCGACCGTTTTGTCTTAGTATATGGCTCAGCAGTGTGAATCCATGCCTCCGCACACGGGAGTCAAACTCAAGACCTCCAGTCTCGCGCGCGAACGTTAAACTTCTAAACCCCTTAACCGGCATCCAACGGTGTTAATGTCTAACTTTAATCAGTCCAAGACATTGTCCAACTATCTTCGATGGTGAGTAACTGTCTCTACACTCGACACAGTTTAGCTCTATTGATCACGGCTTCTCATTAGACCCCTGGAAATTTCTATTCACAGATGATTGAAGGACTTAAGTTGGAATCCCGCTTGTGGCAGTGTGAATTCACACTGTTGAGGAGTCCCACACTAGGATGAAACATCCGTCCAGTACTTTCATGTTTTTAATAGTGGTCTAACTTAGATTGATTCATGATCTACTTTTCGTGTTTGATTTTCCCATCAAACAAGACAGCGCACAACAATGCCTTGTACTACATTGTTTCTGACTGAAATTTTATTGCATTTCATGTACTTTTTAGTTATTTTATTCAGTAGGTTTCATATTTGAATACTAGTTTATCTAATTCAACCGAAATGATCTGTTAGCACTATTAGTCAATTACAGAAATTAGTACTTAATTAATGATTTTACATTAAATCAAATCGTGGAATATTATTTCAGTTTGGATTTTATCCATCCGAAATTTTGATTTTAAAAAAATGATTATTCATAATTTCACTTTGTTTTTGATTATGATTATCATTGATTAGATAATACAAACGGATCATTTTAATATTGAAAATCAATAATGAATAATATTCATTCAACAACCCTTTATTATGCTCATTGTGTACATGTTGATTATATTTTTACTGTTTTTTGTCTTCTAACCAGTTTTGATTTTTATTCTCCATTTTTGTTCCATCGTTGCCTATTAAGTGAAAATGTTTATATTTAAAGGCAAAAAATATGGAGTTGTTTCTAACCTGGATATGTTATCAGCATAATGCGTATTATCCTATTTAAAATTATGAAATAATTCACTTTATAGTTAGTTAATTATCGAAGTTAAAATTAGCGGTTAAAAAAAGTTAGAAATGAATAAGGTAAATCTTTGCGATTATAATGTAACTTTTCAAGATAAAGAATGATTATAATGGAAGGTTAGTTTTAAGGGGAGGGAATTAAATTAGTTAATTAGGCAGGTTTAAGCATACTCTTATATAAAGCATTTCTATATGGCATAAGAGTGTTAAATGTATTTGAAAGATTGAATGATCCATCTAGTGGATCTGGATAAATTAGTTGTGTATGTGTATGTGTTTGGTTGCATGATTTGGTCGCAATCACGGTTGTTCATTTTCTACATTGCTATTTATTTTCGTCATACAACTACCAATCTTTTGAACACTGAGTAAATGCACAATGAGATGTGTTTTAATCTCCTCAAATGTATAGTTACTTTAGAACTGGTTTGAATCAATGCCTTATTTGAATACAGCGAGTTAAGTATTCAAGTGTGTTGACCTTTCATTTATCTTGAAAGTCTGATCGGCTAAATTAGAAGCAATAGCTGACAGTCTTAGTACAAAAGAGAAAGCTCATTCGACTTTTTCCGACTTGTTCAGTATATGGTCTAGGATAGATGTCCATCTGCTTACCAAAGGCGAGTATACTGCGCATTTTTCCTCTTTGTTTGCTTGATTACTATGAAAGTGTTTTACTAGTATTTGATTACGTATATCTTTGGATAGTTGCTCGTGTATCGAGTGAGTTAAAATGTGATTATTCATAGGGTCCCGATAATCAATAATGACCTATAACAATGGTACAATACACCTCCTTAATCAAGCTTTTATTGATTGATTTGACTTAAAGGTGCAATTTTGCTTAGTGATTTTGTCCAGTTGACGTAGATATTGGGAATTATAACTTGTCACCTAATAGTCTTAATCAAAATGTTTAAATTGCTTGATCATCTCTCTCTTCCATCTACTTTATTATCTCAGTCATTGGATCGTTTGTCTACTTACCTGTCATTGAATATTTATGAATAAAAACCTAATATGAGTGATATTATACTATTGACTAATTGAATAACATTTATCTCATAATTTAAATGTGGCATATTTTTCTATCGATACATTCATTTCTATGTTCATGAGATTTTATTTGTCTAATGAGAAAAGGAGATATTTTCAAAAAAAAAACACAGTAAACATGATTTTCAAAAGTTAATTTGATATAATGACTTTCTCTTAAATGAAGCATTTGTCTTCCTTCCTTTTTTTTCTTTTTTTTCGCCTTTTATTGTATTTCATGTTATCAGATATAATTAATAACAATAATCATGAAAAAAATGATGATTACATTCCATTCATATTCTCTTCTTCAAAACCAATAAATAGATATTGTCAAAACAATGAAACTGTAAGTTTCTGTTTTCTCATTTTTGAAAGAAAAAATTACATCATATTTAACATTAACTTACTGTTCATACATTGAATTGTTTTATTTTTATTCCTTTCCTATAAATTATGATCAATTATCATCTTACAGTGGAATATTTGGTAAATAATTAATTTGTCTATACATATATTATTATTATTATTATTAAATAAGAACTTTCGTCTAAATTTAAACGAATAGTTTCACAATATTTGGGCGCCGAGTTAATGTGAGTCATTAAAGAGGAAGAATGTATTTGTAAAATTTCAGCGAAAGAATTTGAAGTAAATCCAACGTTTCGCCTGGCAATCTGGTCCAAGCTTTTTCAAGGAAAATATAATCAAATACATTCTTCCTCTTTATTATTATTATTATTATTATTATTATTATTATTATTATTATTATTATTATTATTATTATTATTATTATTATTGTATAATCAGATTATTTTGTTTTAAGGATATATATATTGTCATTTTTACTTATTTACCATCTTTTCTTTTTTTAAAAATAACAGTCTAATTATGATAATAACAATAATATTAACTCAAAAAATAATGATAATAATCCAGACAGGGAAGTAGAGGCAAGTTCTGCTGTGAACCAGTTATTGTTTCCTGATGATAATAATAATAATAGTGTAGAATCTAATAATTTGCTATCTGATGTTGTAATTAATTGGGCTAATGATTATCCCTATTCATTATCACTAACAATGAATAACTTTGAAAATTTTAACGCAACAAAAAGCATCGAGTCAAATGATAATCCTGATCATCAAAATATCAATGATGTTGTTAATCATAATCATCAGTATGTTAATACTGATGGTAGCACACATTCCAATGATAACACCACTATTTCTACTACTACTGCTAATAATAGTAACAATGATTATTTTCATACTAATGAAGAAGAAGAAGTAGTAGTAGTAGAAGATCCAACTAGTATAACACCCATTGAAATTGGTTATTCTGATGAATTAATAAATTTCACTGATTTAATCATCACATCAACATCAACACCTTCACCATTTACCTCAACTTATACGGATGAAGATTTAGGACTTTTATCAAATGAATTAATTACTGATAATAATCTACTTGGAAATGATTTTACACCGATAACAACCACAACAACTGCAATAAGATCCACCAGCAAAATGATTAATAATGACTGTAATGATTATTGCTGTATAGCAGAACAACATCAATCTAATCATAAATTCTTTTCAAAAGAACATGTTTCCAGTGAGTTGTCGTCTAGTAATTTCAATGTTCATACAATAACTAATAATGGTAGATATGCTGTACAAATTAATCATGTTAATATCGATAAAGAAGTGATAAATAGCAATCGGTTCAATAATCCTATCAGTGAAAGTGATGATAATTTGAATCTTGAAACTTGTAAGAAGTAAGTAACTTGATTTTTGTTGTTGTCTTTTTTTAAATACTTTAACAATAATGAATTATTGAATTAACTAAGTTGGATGGTTTAATTAGAAGCCTTTGTTTCATTTTGTATTCTAAATAACATCATTACATTACTTCAGATAGATGTGAATCTTGTTCTACGAGTGAGTCGTATTGGTTATGTTTGTGTCTTGGGATTCTGAGTATTGACATGAACACTGGTGAACTATTAAAAACCCAAGGAACAATGGGGGATTGTTTCATTCTAGTTTGGGACTTATTAGTTGTACATATCCATGAAAATATAGCCTTAAGGGATCAAATTCAACATCTTGTACCATAACTTCCATGTTAACTTTAAACCACCGTGTCTCGAAATCGAATGGTTCACATCCCAAACATCACACAGTCCACCACCAGCGTCAATTATGAATTACTATTATTCTTGTCACATACGTTGGTGTTTTTGGCGATATGAATTACTCGTAAGATAGTTTCCATTTATAAAATGACATTAATCCAATAACTTTTGCAAATCTCACTGTATTGGATTGTTCTTCGTTTCAGTTCGAGATGGTCTAATGATTAAAAAATTAGCTTTTCAAATGTTTAACGCTATGATCTTGAAGCTCCCACCGAGTTACAAACTAGTGACAAATATCTATTCAATCCATCCTGTTCCAATCGACGTCATATATTGCAGTATAGAATCATCGATTGACATAAATCGATAAAACGGGAATGCAACTGTACTACCGGTCTGTTCTTAGTTTTATTCATTAAATATTTCGAAAAGAGATCGTTGCTACTACAAACGTATTTATCTTCCTTCTTATATTAATCGAAATTTTTAAGTATACATTTAAGGTCCCTTATTCCTTTTTTTGACTTTTCTTCATTTCACGATTTAGTATCTACTCACCCAATCATCGTTTACCTCGGATAACAAATGTGTATGAACCTGAAAAAAACGAAGTAAGTGACAGAGCAAATATTTTATCTCGCAGTGAGTTTGCATATTACCTTACGTATGGATTATCTGGTGGTTTAATCAATTACTTAATATACTGGTGTATTCATGTTCTAAGATCTCGGTTGCTAATTTTTCTTGATATAATTTTAAGAGCATCATACATTCTGCTTCATTAACAAACTATTGAACTCAAAAGAATGATATTTTCATTCCTAAGGTTAATATAAGTTTTATTATCAACTCGTTGGCTGACATGAGATTCACTAAGAGAGGATCGCTAACAATTTCTTACTCCTATTTTTGTTCAATTTTGAAAATTGATCAATCTTCGAGTACTAAGTCTTCTTTGTTGATATCATTTTGCTTGTTCGTTATTAAAACTCACTGAAATACACTTTTTGCATGATATTCCGGGTTTTTCATAATTGTTTTATAATTTTTTTCCAAGTAAGAGTGCAGACCAAGGCAAAATGGATAGTTTTTGTTATTTAATGCTTTGGTAACGGCCGAATGTGGGAAGAGTTAGCTCTCCCTATCCAAATACTCTCACATAGACATACGTATACAGCCACTACTAGAGAAGACCTACTCACTTACTCACTCACTGCCTTCTTGTTAACAGGGTGTTATTTACAAAATTGAGAGGATGAAAAGCGAATTTTCAATGCTTTAACCGAGTTGGTGGATATGAAAGATCCACCTAGAGGAGTTGCAAAACTCTGATTTCAAACCGATGGTGAACATGTGCTCCAGGATCCTGAGGAAATAAAAGGCGTACGAACCAATTGTTGGCCACCAACTATTTATTTTATTTGAACACATAAATATTGGTACAAAAGGGTACCGAATACATATGCGCCACACAAGTCACTCGATTTGTGTGTGGGCTGTGATACTGCCCGGGTGCCACCGGCTGCCGTGAGACTGCATCTCCTTATGTTGCTCCACTGTCTTGTGCATTAGACCTTTAGGTCGAAAGCTCCAGTTGTGGTCCCGTAAAGAAACCAACTCTAGGTTTTCACACCCGAGCAGTATCACAGCCCCCACACACAAATCAACTGACTTGTGTGACGCATATGTATTCGGTGCTCCTTTGTACTAATATTTATGTGTTCAAGTAAATCATAATTAAACACAGATTTTTTCATTTGACTTCAATCCATGCTCTTCTCATATAGGCTAATAATACTGCTAATTTAGAGAAAACTGGAATTCCAATGTACTAACTAGTAGTCAACAGTAAAGCGCTCTAATCATTATTAGGCTGCGGTTCTTTTATTTAACTGTATCATTAATTTAAAAACATGAACAATACTACAATCATTTACTGATATAACTCATCAGCATGAATACAACATGCTCTTATTGTTTTTAAATGTATACATTTTTATTAATTTAAATACTTGATCCAATTAAATAAGTTGATACTTATCAGTTTCATCATTTGATAGTTATTCAACTAGATTCCTATCTTTTTAATACAGTTACTGAATTAGTATTCTTTCATGATTATATAATTCCATTATTGTTAATGACACACATAATGGTTTTGTTTTTTTTTTAACCTAAAAGAAAAAAATGTTTACACTGTTTTGTTTTTTTATTTTTAAACTTTAAGTTAAAACTCATGAAACATTTTAATATCTGAGTATCATTTACAAATAATCAAATAAATTGAATGATGTTTCCTTATGACAACACAATTTCATTTAATTAAATATTGAAGTATTTAAATTAATTAAATTTCAAGTTTGTTCACTAATTCGATTTTTAATAAGTTTTTTTATAATATAGAATTACTGATGAATTGATTTCATGTAGATTGTATATAATGACATTAATTATTTATATATAAAATATATATTTATTCAAGTTAAACTTTTGATTGATTTATTAAATAACATAATTATACAAGTATAAAACTTAAGATCACATAGTAATCAATAATTTCATTGTAAAAGAACTTTTTAGTTATTTGAATAACAAAGAAGTAATGATGTAGAAGGTTCATGAGATGAGTTTGTTATCGTGGATAGTTTAAATCAAATTTTTCTGGTTAGCATTTTTAGCGACTTAGTTTTCTAGGGAATGAGGTCGCTAACCCCATGCCCAACCCTCCTACTTTATCCGGGCTTGGGATTGGCAGTAGCCCCAGAAGGGCTCCAGACGGAGTTGAAATATTATATAATATTCTATTTTCTATATGTAAACCATTAAATTCTTATTCTGAATAGACTGAATAAACCAACAGAGCTGTGACTAACATTCCCCAAAATATTAATAATTTATTCATTTATTAAGTACAAATTTATATACTCAGATATCAGCCACTTAAATTGTATGCGGACTTATAATACTAATCGCCCCAAAATGCCCTGGTACGGCTGAGAGTAGGGAGAGTCTGCTCTCCCTCTTGAAATGCTCTCACATGACCACGCGTATATAGCTCCTGCCAGGGAAGCCCTACTCACTGCCTTCTCGTGGCGGGGGTGTTGTTTACGAAAATGGGAGGACGAAAAGCGAATATCCAGCGCTTTAACAGGATTCCAAACCAACGGTGCACATGGGCTCCAGTATCCTGCGGGAACAAATGGCGTATGAACCAATCGTTGGTCACCGGCTCCAATGGGACTGCATCTCCTTACGATGCTCCACTGCCTTGTCGATCTAACCTTCAGGTCGAAGGCTCGAGGTGTGGCCCCCTAAGAAAACCACCTGCTTCGGTTTTGGCACCCGAGCAGTTTCCCAGCCTTCACACATATCAAATGAGATTTGTGTGGCGCATATGTATTTGGTGCCTCCTTGTACCAATATCTATGTGTTAAAATAAATAATAAATAATGCCAATCGCTTTCTCAAGTCGAAATAGGCTAATGGAGATCTGAACCTGTGATCTACTAATTGAAAGGTAAGTGCTTTAACTATGAGGTCGTTACTCTTTTCCAAAATATACATTCGTGAGAACTATTTGTTATTTTAGTTTCAATCCACCAACAACAGATTAAATATTCTTACGGTCATAGAACAAATTGTTTAACAGATTTTTACACTAAAAAATGTAATATATTTCATCCCTTTCAGTCAATAAAACACTTTTAGGTTTTCACTTTTGTAACATGACTTAATTTTACCAATATGTGTAGCAGAATAAACTGTTATGAGAGAAGAGTATATATATATATATATATATATATATATATATATATATATATATATATATATATATATATATAACGCTGAAAGGTTTTGTTATATTTTGTATTTATTCAGTATCCCCAAATTGTATTCTTGTTGTAACATAAGTAAACTATCGTTATTCATAAAATACAAATTCAGATTTATGTATACCTTTTCGTATAGGTATTGAATATTACATCAAACTGTATTCGGCAAAAAATAATCTTTTTGTTTCCTGTACGTTTATCATAATAATGATTAAGTAGACATCACTTTCTAATCAAATATGCATAAGACCGAAAATTCTTCTATAGTGAAAAAATAACCATCTCTATCTTCCTGATAATTTGTATGCTTGTTTGTGTAAATTTGCCAGTTTTAACCAACTGATATTCAGCCCATAGAAAAAATCTGAAATGTTTCAGGTATATTGTTATGACTTCTGGTTGATAATGATAGATGCAAAAATCACTGAAAACTAGGTTGTCAATGCGTTACAATCTAAAGCCTGTCATCAATGAAAAGACTTGATTTCACACATAACTGTACCCGTGAAGATCAGACCTTCTGATAATAACTACTGAAAGTTTTATACAGCGATCTACATTTCCAACTTCAGTCATATCAGAGAAACAGATGCTTATGGTTCATAGATTTCTGTAACTAAACAGAAACTACCCTCTAATACACAGCATTTTTTCTAAAATATTTTGTATCCTACTGGTTTTTACACTTTAGTTCTTCGTCGTTTCTTTTTGTTTGGTAAGTTTTTAAATGATTATCATTCTTCACTTTGTGTTGACCGTTTGAATCTTCCCATTGATGTTTAGGACTGCAATTGATTTGTCTCTTATTAGCATATTTGCATTCTGGGCGGATTGCCTCGATATTGCCTTAAATCACAGAGATGGATGGTGGTTAGCAGTGGAATGTAGGACGCGCGTTTCGTCCTATTTGAGACTCGTCAGCTGGATGTACACTCGTCCTAGAGTTGATCGTTATTCTTCCCTAAACCTTTTATTCTCGTAATCAGTATTCATAAATGCTCTTTTCTCTATATAATCTTACTTGCGTGTATGTGTACGTGCTAGTATGTTGTCTTTTCACGTCTCTCTATCTCTCTTCCAAACATACTCACATACGCACTATAACCTACTAATCATTTCTAATTTCATGCACTGAAACTGATTTTTTTCATTGTTTACTGAATTATTCAGTTTCTCCAGAAAATTAGTAAATATTTGGGTTTATTCTTTTCATAGTACATACGTAATGTCAGTGACATTTTATTTTGATCTTTTGTTTAGAAATTATTAGTTCTGAGTTGTTTACATTTTTAAGAGTGGGTTGATATTAGTGTTTTTTTGGTATAAGAACACTATGAACAGATGCCTTAGTATGAATTATAGCTTTGTTGAAATTATATCTATTTGATCTATTTTTTCAGTATTTCAAAGATTGTTTTCCATCACAAACTGACTAATAAAAGTTAAGTAGCACTGGACATCAACCTCGTTCAAGTTAGTTAATTAAAACAATCAAATGTGAACTAGAACGTCTCGTATTGCTACAACCTATTCTCAAAGTATTTAAATGATGTACTGGTAAATAGGTTAGTATCATCTAATCGGTGAGATGTATTACTACTACTTTTAACATTCATTACTCGATATATTAGTGTTAGTTTGATTCACTTCAATGAGTAACAACACTATCAGTGAAACAGTTTGAATTTCATGTATCAGTTCTTGGTTAAATAAAGTTGTTTACACTGGCTTAGAAACTAGTTAATTCTCATTTTATAATCTAGAAATATGTTCACATTACTTATGGTTTAATCAATGACACTTAGTCAATATTCTCATGAGACAAATCTGCCCAAATTATCTATGAATGAACACTACACAATCAAAGTCACATGTTCTATTTAATGAACAGAATTTAATTTGAAAAGACTGTCATTCTCATACATTCGAACGTCGAAATACACAACAGTACATGAGTCAAAATAAAACCTGTGATAATGACTACAAAAGGACAATGTAACAAAACTACTTTAGAATATCTATCGAATATCTTAGTAAAATATGACTATATGCATTTATTTTATTGAGATTTCTGATAATTTAATGATAATTTCCACCAAGTACCAATAATTTCTTAAAGAGGAGGATTTAAAACATGAAATTACTACCTATCCATTTCAACCTGGTTTTAAAATTGTAAACAAGAAGAAAGAAACGGAAACTTGTTGAAATACTTTGCGCTGAGAATTCTATATTGTACCAAAAATATAATATTGAATAAAGCTAATGATAATAATAATAATAATAATAATAATAATAACTTGTAATACTTGTCAAATACCTTCCTTTTAAGACAGTAGTCTTCATTTTAAACTGTAATCTGTTTGTTGTATAATGTATCCCTTTATCCAATGTCCTATTCACTTGATTTCATGAAATAAAGTCTGAAACTAAAATAGAATAACTGTTCACTAATTCCTAGTTCAATAATTGATTCTCCAGGTTTACATTTTTTTCAATGGATTTTCAACAAGTGGATATCAACTATCTTGTCTTTCTGATCAATACAGTTTGACTGTATAACAGTCAACGATGTTATTATATATTATTATATCTTTACTCATTGTTTTATTTTAGAGTTTTGAAAGCGCACAATTTAATTGCCAGCAAGATGATGCTGCTTGTAATCCATTCATATCTGATGGAGGATACTCAGAGTACAGTTTTGGTCGGTGCAGTAATATAGATTTGCTCAAATTAAAGCTCTCAGGTTAGTAACTACTTTTTATGTTGATTTTCATTCAGTGCTGCTCATAAAAGAACAGCCATCTCTTTGTAGGCAAAGATGGATGGTGGCCAGCAGTGAAATTCAAGACGCGCTTCTCGTCCTATTTGGGACTCGTCAGATGGATGTACCTGCATCCTAGAGTTGGTGTCTACTCTGAGACTTGAACCCAGTAATGTTCACTTCAAACTCCATCGCGTTGTCCGCCTAGCTACTAAATCCAGATAGCCGATACATCTAGCTGACGCGTCCCAAACAGAATGAAACCCGCGTGCTGGATCTCTTCCAGACTTTCAGTTTGCTAAGTAGACCAGTAGTTATCAGGTTTGAAGAAGTGAACGGATTAATCTGTTGTGAAACAATCTACTTAATTTTGGTTCTCAAACTGTTCAATCCAATGTTCCAGGCACCTTTATAGATTACTAGTTGACAAATTGTCTCATTGACACCGGTCTTCTTACTATTATTGACTCAGATAAGTTAAAAGTTCTCAGTAGTTATCAAATAACAACTGTTGCATCCTTTTGACAAAGTAATAATAGCTTCAAGATGAATTTTCTTGGAGTTCTAGTGAGAAGCTATGTCCCGTGGAGTTCAACTGTGTTTGGTGTGAAGCAGTTACTCACTGAAGAAAAGCAATAATCATTCTCTGCATAACCATTCATAAAATAACGATTACTGATTTTATTTTATAGGAGACTAGTTTATCAATTTTTATTTGTTTTTATTTTTCCGTTTTATTAACCAGATGATCTATTACGTTGGATAGTGTTTATTCGCTTTAGTTCATTAGCACCGGGTATTCATTTATACATTGACATTGAAGATGAATTCATTTTATTACCAAATCATAAATCTAGAATATTTAGCAAGTCATTTGATGAATCTAATTATACTAGTACATCAATTACGTCGAAACATATGGATGATATACATTCTGACAATGTTTCGAATTCAATGCCTATAAATTATTTAACAAGTAACTTTGATGAATATCCTAAGGTTAGTTAATTGGTATTTAAATAAATTAAATTTAAAACAATTAGCCCCTTTGATAAATTTCGATAATGCAATGAGAAGACGTAGTTTATCAGAATCATGTGATATATTTGCGCAATACATTCTGAACAATCTGATCACACATATACTTGTTAAGAACATTTATACATGAAAATTAAAAGGTCAACTAGACAGGTTAAGGGTAAGTCATAACAAAGGAAAAATATTAAAGTACACAAAAAAGCAAATGTGATTACCACTCTGGATAGTAAATCAGTACTACCAGGGTAGGTTAAATGTAAGCACAAATTGTTTTTGAACACATAAAGGGGGTTTCAATTTTCGTATAGCCAAGGCTTCAATAAACCTTAGTATACGTCCTTGAAGGCTTTTGTACAACACAACAAATGCTGATTTGATATCAACCTTATGACCCGTCTCAATCAAATGTTTCGCAATGGATGATGATGTCTGTCTATCCTGTGATCTTATTTCACCATTGGAATTCATCTGATTCTGCAACCATTTTGGTATATGTTCACCCACCCTTAATTGCAAATCACGACTGCTCCTCCCCATGTACGTGTTTTCACACATACATGTAAACTGATAGACACAATGGGATGTGACACAATCGTTTTCGTGCTGTTTGGGCTTTTGGTGAAACATAGACCTTGTCTTTTCGATAATGACAAGTTGGGCTGCATAAAATGTCCGGTTGATAGCTGATTTAAGTCTCTGTTTCAACATGAGACTATTTGTGTCACCTCTGAATGGTAATGTAATATAAACTCGCTTTTTGGGTGCCAGAAGCGTCATAGGTCTAGTCATATTGCAACCCCTCCAGCGGTTTATGAACTTCAAAGAGTAACCATTATTGATTAACGCATCAGTCAAGAGCTTCATCTCTACTTCAATAGTATCACTAGTACAAATACGATTGATTCTATTGAATAAGCTCTTTATTAAACCGCGTTTACAATGAATAGGGCAGTGACTATGAAAATTAAGATATTGTCCTGTCCATGTTGGTTTTCTATATATAGCACGTTTGATGGAACCATCATCTCTCCTAGTAATCAGGATGTCAAGAAAAGGAGGTTGGTTGTTCTTCTCTTCTTCACATGTAAGAGAAATGTGCTTTTGACTACTATTGAATTCTTCTAACAAGCGGTTTATGTCTTCAATTTTATCACCTATGATTATTATGTCATCTACATATCGTTTATACAGACCCATCTTTCGAATTGAGTCTCCAACTAAATTTTCCACATATCCCATGAACACATCAGCCAGCAATGGTCCTAGAGGGCTGCCCATAGCTACACCATCTATTTGTCTGAAATGTTCACCTTTAAATGTGAATTTTACATTATCTGTACATAATAATAATAAATCTTTAAGAGTTTTAACAGGAAAAGGCAGTGGAAGGTTTTTCAAAGAAATAAAGTCACACAAAATATCAATGGTTTTCCTAAGAGGTACATTTGTAAATAAAGTGTTTACATCAAAGGAGCACATTGTCTTTGTCTTTATATTTATATCCTTTAAGTAATTAATTAATTCAAATGAATCAGTCAAAGAATACTTACAATATTGATTTCTGATAGGGTTTAATAATTTTGTAAGCCATTTTGCAAGGGTGTGTGTAGGTGACCGACATATCGATAGAATTGGACGTAGGGGGATATTAGGCTTATGAATTTTCGGTAATCCATATAAATTAGGATAGACCGAACCCATAGGTTTTAATAAATTAAACTCATCTTTGTTAATAGCATTCATGTTTGACAATTTCACAAGATTCGAGTTTACTTTCTTTTCTAATTTACGTAATCCATCAAAGTCAACATCAGCCAAAAATAAAATGGAATCCATTCTCAGTGATAAAAGCAAATTTTCGGTTGATGTTGACTTTGATGGATTACGTAAATTAGAAAAGAAAGTAAACTCGAATCTTGTGAAATTGTCAAACATGAATGCTATTAACAAAGATGAGTTTAATTTATTAAAACCTATGGGTTCGGTCTATCCTAATTTATATGGATTACCGAAAATTCATAAGCCTAATATCCCCCTACGTCCAATTCTATCGATATGTCGGTCACCTACACACACCCTTGCAAAATGGCTTACAAAATTATTAAACCCTATCAGAAATCAATATTGTAAGTATTCTTTGACTGATTCATTTGAATTAATTAATTACTTAAAGGATATAAATATAAAGACAAAGACAATGTGCTCCTTTGATGTAAACACTTTATTTACAAATGTACCTCTTAGGAAAACCATTGATATTTTGTGTGACTTTATTTCTTTGAAAAACCGTCCACTGCCTTTTCCTGTTAAAACTCTTAAAGATTTATTATTATTATTATGTACAGATAATGTAAAATTCACATTTAAAGGTGAACATTTCAGACAAATAGATGGTGTAGCTATGGGCAGCCCTCTAGGACCATTGCTGGCTGATGTGTTCATGGGATATGTGGAAAATTTAGTTGGAGACTCAATTCGAAAGATGGGTCTGTATAAACGATATGTAGATGACATAATAATCATAGGTGATAAAATTGAAGACATAAACCGCTTGTTAGAAGAATTCAATAGTAGTCAAAAGCACATTTCTCTTACATGTGAAGAAGAGAAGAACAACCAACCTCCTTTTCTTGACATCCTGATTACTAGGAGAGATGATGGTTCCATCAAACGTGCTATATATAGAAAACCAACATGGACAGGACAATATCTTAATTTTCATAGTCACTGCCCTATTCATTGTAAACGCGGTTTAATAAAGAGCTTATTCAATAGAATCAATCGTATTTGTACTAGTGATACTATTGAAGTAGAGATGAAGCTCTTGACTGATGCATTAATCAATAATGGTTACTCTTTGAAGTTCATAAACCGCTGGAGGGGTTGCAATATGACTAGACCTATGACGCTTCTGGCACCAAAAAAGCGAGTTTATATTACATTACCATTCAGAGGTGACACAAATAGTCTCATGTTGAAACAGAGACTTAAATCAGCTATCAACCGGACATTTTATGCAGCCCAACTTGTCATTATCGAAAAGACAAGGTCTATGTTTCACCAAAAGCCCAAACAGCACGAAAACGATTGTGTCACATCCCATTGTGTCTATCAATTTACATGTATGTGTGAAAACACGTACATGGGGAGGAGCAGTCGTGATTTGCAATTAAGGGTGGGTGAACATATACCAAAATGGTTGCAGAATCAGATGAATTCCAATGGTGAAATAAGATCACAGGATAGACAGACATCATCATCCATTGCGAAACATTTGATTGAGACGGGTCATAAGGTTGATATCAAATCAGCATTTGTTGTGTTGTACAAAAGCCTTCAATGACGTATACTAAGGTTTATTGAAGCCTTGGCTATACGAAAATTGAAACCCCCTTTATGTGTTCAAAAACAATTTGTGCTTACATTTAACCTACCCTGGTAGTACTGATTTACTATCCAGAGTGGTAATCACATTTGTTTTTTTGTGTACTTTAATATTTTTCCTTTGTTATGACTTACCCTTAACCTGTCTAGTTGACCTTTTAATTTTCATGTATAAATGTTCTTAACAAGTATATGTGTGATCAGATTGTTCAAAATGTATTGCGCAAATATATCACATAATTCTGATAAACTGCGTCTTCTCATTGCATTGTCGAAATTTAATTCGAAAAATTATATAATTCATAACAATGGAATCATTTTTCTTAATTTTTGGGAAGTATATCATATCAATTGAATAATTTAGATGATGAAAGAAATATAATATTAAGTTAATAAGGTTCATTGTTAAGATCTTATCCTTATTTATTTAAACACAAACACTGGTACAAAGGTGCACCGAATACATATGCGTCACACAAGTCACTTGACTTGCGTGTGTGGTCTGCGATACTGCTCGGTTGCCCAAACATAGACCTGGTTTCTTTACGGGACCACAACTGGAGCTTTCGACCTATAGGTCTAATGCTTAAGACAGTGGAGCAACATAAGGAGATGCAGTCTCATGGTAGTCGGTGGCCAACAATTGGTTCGTACGCCTTTTATTTCCTCAGGATCCTGGAGCACATGTTCACCATCGGTTTGAAATTAGAGTTTTGCAACTCCTCTAAGTGGATCTTCCATATCCACCAACCCGGTTAAAGCATTGGAAATTCGCTTTTCATCCTCTCAATTTTGTAAATAACACCCTGTTCACAAGAAGTCAGTGAGTGAGTGAGTGAGTGAGTGAGTGAGTGAGTAGGTCTTCTCTAGTAGTGGCTGTATACGTGTGTCCATGTGAGAGTATTTAGTTAGGGAGAGCTGACTCTTCTCACCCTCGGTCGTATTTGGCGCAGAATCAAGATTATGAATTTGTATTTGTCGAAATTCATTTTAAGGAACGTAATGGATCAATTTGCAAACTGTTCACTTTGTTACCATCAGGTAAAATTTATCATTCAGTGTATCTATCGTCGTGTATGTGTTGTTCAGATCAAACATTGGTGCTTTCCTTTTGAAAGTTTTTTTCTTTGCACCACCTCATTGAAAGCCGCGGTTGTAAAAATATGATAATTTGAGATCCATCTAACCATAAATAATAGTTTCATGATTTGGACAGTGTATGTTTCAGTTTACATAATCATTTTGGCCAAACTACTGGTTTTTCATACACCCACCTTATCAGATTAACTAAGTGATTATAAGATATTTTAACATACAACATTACATGTATAACCGTTGAACTATTTTAATATCACCTTTAATTCAATCCTTTTTTGTACAAAAGTCTTTGTGCTAGAATTGCGGTCGCCTGTTATTATTATACAAAAGTGCATTATATATGTTCTCAGTATAAATTCTGTTATTAAAGTATGCAGTTTCCGTATCAGTAAGTAATCACAGCACAATTTGACCAACAGACCTCTGTCATTCGTAAGGACTAAACCACTATGTACAAGTGAAACCTCACACTAACTGATCTATAAATAATAACCAATATTGTAAAGACCACCTCAACCCGAATGGCTTATTGGTGACCTCTCTGATCAACAGCATTGACGATTACTGGTCCTAATCCTTCTTGAAGCATCAGCCATCTTACCTTTGCTAACACCATGGTAGTGATTACCAAGTAGCACATAAACTTAGGTTGAGAGTTTCTCATCGATTAGTTTTAACCATCTGACACCAAACTATTGATTTATCTGGGTTATCATCTTTACCCCAATGTAACACTTTAATGGTTCTTTTTTTGTAAAACAAAACATGTTTGTACAGTTGAATATGCCACTACGACATGATCAGTGTGCAGATAAATTGGAAATGTATTTAATTCTACAACTAGTCGAATGGATGAAGAAAACAGATAATATTAGTAATAATAATAGTGATAGAACAAATCAAAGTTCTGTCAGTTACTTATTAGAAGCTGAAAATGAATTTGATGAGTTCAATATTCAACAATTACAAGAACAAATGACTTCATTGAAGATAGATATTTCTCTTTTAAGTTGTGCAGCTGCTTTGGGGTAAGTTGTTTTTACATGATTACATTTTGTTAAGGTTGTTTGTTTTAGAATAGATTTTTGTGTTTGGAAAACGTTCATGTTAATTGCTTATTCACGTAACACTATGTTAGGATTTGTACATTTGAACTCTGTTAGGAAGTTTCTCTATATGATTATCACTGAAACTAAGGAAAACCAAAGAACGTATAGGTAATATATTTGTGCAGTCATCTATCTTTTCAAAAAATAAATAAATTCTGGACTTTAACGCATTTATTTATGTTTTCTTAATGTGTTTAATCAAACTTGTGGAAGATCATCAGTTTTGACGTCATATTTAGACGTTTTCATATTGGGAAGTCTCACGTAATCACATACAAATTGTTTGGCTTGTTTTTACATATACTAATTTTGAAGTGAATGATTCTTAGCGTTAGCACTCTAGAAGTTAAAAAGCCAATATCTGAAGTGTACACACTGCTTAAGCGTGGTGGTCAGAGACGAAAGATCGAATAACCTGAGAGTGAGGCATCTGAAAAGTTACGTAGCAGATCCAAACTGTAACTGAAAAGTACATACAAGAAATTGGCTTAGGTAACTTTGTTTTGTTATAGAGGAAATGAAAGATAGACTACCAGCAAGTTGAATAGACAATCCAAGCAATGTCAAAATTAACCAGAATGAAAAAGCAAAACCACAAATCGAGAAAGGAAAGCTCATATGCAAATACCTCAATGAAAACTGCAATCGACTATTTTCTACCTTTAAAGAAATGAATAGACACCCAAAAATACGATCACAGACTGACCAAAACACCACCAGATCAAAAATATACAAGACTGCAGGATGGGTAACACGACACATACAATCATGTGATCCACAACATAAACAAAGTACACCAATCGCACATACTAAAAATCATACGAACATCAGCTCACAAAGCACCTCAACTGACTAACACCACTACTCTTTCAAAGACTGTAAAAAGACTACCAACCCTCAAAGGTTTAATCAATCACTTTTTTGTAGTACATGGATTATAAGCAATCACAGGACAGGAAATAAAATCGAAAACGGAAAAATTCACTGCAGAAACTACTTTTAAGCCTAGGCAGTCGTGCTGCGCTTCCATGTGTGCTTCTTCAGAAGTCCCGACCGAATTCACTAACTATATTTGGCCAGAAAGGGTACCTTGAGTATTTACTCTTGAGTTTTCAAAGACCTGTTAAAATTAATTGACTTACCTTCCCTTTTAGACACCCTTACATGATAGTGCTTGCGTTTAGAATCGCATTGTGTATGAGGTCGAAATAACCTACTGCAAAAGATCAAGTAAAGTTGGTCGACGCCCATCGAGCTAGTCCTAAGTATTAGTCTTTCCTTTATGCATCCTGAGATCAGGTACCTAGTGGACCCGGTTAAATAAAGGATCCTTCTCGGAATTTTTCAAGATCTCTGCTGCTACATACCATTTGAATTATATTTTCATAAACAAAAGCTTTTTCAGTACTGTAAAGTTATTTTCCCCTTGATATTTTTGTTTCAGCCTGCTGTTAGGTACCTTTCGAATATTCATGCAATTAAGAAGAGATAACGTAACGGCACTACTCTTCTGTCTTAAAAATTACAGTAACTAATATTGTAAAGGGTGTAAGCTACTATGGATTCGAATGCCGTCAATCTTAAACCAAGATTTTACTGTTAACAGTTCGAACAAAAGACTTTCCTTTATAAACCAAGAGATCCTTTAATTAATGGTGGTTTAAATGGCTTGAAATTAAGCTTCCATGTAGGTTAGTTCCTATAGATTCATAGCGCTTACTATCATACATCTATTCAAGTGCAAAATATCATACGTTGTTATCATGCACCAGTATATAATGATAGTCGAAATTCCTAAAGCTCTAATGTATCTTAATTTTTCAATCTGAAGCAACGCTAATTTTTTAGATCTCTATAACTATTCATTATTAAAATAGTATGTATGTGTTAGAATATTAATGCGAATTATGATGAGGAAATTAAATACGTAATTTTTGTAAATTAAGTATATGATTATGTAGTTGTTCGCAAAATAGGGATATTTAGTTGTAAAATTAAGTTGAGTAAAGTTGAATACAATTAAGATCAAGATCATGTAATGTGTTTAATAATAAAGAAGTATAATATGGAAAATCTAGACTTAAGTCTGAATATTTATAAACATTACAACCAAGTTAAGGCAAATCATATAACAAGTAATCGTGATCATAGAATACGTCCTATGATTCTTACCATACCTTAGTTACTTGTAAAACCCTGGAAGTAAAGACGAGATTTGTCTCGGAATACGATACTATCAGGGTGAATAACATGAGCCTTATGAGAATTTTCATCTATGTTTGAAAGAATAGTTTAAAAAAATTTCAGTTGAAAATTAATGGAAGGCGTTAAAAGGAAATTGTTTTCGTAAACTTCTCAGAAATTGAAATTAAAATAAGTCCAATATCTCTCGCAACAATCTGGCCCGAGCATCTCTAGAGAAATATTCATAAATCACAATAATCGATTATGAGTAGGCTTCCAAAACAACTGTTCAGCTAAACCATTGTCCAATCATTTTTAAGTTGTTGAGTTCGGGACTTATTAAAGTGCAAATGTGAATACGAGTTATTGGTGTGAAATGTAGTGAGAATAGTAATAACTGAAAAAGAAGAAATATGTTTATACGTGTGCGGATCATGTGTGAATAAATCATAGACTAAATACATAACTTTAAGCCGTGGTCGTGAATGATAGTATTCAATCCATAAGTCATAAAACTAGTTGAACATACCTCAAACTATTGAACACTAATTATTTGTATACCATATACTTGAAGAGCATCGGTGTGAATGTTTGGTATTAAAAAAAAGATTTAACAGTGAGAAAATGCACAATGAAAAACTACTGGGTATAAAATATTTTATTAGAAGTTTCAGATCTAAAGAAAAGTACAGATCTTGTTTGCACCAGTAAAATAGTTTTAAAGCTATCGTAATTTAAATGTGAAGTATCCCTATACCATCAAGCTCTGGGAATATATGACGGAATCTTATATATGATACCAAATGAAAGGCGCGGCGCTAAATATCCAAGTCTGCTACCCTTTGCATATTAAAGGATGTGTTGTCAGTTACTTAGGTCGTTATACTTCACTAAGAAATCGTTACTGGGATGGGGGCAGATTGGAGTAATTCTGTTGCATTCAAACGAAAACGATATAGCTTCATCGGTATATTCTTTAGGCTGTATTGGAAGATCCAAACTTTCTAGTTGTATCCGCGGTACAATCGTAATATCCGAAAAAACTGTGACGACGGACCACCGGTGAACTCGAGGAAGCTGTAAGAGGCTCAGAAGGAGCCGAAGACGTCCCATCCAATCACCTTTCGGAAGAATGTGTCTAGAATTCCAACGTGTAGCCTCCCGATTGGATAATGCTAATAACCCCCTGTATGCGGATTGGAAGACTGTAATGATGATTTCGTTCTCACTAAAAACTATAAATACCTGACAATTTCGTACTATGATTGACACTATTTGGAATAATATTCCTATCTATTTTGACCAATCAGTATCCAGATTTGTCATCGGTGTCCTTGGAAGTCATTGGTTGTTAATTGATCACAGTATTTCTCACTACCCTACTGATTCAGAAAATGACTATCCTTCCCGATCAATTGCAGCTACTACTAGATCGCCAGCAGCAGCGTTTCAGAGAGAGCCAGTTGAATGTTTTGGACAATTTACGCACGCGACTGCTAAATCTCCCATGTTTCGGAGATGTGAAAGAAATTGATGAATTGATTTCTCACTTGCATACTGAGCTCGAAAATGACTGCAGGACGTATGAATATGAAAACAAAAGCCTCTATGAATCCCTGATGATCAGTAATGCAAACGAGGCAGTCGCTCATGATCCGTCCAGCGATCCAGAATTGTCCAATTCACAAGCATGCCCTGTTGTGGGTTCAAATCCCACTGTGCCTGAAACATGTGAGGTATCCAGCTTACAAGAAGAACCCTTCGTGCCAGAAAATATTTCCCGTGCATCAAATAATGGTCAGAAATCTAATACGAATTTCAAAGATGCTGTTTATTTTAGCGACTTATTACCCACTGATGGAATTTTGAAGAGGTTTGATGAATGTTTCACAAGAATCAAACTTTAATGACCTCATGTCTGGTGTCGCTGATTCTCATCATCTAGTCAGTCCTAGTGGACCCTCTACCCAATGCGGGAAGTATGCTTTAAATAGAATCAAATTAACTGTTACTTGGGTATATGAGAACCCAACGCTATTTCGCGGGGGAGGACGGACGCAGAAAATGTTAAAATCCGGATTTTAACTCCGGATCTTTCAAAAAAAGAAGGGGAGGTGTTAGGATAGTCGGAAAAATATACCAATAATTATCGTGTTAAGTCTATGGTGGCCTTGGACCTTAAATGTACACTCCCTATTGGTCGGTATTTGTTCCACTTGTTAAATATTGTGTAAATGTTGTTTTCTATTTTATGGTACGATGTGGTTTGTGTGGTTAGTATATAAATAGAGTATGTCTGAAATACAATGATTCATATCTCCGAGGCTGTGACTTGTGTTCTGGACTCAACTGGCTGGGACAGACAGCGAAGCGGGATCAATCAGGGCACTAGGTTGTTCGTACGTGTTTACGTGTCCACTGTAACCGACCGGTAAAACGCTGCTCATCATAACCTGCAGTCACACACATTACAACAAAAACATAAGTGACATGGCTGTATTCATTATTTTTTTCTAAATCCGAAGGTTTAATATTACGTCAAACTTTTTGTTCGTTATTAGGATTTATAATTTTCGAACTAAATTTTCTATATTTTACTGTTAATGTCATTGATACGACTGTTGCTTTCATTTCTCTTTTTTTTCTTGGACTGCACTGTTGTGAAGTATGACGACCTTATGGAAGGTTGTAGGTGGTCTGTGATTGAATCGTCTTTTGTCTTATTTGAAAAAGACTGCCGTCATTGTGTTTGGGCTAGAAAAAATATGTTATTAATATATTTGTCCAAGTTGTTATTTATATAAACTTTTTCGATCAGTTATATTCACATTAACTGTATTTACCCCGGTAGTTATTTCTAATGTACCCTAATGTAGTCTTGTGAATGAACCTATTGAAACAATCCTTTTATCAAAATTTTATTTTTATCAGTAATTTTTATTTAAAAACACTGTATTCTCTAACATCTACATAAAAATGTACATATTTAGATTACCATTTAGTCAGTCAGTCAGTCAGTCAGCTACCATTTAGTAGATTTGGTAAATTAGGCACAGATAACTCGTTCGAGCGCAAAACAATAGGTAACTTAAACATAGTTCATGTCTAATTACTACTTGAATCTCTTAGCTCAATTGTTAGATCGATTTGATCTTTGAAGCTAGATCTTTGTTAAAAATTCTTCTGTATTTTTTGTTGTCATCTTGTAAAGAGAAAGCAACTTAATTATGATATGGTTTCGGACATCTTTGGATAGTGAACCATTGAAAAGCAGGGAGCTATTGATACCTATTTCTTCCTAGTAATAGGATTTCTTACGAGGCGGTTCCACAACTTCACTATGAATCGAGGCCAGAACTTTCAGACCTTGCTTTTAGTGCCTTACCTTTAATCTACCATGTTGAAATTCAATGATGCGAATCCTTATCTTCACTCACTCCGTGATAAATCATTGTAATTTGTTCGCTGAGAGACAGTGAGAGCCTAGGTTTTCAGTGATTTGTCAGTTTCAATCAATCCGTTTGTTTATTTTCTCATTTTTAGTTATTCTGAACTGATACTAGGACTGTTGCAATGGGCTGTACGAATTTATTGTAATCAACCTACATCATTCTTTACAGATCACTGTGGTACAACTTTACAGTCAGATGTCGATACAGATTTATCTAGGATCTTATCTCTTTTACATGGTGAGTCTGTATATTTAATAATGTTGTTGTTCGGTCAATAAAATATTCATTCCTTATCATTTATATTATCTTTGCGTATAGCTGCAACATTTATAGTTTAAGAAAAGTATTATGTATAAGTCTTTTACAGAATGTTAAAATTGTTTTCAGTGACATTTAGAGTTGTACATATAAAAACAAAGAAATCCTAATTGAAAACGTTATTGTTTGGAATATATATAATGATTGGTAACATGCTCCAATTTCTGTCTGTCTACCGATATTAGTTTGGCATAAAAACTTCAAAGTGGTTAGGGTATATGCCGATAAATTTTTAAATCAACGGCGAACCAATATATTAGGAACTTTTTTTTATCCTGGATGAACTAATGATTAAAATGACACTGCAGAACCAGCCATAATTAAAGTATAATATTTCATTCATGGTCGTAACCTTTTATAAGGTCTTCTCTTGGTTTCATGTGTTGTTACATACATAGTGATTGGTCTATTTCATGAATTTGTATTGTTTCTTATGGTTAGTAATTTTCTGTTGTACTTCATTTGGTATAGATTTGACCCCAAATAATTCCCCCTCCCTTGCTTATCCAACACTCACACCATTGGGTTCAGCTATTCTGTACGAACAGGTTGTAACAACGAAGCTCTTAGTAGTATGGGATCCAGATGCTCTTCATAAACCTTGTTTATATAATTCATTATCATCGTGTTCAAAATTGGGTGATGAGTTTACGCCAGAAAAAGTAAGAGGATTCTTTTATTATTCAGTGAAATATCATATTCCTTGTTTATTTCATTGAGTAACTGCTGGTTCAGTAATTGCAGTCACTTTAAATATCAACACATTTACATGGCTTTCTTTAACCGATTAAAAACTCAAAAAATTGCTATTCTAAAATAGTATATTTTATTGTCATCATTCGAATATCGAAACAACTCTACCTTGTTAAATGCACCTTGGATCGTGTCAGTTAATGTTCATATATAAATAATATCAAAAATAGTGCATTCAATATCGAGTTACTTAAACTGTTCGATATAATTCAACCAACCTTCAGAAAGCTAAACAAACATGACATCAATCACTACTCAGTAACTAGTCACTGTAAATACCTCAGTTCAACAGCAGGCTACGCAATAGGCTTGAATAGCCTAGCAGCACCATTTCAGACTGAAGCAGTTTGATGTGGGTTCAAATCCTGCAGGGGCTACTAGTTTTCTCAAGACCTGAACAAACTTTTAATTTAACGTTAAGCATTTCACGTAAAAATGAGTTGTGAAAAGAAAGTGACAAACGAAACCGTTATTTTAAGTTTATGGATTTAAATTAATGATTCCACATGGAGATAATATTTTGACTTCAAATTGTGTTATCTGATTGTAGAAATAGTTTAGATTATATCGAATTCTGAACCCTTCTGCACCATTCTGTTTTGTTGCTATAAATTTTTAATGAATCAGTAAAAAAACCACCTTGATTATTTGAATGTTGTTTAGTTATTCATTAAATCACACACACAGAGCTGTTAATTGTTTCGTAACCTTCTTATATATTTCACTCTATGAACACTCACCTACTACTATTAATAGCCATTAATAAGAATGGATCTTAGTCCAATGTTTTGTTTTATGAAAGATTCATAATGCATACAAAACAAATTCATCGACTTATAGATGTAAACATCAATGTAAAGTCGTTCTCACAAGTAAATCATTTCATTATGTTATACTCATTAACATCATGATAATGATAAAGTTAGTTTTACTTTGTTATTGGTAATTATTTGAAGAAATGAAATGGAAGACCGAAAAAGTAAATAAGTTTGTTTCATTTTCTGATTTAAAACAAATCTTGTCAACATGATTTTTAGTGTTAATTACGTTATTGTTTTCATTGGATTAAATTCTGTTTTTTATTTTTTTTTTCTAGTTAGCATTGGTTATCAAAAGTGAATCTATGCAAAAGTGTATTGAACAATTAGAAGTACAATATTTTTCATCAAATGAACAAAATTATGCAACAGATACTGTTAGAACTAAATTAGAAAGACTTATTAATTATACGGAAACATTTTCACTACCAAATCATATTGATCTAACGGAAATTGATGTTAATACAAAACCGTCGTCATTTACTCACTCATTGTTATATACACAATCGAATATGATTAAGGTAGACTATTCAAAGCAAAATTATAGTCTAGACGTATCTATTGATGATGATGATGATGATGATGATATTCCAGAAGAAGAATCACTTTATCACTCCACATCGTTACATAATATCTGTAGTACAAGTTATCATTCAAAAATTTTAAAGTCTTTACCAACACCAGCAGCCAATCAGTTTGTAGATAATTCAGATAATTTTAAATATGCAGTCGAGAATAACAACAATTCGTTCGATACTCATCATCAACTTTATGAGGATGACATTACTTTGAATTCAAATGTAAAACGTAAAAATATATGTACCTGGCGTAAACAAACATACAATCGACGTCATCATTGTCATAATGGTCGTTTAGATTCAACTTCTCTTTATGCTAGTGTAACAAATTTAATGAATGATGATCATTCTCAAATGTTTTGTTTAGCTGACAGAATAATTGAAGTAAGTTTTATAAAATAAGAAAGTTTGGTTCAGTGAAGAGTTCTTTTTTCGGCTAATTCTTTATCGAAACTGTACAACAGCAAGTATGTACTTTTTTTCAGCATGATAATAATTACAATAATAATGATAATAAAATTATTTTAAATATTATCATCTTATAAAATCAGTATATGTTTGCAATCGTACAGCTTTGTAAATGAATTTGACGAAAAGAGAACTCTTCTCTGAACCAATATTTATTACTTTATGTCTCGATGGGTAAGGGTTCATGCTAATGATTTCATTTTTATTAATTCACTTGATATAATCTGTTAATTGGAATTTGTTGTTTATTATTAAACTAAAGATCTATAAATAGTTGATTATATCTTCGGTTGATTATCATCTATTTATATTCACTGTTAAGTGCTTATATGAGCTCTGAATACATAATATAGTGATTCGTTGAATAAGGAGGCATCCCAACACCTGAGATTACCTGCAGAGTAGTTAATTTTTATTTAGAAACTATTTATCAAATAAATTAAAAATCTAAACTCGTACGGTATCCACACTTTTTACTGAGCTCGTGTACAATCACGTGAAAGTGCTCCTTAAAATAGATATAGAGAGAAATTTGTAACAACGTACGGTAAGACGTGACATCTGATATATGTGTCTAAATTAAAGTGACAGATGACGTCGAAACATGAACGAAAATCATCAAATATGGGAACCGATACAATAAAAAGAACGTCCAATAAATACATTAGAATTAAAAATATCAGCTATAAGTATTATAATGATGTGAACACAGTAATAAATCAATTGAATATTGTCAGCTGATCTCAATGCTCGAGAATGTCATATGACAATAGATATTCTTTCCACTAGACACCCAAACGTTTTTAAATTCGAAATGGATTACTGAATATAAATAAGTAGCATAGAGTGATACACAAGGAAGTGAGTTAATGGCTAATGCACACATAAACATTATGAAATGTCCATATTTATTCATAAATCCAAATCGTTTTTAACTGTTTCAAATATTTGGAATTGAACAATCTATCCACACAATACATTCCCATAATAAATTCAGTAAAAAACAAATGTGATTATGTGAATTCAATTAAATTGCAGATAATATTTCTGTTAAATAACTAGAACACTGTAGAACAAGTTCAGTTTCAAATTCTCCAGATAATATTTACAAACTTTAGAGCATTTTTTTTCTTTTAGCAAATCACTGATTGAAAAGGGGTTGTATGAATTAACAATGCCGATGAAAATGATGGGATAAAATAGTCTATTAGTAAATGGAAAGATAGGTTTCATTATAAACTGGTATCAACTAATGAGGACAACTGTGTTTTGTTTTAATTTGTGATTTATTAGAAATGTACATCGACGACTCCACATCGTATAAGGACCACAGAACCTTCAGGTCTCATGACGAATAAAAATGATGTGTGAATATTTATTATTAAAAGTATCATAACGTGAGATCAAATAGGAAAATTGAAAACGAAATGAAAGGAACATATAAAGCATAAATTCCTCGTTCACCTACTTCAAATATTAGTAAGAGAAATTGGCGATGGTATAGATCTCTTTCCATAACTGTACCGACGTGCTTTACGAGTCATCATCGATCGCTAGAGAGCTCAAAAATCACATATCAAGTTCAATAAGCGTTTTTAGATGACTGTTAAAAATACCTCGTCACATCTTTCTAATGACATTGGCTATATACTCGTTTATACCTATCTGTACTAGCTGTTCGTTACGTGTTTATACATCTTCAGTAACTAAATTTTAATACATAATACTCAGGTTTCGTTCTTCTTTATTTCTGTTGTTAATATTTTCGGCATTGAATTAATCTGCCTTCGGAATCTCAGTACTACAAACCCTTCAATTTTCAACTGTAGCAACAGTATTTATAATAAAAAACTGACATTTTAGGGATTATTTAAAATCCGCATCCTCGATGTGATTTGATATAATTAACTTGTTTTTACGGGTGGTATCAACAGATTAAACCGATGCCAGATTCAATATATTGGTTACCATTTAGCATCTACGAAACAACAATTTATCAACTAAGTATTAGTTTATATAACCCACATCAAGACATTCTTTTTAATGTGAAATTCAACTATGCTATCGGGTTAGTCATCTGACGTCAACCAAGAAGTTCAGAGATGGGAACTTAAATCCTTACAATATACCTATTGAATAATGTTAAGTATTTACCTACTTCTGTCTTCTAGCACTTCTTTTTCTCTATATTTAAAACACTTTCCATCATATTTTTTCTCTTTTTCAAAATATCCTTTTAGGCTATGCCTAGGCGTATTGTTAATCTTCATAATCAAAATTGTGATCATCTGCTATCAACCCATGTAGATTATGATAATAATTATAATTGTGAAGAGTCCCATTCTTCTTCTATCCAGTTTTCTGATTCAGCTTTAGGTGAAAGTATTGCTTTGAGTCGAGCACCAGTTGACCAACTCAAATCACATTCTTCATTGTTGCATTATGAACCATTCACTTTAGCCACTAATACTAATTCTATTACTAACCCTATTCAGTTAACAAATAATGATGATACAAACAAATATTCAGTTAAAATCTTTCCAAATATAACAAACAAATCATTTAGTAATAATCATAAAAATAATAAATCAATTGGTTCATTTAATTCACTTCCATGGAAACGACCTTATCGTGATAAATATTTGACATTATATAACAGTTTTAGATATCGTGGTGTTGGTATCGATGATTATCCAGAGAATAAAGTGAATCATCAGTTAAAAAGTGCTTTACTTAGTTTTCATGAACCTTTGAGAAGAAGATCATATTTTACTCCTCCTATTCAAAAAAATAAAAGTAAATTGAAAACTTTCAATGATGATGATGAAATCAGTGTTGAATTGAATTCTCATGAAACGTACGTGTAATTTTATGATTACGATACATTATTTTTTTATTGATAGCTTGCTAACAAACTAGATAACCATTGAAAATCATACAGCTTCAAAATAATGCTTCCGTAGTATGTAACTCATCAGGAGTATGAATCCACTACTACGATAAGCATGACATCCAATTTTTTTCGAATTAAAATTGAACCATTCGTTTCTGTTTATGTCTTAAATTATAGTTGAGTGTTTCAGCTTTCACAAAATATCTTACGCAAAAGATAAGTTCGCACTCTTTATAGAATTGATGGATTGTGGAATCCAGGACTCAGGTTTTGTCCTTTTTAGGATGCATCAAATAAGATCGATTAAAGGGTAATTTAAAACATTACAGATGAAGTTGAATGCCTACTTTACGATCTAGCGGCTCTCTGAACTCAGTAGCTCAATGGACAACGCGCTGAGCGTTCTATCCTTAGGGTTTACATCGGTACTCGGATGCAGATACATCAGCTGAAGAGTTCCAAATAGGACAATTCCATTTCTAGTCATAATCGATTCAATCTGTAAAACTTGTAGCTTAACTGTCACATTGATGCAGTCTGTATATATACCAATTTATGACTCAGAATTCAGTCGAAAATATCAACAGTATTAAAAATTAAATTAATTATAAATAATTAGGATTAAATTGTCTTAATGATCTCACGAGTTACACTTTGCCTTCTGACCTAAACCATAGATACGAGAGTTATCACAATTCTTATCATTACTTTTAATTCAACAATTGATTTTGAAATAAGTTGTTCCTAGCCAATGATGAGCAACGTACGTTGACTAATTGAACTATATTCATAGTTTAAATTACGAATTGATTTCAGCTATACCACCACGGAAAACCTGAAATCACTGGGCATGTTTTGTTCTAGTATGAAACTCCTCATCAGAGCACATCCACAATCATGTTACAGAGAATCAAGATTTGAACCTTTCGTCTCGCATGCGAATTGATTATACTTAGTTACTAGAAATCGGTAGTCCAATATTCGGTATTACACTGAGTTTATGTCCACTGGTAGGTTCCCAAAGAATTGAGAATGAAATTGTAGAACGTTTTAATTAGTTTTGAAAATTTTACACATTCACTCCACCTCCATTTTCCAATAATTGTTTTAATGTCTTTATTATTTATAGTGGAGTTATCACGTCAAATTCAATGTTCGATACACCTTTTAGTTCTACTAGTTTTATGAGTTCAGATTTAAATAATGAAAATGATTTTGATGTACTTCGATATGATCGTCAAGGGAAATCATTAAGCGCTTTCAGTTTAAATAGTCCACCACCGTCTACAGCACAAATTGCTGAACATTTTAATGCAGTACCAGGAAAATTTATGGAAACTGACTTAAGTAGATTAACTCTATCGGATATGGAACAGAAACGTTTATATGAAGCAGCCAAAATTATACAGAAATATTATCGAGCTTATAAAAAACACAATCAGTCGGCGATTATTCAAAATAATAATAAGAAATTGTCCAATACATTTATACCTAATCATGTTTTATGCTCTTCATCAAACCATGATTATACTACTGAAACAGATTTAAGTACTTTTGATAAATCCTTATTCAATAATAATGCTTATTCAAAAAGTGTGTGTGATGTTAACAACACGCATCAGATTGTACACCAACTTCAGCAGAATAGCAATACTGTCATCTCTCTAACTGATAAACAAGAATGGAATAATGATGTTTTACTGGGTTTCGAAAATGATACATCTGTAGGCCTTGAAGTGGAAATAGAAACATCATACGATAATACAATAACTAATGGTAATGATAATTCATATCAAGTTCAGTCTATTCAGTCTGGTCAATTGTCTTTACCTGGAGAAACAAATTCTAATTGTTGTTTGAAAACAACAACTAACTTTTCCAATTGCATCTCAACTTCAATACAATCATTGAATTCACCACAACCATCAATGACTTCATCATCCAGTGGGCCATGTAATAAAGAAATTGAGGCTGCAATTATTATTCAAAGTTATTATAGACGTTATAAACAGGTACTTAGTATATTTATCTGTCGTTTATTTACTTTCCATTGTAACCAGTAACGTATTGACTTATTTAATGCAAACTTTCCATGAGACAATTATTATTGAATATTTGTTAGAAATTATTCTTTATGAATGCTATAGCATGTTTGTGTCATCTTCTATTTCTCGTCATTTGATTTACAGACAAATAGAAATGAATTCACCTTACTTCACAATGTTCGTTAATTTTGCTTTAGAAAAATTAATGTGACACGACAATTTCTCTTGTTTCTTGTCTTTTTTGAACTCATTTTGGAAAAAATTCATCAGATTTATATTATGACAATTAAGGTACTTAACTTGACTAACATTAAGATGAATTTTTCTCAGTATCATGTGGCTGGAGGAAATTGGAAAAAAGTCCTCGATCTAGGTTTCGTACTGATTGATGGACATCAATATGGTGTATCTACGATCTGAAAACTGATCACTAGAAATTCAAACCAGTTCCACATAGCACCGCAGTCAGAGATTTTAGCAATTAGCTATTTGAATTACGACTGACCTGTGAAACTCTAATAATAACACAAATCGGTAACTTAATGAATATTTGAGTTCATCGAGAAGAGCTACTGAATGCTCGGTGTCTACAAAGATTAATATGTGTTTGTGTATATGATTAGTTGTAGCATTCAACTTTTTCTTTTTATTTCATTAGTATGCATATTATAAACGATTATGTCAAGCTGCACTTTTAATTCAAAATCGATATCGCTGGTATGTAAATCGGAAGAAGAATGGTAATAGCGCGGGAGTTTCAGCTGGTCCTAAACTTAGAAAACCTAGATCAAGTCAATGTAATAATCCACGATACAGGTTTGTGTTTAGTATCAATATTCAAGTGTCTTGTTTTATTTCTAGTTAATGCAGTCGTACGTTTATTTTAACAAATCTAGCTGGTTAGAAACCGCACGGCTATCATAACCAGTGATTAGACACTTTGAATGAAGTGGCTCAGAATCGTTCGAACTTGCGTAAATGCACTCACTCTTTGACTTTCTTCAGAACTCCAGTCTCGAAGTTTCCTTGAAACGTTTTTTCACTAAACGTTTCTACTATTTTGAGATAATTTATTTTCGCTGTGCTAACGTGGTATGGCAACTTGAACTGCTGTGGACATAGATTTCAGGTTGTACACTGTAGATGCCCAACTAATTAACTGATATAGCTCATCATCCGAACCTTTTTATGGAGTTGAATGACATGGGATAAACAGTAAAAATCCTAGTGTTAACCACCGGCTCACTACTGTTTATTGGAATATGTAGTAACAACGTGTAATATGAAGATTGTTTTGATTAGGGACTGAACTTAGATGAAAAGCTGTTGACAAATTAAAGTCAAATGAACAGTTGTTTTACACGGGATTAAACCCCAAGTCTTTCAAATCTTAGTAGGAATTACTTTGATTATTAACCTTTTTACATAATTAAATTATGCATTTAAGACGACAACACAATTTCAAACCGATGTCAGCCACCATCATGTCTATATTCAAATAATCAAGTTTTTTTCAACCATCGAAAAATACGAATGGCTAAAGCGTTTTGTATATTGCTGAACACTACTGCACCCAATCAAAAGGAAAGCCTAATTATCCATCTAACTTCAAGTACTTATCCAAACAGTCAAATTAGGCACACCTGTTAACACACACAAATCAGCTCTACATCTTCACATTACGAATTTTACATTTTTCATACCCACCTAGATATGCATCGACAAACACAAAAATGGTCTCATCTTTGACCTGAGTGATGTAACATTAGCATGATAAACTTTGTTCGCATTGTACATATTACCTTTTTTGTTCCTCCATGCTAGTTAAAATTAATTTTAATTCGGTTTTTCATTGTGATCTGAAATCAATTAATGAAAACTAGGAAGCAGTGGATCGCTACTATGAGACTGCCTCACCGAAAATGGAAAATGGTTGAGCCAATGTCATTAATTGATTGACGGTAAACACGCAAACCATTGGTCGCTGACTCAGTGACCTAAACGTTAGGCGTTCGCTACGAGACGTAGACGTCCTAAGTTTTATGTCCGGTCGGTTAGTAGGTGGGCACGACTGAGGAGTCGCACATTAGGATCAAACACCTATCCAGTCCTTCCTGGTTTGCATTGGTTGTCGAACTGGTGTCGATTCCTGCTCTCAATAATATTCACCAGTCTCCGTAAACTTCTATACTGACTTTTATTTATTCTGTTGAAAAGCTGATTTACAACAATTCACGAAATGTCAAAAATTCAGTTTCCTACTCATTGAAATATTTCAAATAGATTTTTATCTGTATTAGTATAATTACATACATATGGCAACAATTTTTCCCTCCATGTAAACGCACATTACATTTATACATTGTGGATAATATACTTCATTTTCTTCTAGGTCAGTATGTACACGAAAACCAAAAGTGAATAATAACACAGGTGGTGAAGTAAATATTGGGTAAGATCAGTTGGTGTGATAGGTTAATCTTTTTTTGTGAACATTTAGTTTACTAGAATACTAAACAGTTTGTCTTTTTGCTTATATCATGTTAAATACCACTAAAGATACTTTATAAACACAATTGAATACCGGTTGAGTGGTTTTAAGATTAAGCGTCTGCACATGGGGCTGAAGGTCTTGGGTTTGATTCTCATTGTCAGGGTAGTGAGTGAGCACTGATGGGGAGTCCCATACTAAGACGAATCGGTCGTCCAGTACTTCCTAGTTTAATTTTGGTCGGCTGATGATGTAAACGATACTGTATACAGTGCTTACTGTATATGCAAATAAAATAAGCTTACTGTCGATAAGGGAAAATGTGATAAAATGTTAGTTAGTTAATACCATCAAGATGGGGAGACGGTGGTCTTCAGTATTAGCCTGCAACATAGCTTAATTCAGTCTTCTTTCTCACTTCCGACGTTTTAATCAGCAGTTTGTGTGAATAATCAACAGGTTACAATTTTTTTCATTTCATTTTAGTCTTTGTGTTTATTTCACCTTCCAAGTGTATCTTCTCCTTCCTTCACTTAATACCACCCATCTAGTGTTCGTCTCCGAAAACCTATTGTCTCAGTAAGTAATGATAGTTATTTACCAATGACTTAAATAGTAACAGTGATGTAGTATTGTCGTATTATTATTGTAATTCCTCTATCGTGTTTTCTTGGTCATAATGTTGTCTATACTATGTTTTGTCGTAAATTGTTAAAGCATGTTTCTTTTATTTTATTAACAATCCTTTATTGTTCAATGGTATCACAGTTGTCGTATTAAAAATGTAAGTGGTGTGATTTCACTAAACAAATCGATCGCACAAGTTGAAAAAAATTACTAAAATAATTTAGGCATAAGGTGAAACTGGGGAAACATATATTTTGATTTAAGTTGTTACATTTAAATTGTTATTCTGTTCTAAAAGAACAACTCTCAATTACACGCTTGTTTTTTATAAAAAATCAGACTCCCTGTTATATTGTTAGTTGTCAAATTTAATTCTTTCCCCACTATTCAAGTCAGAATTCGACAAAACTTTGAATAATTCATTTCTTTTCCTGTTGTTCATGAAGATGGATTGAATTTAAATATTATTTAATAGTGTTTACCACTGAATTTTGACTTTAAAGGTATGGTGTTCTCTGTGAGATTTAGTTTTTCAATTTGTTTTCCTCTCCATTTTACTTCAATCTGTAATGACAACTATCATCACATCATCATATCTGTTGTCTATTCAGTTTATATACATTTCTATCTTATGTTTTGCCATAATACTATTCATTAAATATTCCGTTTTTTTTTGTCGCTTGCTACTATTCTGTAGATTTCCGGATGCATAAGACATCGATCCGCTACCCGGTTATCTTCATTCAACAACACTCCTTATATCCCTTTAATCAATTCACATCATGTAAATTCACCTTCAAGATTTATTTGTTTTGAAGAGCATTTAATTGAATCCTATGATAATCATTCACAACGTTTTTCAAATAATTCATCTATTGTTTAAATGATAGTAATGTTTATACTTAGTTCAATGTTTATGTTATCGCTATTTGTGTGTTGTATTGACATTGTTCATTTCATTCAATGAGGGCCTTTGTGCTTTAAACTTATTTAATTTTCATTCATTTTGATATACATGTAATGCAATTGTTACAAAGATGATTTTTATTCATTTATTTACTTTTTCTCTATTTTCCGACAATTTGCTCACAGGTGATAAAATTAATTTTCATTTCTCTCGAGACAATAATAATAACAATGATAGAAATATAATGTTATTTCAATTAGTTATGACAGCTATATTTTTGATCATGTTTGTTTGCCTTTTGCCAGCCGTTTTTTTTTCATTTTTAGTTTCTCTTCATCCTGAACTTACTTAATCGTATTTCGACTCTGTCGTTTCTGCATAACTTCTTTCCATCAAATCGTGATCTCAAAGACAACTTTACTCATGATTTATCTTGTCAGTTTTATTCTTCTTTCACTCATGTGTCAAACATTTTCATCTTGATGGACACAAGAAATCGATACATGTACTTACGCCTGTTACCCTTTGTGGGAGATCATAGGTCACCCACCAGCATTCTCCATAGAACTCTGTCCTGGACACACGTACACACAGTAACAATAGCACCATTATTGACACTTGGCTTTGTGGTTTTGCTTTCAGGTTATTTTGTTTATATTTATGTTCTTAGTATTTCTTTAACTATTATTGTAACCTAGTCTTTCCTCTGAAAAAAGACTCATTTTCCTTATTCATTTATAGATAATTGATTACACCCACGCACAAGTGATGAAAACCACTGTTTTTAGAAATAATTATCTACTCACAGCTGTCGACTTCCTATTTATCTTTGTTATTATTAAAATTATTGCTTTTTACTAATTTACTTGAACAGATGAAGCAACCTAGAAAAAAAAGATCATAATATTTATTTATTATTGAATGCGTCAATGTTTACTTTTTAGTTTTCTTTTAATTGACAGACTAGTTTGTATGATTTAAAACTGTATCTATATGACACCATCAGTTGTTGATCAGTCAATCAGTCATATACAATGCAGGACCAGGAACATATATACATCGGTCTAAGTTGTCATACCTCATTAGCACAACAAGATGAACACCCAATTCATAGAAGCAGTTATTTCAATAGTAATAATCTATAATAAAAGGATTGCATATAAGGATATGATTTAGGGAGAAATATTTAGTGGTTCAACTATCTCAGTCGATGAATATCCACAACATCATCAAATGTTTTATAATCAATCACTGGCATCTTTCGTTTAGCTTCACCATTACTTACCCGGCAGATGCTGGCAATATTTCTAAGATATATGTGATCAAGTGCTAGAAAATTACGAATATCCTCTACCCTTAATTGCCACGTTTTGCAGCCGTAATGTAGAACAGAATAAACTGCGTACGTTTATTGATATAAGGATATTTCTACTTCGCCATCGGTAACGTAAGTTAGCAAAAGCCAAACGAGCTTTTTGAATCCGTGCAGAGATTTAGTCAGACACCAACCAATTAAGGTTGATCAGACCTTCAAGATAAGTGAAGTTGTCGACGCGTTCGTCTACTTCACTCTCTATTCTTAGTTCAGGTGTTGATGCAAGCCAGTATTGATGCAACAAATTGCATTTAGAGGGGAAAGAAATGAATTCCAAACATCCTGGCATTGTTGCTCAATGCTACCGAAGACTGTATTTTGTCAGCGTCTTCACCAAACAGGTCTTTGTCATCTGCGAATATTCTGACGGCGAGAACGCTATTTCCAGCAGTAGGTCTGTGATGAAACTAAACAACAATGGAGGTAAAGAACAGCCTTGTCGGACACCACTTGAGGTTGCGAAATCAGATGACAGTTCGCCATAAGCTCTGGCTCGACTGGTAGTGTTCAAGTAAAGATCCCTCACAAGATTTATGTATTTTTGAGACACTGCCACAGACCTTTTCGGTCTACACAGTCAAATGCCACTTCTAATCGAGAAAAACTATCCTTGTCGGACATCGATAAGCATTCCTGTGTTCTAAGATCTGACGAATGCTGAACATGTGGTCGATGCCGCCACGACCAGATCTGAAGCCAGCCTGTTTTTTGGTGTTTGCAGTTCACGAGTCTTAGGCGCCCGATAATCATTGAGGCTGGTATTTTAGATGGTATGTTAGTCAAACTAATCCCTCTATGGTTGTCAAAGGATGATTTTGACCCTTACTTATATATTGAGACTAGTAAGGTGGTATTACGTCCAACTGCCAGATTTTAGCTAAAATATCAGTTAACCCAACCATTAAAATGACTACCATACATAAAAACCTCTGGGGTTAATCCATGTTACATTCCGGCTGTTTGAAGATAGTGGGTAGATGCAGAGTAACTGAACTGCTCCTTAGTGTTTCGCCCATCGTTTTAAAAGTCGGGAATGAAAGCTGATAAGTGTCACCTTTTTCCGAGATTGTTTCACTAACAACTAACTTTTTAATTCGAGTTCCTTTTATTAGTCTGAAGAGCGTTACCTACAGTCACTGCCTTTCGTCGCGTACCACTGTTCACGGTCGTTTCTTAGACTTTTGGTTAACAAAAATTTCCTCTCTTTACGCTCTTCATTGTGTTCAGAGCCCGATGGGATGAGTTTACAAGAATGCATCAGTACAATAGACTTAGTAGAGTAGTTTTTCGTGACCCTTTGGTTCAAGTCACTAATAGATGTCGCTGCTGTTCGTATATCTTTCGAAACAACATCTTGTTTTCAAAACTGCCTAAGTGTGACTTTACTTATTCCTGAGTTCAACTCGAATAGGTCTTCTTACTGTGGCTTTTCTGTGTCCAGTGAGGCACAAGCAAATGTCTGCCCGTATTAGAGCATGACCAGAGTTTAAAATGTATTGTAGAACGAGAGGCAGTCTTCCACCAAGTCTCTACGTCATTGGCATGGTGCAAGATGTCGCCATCTTAGACGATGTCTTTCCTTATGCTTAAACTTAGCGGGTCAGGAATGAACTGTTGTCTGAGCACAGTTGCAGCAGATATCACCATTATCTGTTCGCTGAGCCGGAATAAGAAAATACCCACTGAAATGTCTTTCTGTTTGGTTTAAGCTACTTAATTAGGCATTAAAATCACCGAGTACTATGTCTAAGCGCTTAGCCTTTAGAAGAATCTCAAAAAGCTTTCTGTAAAACTCACCTTTCACTTCATCAGGGCAGCAGTCAGTGGGAGCGTAGGCAGAAGTGAAATAAAGGCAACGACGTGCTTCCGAGTTCTTAAGAAACCGTACAGCACATACGTGACTGTCAACAGGGATCTATTCCAACAGTGCTTGTTCTGCCCTCATACTTAGTGCTATGCCTACAGCCGCCACACCACTAAAATTTTCAGTCACGTCGCCAAACTCGTCGGCTCTCCGTTTTGGCTAAGTGAGATCAAGTGAATAATCACACTAATATCCTGTGTGCGCGTTTTAGAGACATAGGATACATAAACGTTGTTAGACTCCAGAGAGGGCAGTATCGTCGTTATGCTGATTGTCTGAGGGAAACATCTTAATGCCGATACACCTCTCTACAGTCAGTAGTACGACTTCGTCCTCGGACGTTGAGTTTGTGGCTTTTAGTTTTGCCGTTCTTTAACCGATCTACCTGGCATGGTAGAATCTTGAGGAACGATTGTTCTAGAAAATATAGCACAATTAATTCATCACAACAGGCAAGCCCGACCATCACATGAACGTAGCAGCAGCAGTAGAAAAAATTATATGATATCATGCGTAGTCGTTCTATTTCACAGACAATAGTATCGAACTATATGTAGTAATGTCCAAGTTCAAGCTGCTACATTGTATGCAGTGGCCATATGAGAAAGAAATCAACAAAGCCATGAAAAGACAAGTAGAACAGAGCGAATAGATGTGAATTTATTCTTTACTATTGTTTTCAACCCTGAGGTAGTCCTTTCTGGATACTCGTCACAAATAGTTTCATAGCCAACTAATCATCTAAAAAATCCTTATTAACAAATTCTCTTAGGAGTTAACCAGGTGAAATTATATATTAACATCATGGAGAAGTCATACGTGGAAATTATAATCTATTTCCGTATTCATTTCTTTTTGTGGTTACAAATTTCAGGACAACCATCGTTTTGTTCAACATTGCAAATACACTTTGCCGACGAGTATCAACAAGAACAAATCTTAGATACATTGCTTCCTACTACTAATTACCTTCCACTGATTGACATGAAATCTATAACCTGATGAAAATTAAAACAATATTTTGTAGATAAGAATAAATGAATATCCATATTTGTTCAACACAACACTTCATCGTTATGATTTGTCAATACACAGCAAATAAGATGATGAATATCATTAAAATAAAATATTTTTTTCATATTATATAATGCATTATGACAGAAATAAGAACCTATAATGTTTTCACGTAAGTTTCTAACATTCAGTGAAAGAAGACAAATTCGACAGTGAATAAATATCATCAGTACATTTAAATGTAAAAAAAAAAATAAACAAATAAATAAACGAAAAGCCAAAACGCAAACTTCTCTTAACAACAGCAACAACAACACCGACAATAAAAGCAATAACAATCTAAATAATTATCACAATAAGAGAAAAGTTATTATACATACAGCCAGTCAAATGTTTACACAAAGAATTTTGAAATACATAAAGTTCACATGATGATGTGATGTAGTTTTTTCTGCTTTTAGCGAAAGACAATGAAAACACATAGTATACACAAATTTTATGTGTATTATACTATAGGGAAGACCACATATAATTGTGGGCATCATCCAACGTGAAATAATTCATTAAATTAGAAATATTTCAGAAAGATATATTTCTTTTCCGTCACGTTATTGACCAAATAGTAATAATAATACTCACAAATTAAAATTATACTGAGATAATAAATGAGGTGATCCAGTCAACATTAACAACAATAAACCTAATTCAATCAATATAGATTTGTTGTTTCCACTTCTTACATTCAATAATGATTGTAGACAAATTCATTGAAGATAGAGAACAAAAGTTAGAAGAAAGAAAGAAAGCAAAAATATTTTAAAAAAAGGTGGAAGAGAAGGCAATATAATTTAACCGGATAAAATGCATATCAATTAATATCAATCATAAGAATCACTATTATAAGTGATAATTATATCAAAGAACTTAACAACTATTTCTATGACAGAACAAGCAACAAAGCTAGAAGAACATAAATTAAACAAATAAGACAAAAACAAAATGAAATGATCATCATTTGAGATCATATAAATACATACAAATGATAGATATTGACTTATAATTAAGTTTATAACGAAGTTGAATAATTATATTATATTATAAACGTGATGATAATTATCATTATTGATTTATGTATAATTACTGAAATCTGTTTTCAATTTAATTGATGATAAATTCGATTGAGGATTATGTTTCAGAATTGTTTGATTGTTATGAATGAATGGGATATTATTGGTTAATTGATATTTCGAATGATTATAATCATGATTGGTATTATTATTATTATTATTATTAGTAGTAGTAGTAGTAGTAATTAATGGAGTAGAGAATTTCATTGCATTTTCTAAACGTAATTTAAAATCATTAAGAAGTTGAAACGTTGAACGAAATTCATTTGGAAAACATGGAGCTATTGTTATAATATGTTTTAATGTAATAATATGTATGAAATAAATTAAATCTAATGAATTTGTAATAGAAATAATATTATTTTTATAATTTAACCGGTTTAATATAACAGATGATTCATTTGTAAGTAGATTACATAATAATGGTAAATAAATTAATAATAAAGCTTGACGATTTGAACTTTCAACGATACGAATTATTGAAGTAAGTAAATCAAATGCTTCATTTAAACATAAAGCAAGTTCATTTAGATTAATTTGAATATTGAATAAATCAGGTGATGTATTTAACTTTTGTTGTTGTTGTTGTTTAGATGAATACATTTCAACAATATTAGTTAGATCATATAACCAATGAAATACCTAAAACATAGAAGAATTGCTGAGTCATTAAATAAAATCATTACGAAACTATATTACATTACATATATATCTGAACGCTTGATAGTCAGTTCATAAGTGCTTACTAGTCCCCCAGAATACCATATGTGACCGCTGAACAGTAAAGAGAAAATGGGATTATGAGAACAAAGCCTTACTTTAAGGTTAATTTGTGTAGAGGAAATAAAGGGGGCCTTGGCACTTTGGAGGCTACTAGAAACACTAAATCTATCAACGAACTACGTAATGATTCAATCTGAAAGTGACACATGACCTATAGTATTAATTTCTAGCTGTAAATTATAGTTTTAGAGAATAGGAAATATGTTTAGCTTGCAGAATTTTGAGGGATAGCTCTGGTTCGTGAAACGATCAACCAAGCAATATTTGAAGTTAAGCAAAGGGTACTAGGTAGAGGTGAGAATTCGATTGACTGGGTTATAAATCTTTATTGATCGATGTAGTTGGGCAATGTGATACGCATTCGTATCTTGGTATGGGATGCCAGCTGGTGGTAGAAGTAATTTGGATGAAAGATTGGGGTGCTCAAACCAAGATACAGCATCAGTTTATGAAGTTGTTGATTATTAGTCTGAGCCAAGTTGGTAGATCCAAACAACCTGATTGGAGTCCTTGGAATAACGGTGATCGACGGTTGGAAACGATTGGTGAAATAGATCAACATTATTCAGCAGCGTAGTCGCATTCCCTCTCTATCGCTCCATAAATTTATATGTTGTGTTTTTTTTTTTTGCAACCCGATTCACACTGCTGTCTTTTTTCATTATCATCGCTACTGCATTATTTTAATTGTTTTTGCAAATCATCTTACTATATTCATTTCGTCCTGCTAATTTGATATGCAAACGTGGACCAACGCACATTTGTGCCCGGTTCTGTGTTCATGATGACTGACTAACATTTAATACCTTTATTTTTTCTTAGATTGTTTATATCACTTTTAAATTCCAGAAAAAATAACTTTTTTTTTCCTAGTTAAATTAATTTAGTGTATTATTTTATGTTAAGGCAAATAAGTAAACATATACAGTAACTGAGTTTGTAGAATCTTATCGACCTGAAATTTTGCAATATGAAATTAAAATAAGTCGTAATAATTATTTTGAAAACTTTCAAAGTAGCAAACTACTTTTGACTACTATTAGGCCAACAGTAGTATGCTGTAAACATAACAAATGTTCAGTTACATATAAAAATGCGAAATAATTCAGTGAAAAATACTTGCTTACTTGAGGAGTTAATGTTTTGATAAACAATGATCTAATTGAAGATTCATGATGATTGCATAACAATCCAAATGATCTTAAGCATATTATTCGATTTTGCAAAAGCTTCGATTCAAATAATTTAGAAATATCCATTAATGGATTTTCCAATGAATTAGCATCTTTATTCATTACACCATTTGATTGATTGTCAGAAATTGGAGATAAATGCCATCCACGACAAAGCAGTTCTGAAAGCTCATTGACTAAATTTGTTGATTTAAAAATTTGAATAGGACACTTGGCACATATACGGCTGACTAGATAAGCTGATGCTAGACAACATTTAGGTAGTGAAGAATTATCAACCTGTATATGGTCAGAAAAGATAATATATGAAAAATATTTAGCCAAAAGAGACCCACTTATCAGTTCGAAATAATCACAAACATTTTATAAATTGTTGAATATAATTATATACAAATACAAAACGGAGTTCTAATTCAAATAGTCTAAAATACACTTATCATACACTTGAAAGTCTGTAGAGTAAACTTGAATATACAAATATAAACACTAACATTCGTTTGATTCTGAAGGTAAATTTAATTATGGATTAATAATATATGAAGGACAGTTGGAGCTTTAAACGTATAGATGTAACTGATACGATCGACAACATTACGTGTCAGTCTGGTTCCCATAGCAGGTGACATCATATTGCTGATTGACTAAAGTTACAAATGTAAATCAGTGAATTGTGCTTTCCTAGCATAAAATTAACCACCAACGTTTGGTTCCATTACCTAAGAGGTCATTTATGTTCAGTTTTGAGGAGGTTCAGACGAGGACAGAACAGCTATCAACTACTTTATAGATTTTTAAAGGTTCTCTTATCAGTCGGTAATTATTTTCGAAAACCACATTCAAAATAGCTGTACTTTTGATATGATGGAAAGAAAAATCAATTTTCGATCGATTTACTCATTATGAGTTTTATTCAATGTTACTTCCGTTTTGATTCAATGTAATAGATTACTCAATGTAGTATTTGTTTCTGTTTTCCAGTGTGATATTTTATTCTGTATAATATACGATATTCTTGTATTCCATTGACATGAACTATACTCAATCTGTGATTTGTTATAACTCTAAGTATTTTTCATATATGTGATTACATTCTAATTATTAATCAAAATGGGTGTACAATCAATATGTAAATGAGTGTATTTTCGACAAGATTTGTCGTCGTCGTGTTTTGGGGTTAATAAATCTTTACTTATGCCAGTCTTTGTGTTCTTACTTCGCATCGTGGGAATTGCAGGGGTCCCTTGTTCCTAGTATAAGTGATCAGCGCTTTTTCCGGCACAACAATTACGACGACCCGAATATAACAACTTTTTTAATCTTTACTGTAATGATGACAATAACATGAGTTAAAAGAAATGAGTTGCACAATGACGTATAACGTGAGAAAAAGAATAATTTACCAACAAAAAAAGGAAAATAAAATAACAATTCATCAACCGATCGAGCAAACAGTCATCAGTTAGTTAAATTTACACTATACAGAGATTAAAAAAAAACATAAACTTATAAACAATATATCTGAATAAAACACTAATTTTCTGCATCAGTTATTGAATAAATGAATGAATTAACTTTAATGTATCTCTCCATGCAGCACTGATTCAATGTTAGTTCTCACATAATACTACAGATAAGAATATACACCTGCCATAAATGATGAAAAATTGGTAAATAAATATTGGGGAAAATACGTGAAAATAAAACAATTCAACTTTTAGTGAGCTAATAATATTTCTTCTCGTCGTGAGCATAGTAACAGTATAGATATCCATCTTAAAGTCACAATAAATCATCGGTCTACACACATGAATTTATAAAAACTGTACCATGTATTAATAAAACCTCTGAACCAGATATGCATTATATGTTGAATAGATAAACATAAATTTATGCATACATATGCGTGAGTACTGGTCTGTGTGAATAGTTTAAGGCGATGTTGATAAACAGATGGTACATAAACGGAGAGTTTTTTTCAAGGAAATTTCGAATTGAATTGATAATGAAAATTTAGCACATCTACAAAAAAACTCATGATTTTAAGGTAATGTACGACATAGCTAAAGATTTGTTTCGTAGATAACCTTCGAGTTTCATATTGGACTACATTCTACACAAAAATTACCAACTGACTATTTGTTGACCCAATAAGATTAAACAACAATGTGAATATGAAGTATTAAAGAATATTTTAAAAACATTTACAGAGATCGATTGTTTAGTGAGCCATCTTTTACATTTTATTACATCTTGTGAGAATTTGAATAGAACCAATAACATTTTATAGTGATACAAATCAGCAGAATTCATAAAAAGAAATAACGTTGCACTAAACTTACTCCTGTTTCATTATCATGTTCATGACGTAGGATTGATAATAGACTAACTGAAATTAAATGATACCATTCAGTGAACGCATTTAACACTGTATTCTCATTTATAATATCCATCGTTGAAGATTGACTGACATTAGAATTAATTGAATTATTACATTGTTCTTTTACACTAGAAATACTACTACTATCCGGTTGAATTTCAGCTGTTTGTGATAAATGCACCGAATATTTATTCACATTTAAATCTTGATTAGGTGAATTGGCTGATAAAGCAGGATAATGATGCACAGCCAATTTATTCAATAATGAAATATAAACTTCAGCTAATTCAGCTGATTGTTCAGTCCAACCAATGAATTGATTAATAAAACGATATTGTTGACATGATTTCACTGATGTTGATAGTTCATTAACAGCGCATACAGATAAATTAGTTGTTGTTGATGAGATTTCTGTTTCATCTTCACCAATTAAATATGAAGTGAATAAATTCGATGATTGACATGTTAGATCATATGGTTTCAATATGGATAGATTATTATTATTACTATTATTATTAGTATAATTGCTGTTTTTATTATTAACACCGTAGATCTCGTTTGATTTATTTGTTTGTAATGGATTATTGGCAAAATTATTTTTCACATTCGAACATTGAATTGGTTTTATTAATATACTCTGCAAAACAATTAAAAAAACTAATCTTATAAGTCGGTAAAAATATAAAGTCATAAGAACAACTTTTTAAAAAATATATAGAAGAACATTTGGTAAAGGATAATTTATGTGGGAACGAGTTTAAAACAACCTTTATGAATTTTCAGGCACTTTTTAACCAATCTAAAAACCGCTTTCATAAATGTTATGTACATGCAAAAGAAAATAACATTATCACAAAGATTAAACAGATTTTACATATAAATGAATTCGTTGATATCTTCAACAGATTACTCGAAACGTGGCGATTGAGAGTAGAAGATACTTGTAAGTTACTAGTATTTGACCACAAATGCCTTACAAATATATCTCGCATATGCTGGGATCACCAAGTAAGTAATAGTGAGGTTAGACACAAGGTATTAGGGAATGTTGGTCAATCACTTGATGAGGTTGTAAATCTTCATCGACTGAGATGGTTGGGCCACGTGTTACGTATGCCTGAACACCGACTACCACGACGTGCAATGTTGACTAGTGTTGGAGATGGTTGGAAGAAAGTTAGTGGCGGCCAGACCAAAACGTGGCATCAGTCCTTGAAGACACTAACTTCTAGTCTGAGCCATGTTGGGAGATGCGGACTACTTGGTTGGGGTCCGCGTGACTATCGTAACCAATGGTTGGAGACTCTGTTTGACATGGCACATAATCGATCACAATGGGCAGTATGTAAATGTCTTTCAACTCCTTGTTTAACATGATTTTTGAATTTACCACAAAAGCGTAAAGGCCGTGTTATCGACTCTGATTAGTTCTTCATAATAAATTTTACCTAAAATTTTATCGAAACCAAAGTCCAGAAGCTTTAAGGAACAAGCATGTTAGCATCGTGAAACATATAATTACAACTATTCAATTTAGTCAATAATCAGATGACGAACTGACATAACACCCGTCAATAGAATATGAGTCATTTTCAAGCATCCAACACGACAACTAAATATGAAAAAAACTGATACATCACGGTTGTAATGACATTGATGCAAAACGTTTTTTCCAAGATTAGTTAATCGATCTACTTCTAATCAATGGCTCTTGGAAGCGATCAAAAGGAATTCATGCACCTTGTGAGGTTTGAACTAATGCCATTCAATGTCACAGACAGAGACATTCTCATTGATCTGTCCGATTTACATTTGACCGTCTGCATGACTACAAAATTCACACTAATCAATTACTTTTGTCCGATCAATCAATGTAATTTATGATTAGGAAAAATTCAGAGGTCTACTGATTCTTTGAATGGCTAGATAAGTTAGTCGATCATCGACACACCTTATCAATAATCTTCTGAACGTAACTTATCATCATACATGAAGTTATACTATAAAAAATCCATGAATAAATTTAAATGGGATTTATTTTTAAAAGAAAAAGAAAGATACACAACTAACCTTTGCTATTTCTTTAGATAAATCTAACAGAATTGGCAATAAGCATTCTTGTTGATGTATTGATGCTTGAGATGTATTTGGATGATTAATCTCACTTTCAACATTAATATTACTATTCACACAATCATTTGATTGAAAATTTTGATTTTGTTTAGCAAGTCTTAATGTGCTTAAAAGAGTTCTTGGAGCGCATAGATCAATTAATGGGATTAAACATTTCAAAGCTGTTGCTAGAACAAGTGGAGCATTTACATCGGAGGCGCATGTTGTCTCTGGAATAATATGATCTTGAAATAAGAAATAACAAGAAAATATATCCATAAATGATGTACTATTCTCACATAAATAATATATAATTATAGAAGAGAGGAGTTAAAATAAGATTTGGTTCAATTATTGTGGGCTCTAACCTAAGTGTATAGTAATCAAAAGTTACAAAACTAAAACTGCTCATAATATTTGTTTACTAAGACAATGATAGAAGTTCAAAGAGTTACATCGTAATACACTTGTATTGACCTGTGGCCTCAACGGCAAAGGTTCAGAGCCTTATTATTTCAGCTGTAACGATATACAGAAATGAATTGTGTTCAAACTTCACTTCAATTATTATTCAATTTATAAGCTTTTCTCCCAGTTCTAGCCAACATATCGTAATACACTCGTTTATTTTTACCAATATGAAAAACATACATCAAAAGTTATCATGAAGGAAAATGAAGAGTATTCATCAAAATAAATTAATATATTTGTAATATCTGAATGAGTAGAAAAATTAGATTTTCTGACGTTTCGTGACTCAGTGTGAGCCACCTCTTCAAGGAATAAATAACCAAATATTCATCAAAGTTTATGCGAAAACATTGCAAAAGCAAAAACTGCTAGAATGGGGAAAGATACGTTTTTCTAAGAGTACTATTCGGAATAAGACTAGCACATTGACTAGTAGGACAGTGTATACACGACTTCATTCAGTTGTAGTTTAAATTTCTTGTTTAAAAGAAATGAAGTTAGAAGAAGATTTACGTTTCAACCTACTGTATTTAATAAATCGTTTTGAAGAACAATGGGGTAGATATATATAAAGTGATAAGTATTTATTTAAAAGTCTAAATAAGTAAAATATGGGATTGAAGTTGATCTACTGAGAAAATCCATAACAGTAAACAGACAGTAGAATAGATATATTCCAATATACTAAACCCAATGTCGAAAAAGGGAGCGGTCGTTAACTGTGTATTTATGATATTCACACACAAATAATCATGAACAATGTAAGTAATTCCATGCAATATGAAATTCGATATAGTAGTTGAATGACATTGATAATCACTCTCATCCATGTTAACTGGTTTTGACAGTTGTCTAAGATGTGTGCACAATGCTAAAAATTTCAAACTAGGAAGAATTAGTTGATATCCACCGATTTAAACTAACTCTTAAACAGTTGTGTGTGAACATCGATACTGAAAAGAAATTACATCCAGTTGACGAGTGCAAGATTGGATAAAAAGCGCGTCTTAGATTCCACAGTTAGCTACGCTTTAACTGCAACAATAACTTTTAATACATCTTCAATTGATGAAAAATAACTAATTTGTAATTTTTTCTAAAAAAAAAAACGATAACATAACTCACTTTTACATTCAACATCATCTTTAGTATTGGAAAGAGGAAATTGTTTGACAATTTGTGATTGATAGCGTGCCACTATACAGACAACAATTTCTAAGCATGTAAATACAATTGATCTTTCAGGATGTAAACCAGCAAATGTTTTCTCTCCATATATACCATTATTCATTTGACAGTTAATCGATGTTTTATTAAATTCATCATAGTCCATATTAGAATTATTAGTGATACGATCAAAAAATTTTGACAAATAGCCTCCATCACCATGTTCATATAATTGAGTGTCAATTAGACCAGTAGTTTGTAACATTGTACTTGATGTCATACAATTATTTTTCGAATTTTGTGATTCTGGTGAAATAAACATACTAGATGCATTCTGCGTTGATTCTGTAAGAGATAAAAAGGAAACAATCATAATGAATTGAGTATTTTAGGTAAGCATTTTTTTAAAAATGCCAATCTAATACTGAAACCAATGTGTACTTGATAAAAATTCAGAACAGCGGAACGCTGTTTTGAAATGATGTAGTGGATTTACACAACTCAGGAGAATGTTACTGGTGGTATTGTGTTCTTTGAGCGAGAAGATTTAATTGCGAAGCATTCAGCGTCATTCATGAAACAGGAGAACATGATCTTGTCCAGAATTACTGTGAATGCTTTTCATTCAAATCGCATAACTCAGAGAACACAGTACAATCAAATGAGAGAAATATCATCCATTTAATTTCAAGATCAATCAATTATTGATAATGTAGGGATATGGTATGAACAGTAAATGGCTTAGGTGTAAGAGGACTTGAACTGATAATACATATTCAGCTAACATCTCACCTCTTTCATGATAACAAAATGATTGATGAGTGAAATACATCTACTATATACTATTCCTTATTAACACTAAGCAAGAAAATAAATATCACTCTTAAGAGTTAATCATGAGAAGACAAGTGAAAAATTATAAGACAATAGCTTAAATATTCAACAAGCAATAATCGCCATAAATTCCAAAAGACCTAAAAAAAAGTAATGCCAGCCTAACAACCTTACATACAGAAGACTCCATAGTTTATAAACAAAGTGAAACACATATATAAATTATAAGAGACAAAAGAATTGTTTGAAATCATACTGTCTTGCCCAGTTAGGCGGGTATGAGCATAATATAGGGACTAGCCAATCAGAATTGAGAAGACACATGATGCATATCTATAATGACGAGTTTACATGTTGTTTGTGTAGTTTACAGGTAGAGTAATCTGTCGAAGACATTAACGGAGTCATTTAATATGTAAAATCTGTTTAATCTTTGCAATAGTGTTATTTTCTTTTGCATGTACAATACATTTACGAAAGCGGTTTTGTAGATTGGTTAAAAAGTACCTGAAAATTCGTAGAGGTTGTTTTAAACCCGTCCCTGTAGTATGCTACTAATGTGTCGTGGTGTTAAAGATGAAAAATTATTTAAAAAATCACCAAACTTTAAGGAATTAATCTTTTTCTGTAGTAGTTTCGCTTTTCTCATACTTTGTCAAGATTTTTTTGAAAAGTTATTATTTTATTGTATTTACACTGACAAAATTTGTAAATATTAGTGAAACAATTCGGGGATAGGCTATGTTTGAAGCAATTACGAGTTTAATAATCTGAAAACGAAACGAAGACTCCGTGACACAATAACAGATAAGCTAGCTATTCTGACGCGTCTTAGACCTGCCAACTAGAGAGAGAAGTCCAAGTTCAGAAGAAGGAAATATATTCCACAAACAGCCAGAAGCACGAATAACCACGACAAATCTAGTCGGAAATACACTCATTTATATATTGATTCATACACTTAGTTTTAATTAATAATTAGGGTGAAATCGCATATATGAAAAGTACTTAGTTATAACAAATTACATGTTGAGCATAGTTCATGTCAATTGAATACAAGAATATCGTATGTTATACAGAAATAAAATGTCATACGGCAACAGAAATAAATATTGATTAATCATCACATCGAATTAAAACGGAATTAACGTTGAATAAGAATCATAATGAGGAAATCAATTTAATTTTGACTTTTCATCCCGTCATTTCAGGATACATAGTTCAAAACTTTGACAGTTTTAACTTATCATCCACCAGATTACAACATGAACATCATCTTGAACAATACTATACTTTTTCCTGATATATTTATAGTATATTCCAACATGATATTATTCGTGAGTTTATAGCCTATAGTCAGATTTTCTCAACAACATTACATTAAACAACGTGACAGTTATACATTAAATTCAAGATATAAACTATAATGAATAGGTATAAGCAAACTAAAAAAAAAGTTAGAGGGTTTATAGTTCCATATGAAGATTGCTCATAGGTATATACTTGTGAGCATTGAACATAAACCTAGTTCATTCATAATGGAAAAAGAATGAAAAGTGTTAAGATTTTAAATCATGTACAATCTAATTGTCTAGGAAATTTCAAATAGAAAAATGGGATAAATCTGTACGCAAATTATTAATATATATGTTATAACGGTTGGTTTTCCACGTTTACACGTATGGGACGTTAATTTACCTTAAACGGTTATCTACACTAGATTTCCTCCCAGTGTCTATTCTACAGGACTTCAACACAACTCAGATCAAGAACACGTGATTAGCCTAACTACAATGTAAATATATTTCAACGCCAAAAGCCCGACACAATCCAACAACAATGAACAATTAATCAACAATAATTATAAGGATAGGGGAATATATAACTCATCTGACACCTGTCATAGTATCTATATGTCTGACTAAGCAGACAACCAATATATCATTCTCGCCCACATATCAATAATATATATATATATATATATATATATATGACGTGGACAAGGAAGTGTAAGCTGAAGATGTACGTATTCGACTTCCATCAATACCGTCCATTATCTCTAAGGTCTCATCTACCGTTCCATCCTAAGTACAGTTACTTCTCATACCTAAACAACCTCAATCTACCACCTATATAATGCCAACTTCTTATAAAATGATTCAATGAAATTACTCTAAAATTAGTGTAAAGAAAAAAGTTATTATTCTTTCATCTTAACCTTACCTTTAGTTAACCAATTATCACGTTCTTTAATTAAACGTTCATTACTAGCAATCATGATATGAATCACATTGGCTAAGCATAATAAATGTGTTTCTACACAATCACGAGTAAGTATAAGTCTAGAAATAAATTTTATTTGAAAAACAAAAACAAGATATTTTTAAGGAAAATATACTAAAAATATTTACAAAAAGGAATGAATACATTAACAATTTGCTCATAATATGGCAGTTGTATATATTGGTAAAGTATATTTTTAAAATTACTATTGTCTACAGAATTCTACAACTATTGATATTTTAAGGCCATCAGATTAGTGTGTTTGTATGAACTCGAGATATGATTGACCAAGATGCAATATTGTGATACTATTCATTTTATATATATTTATATACATTGAATATGTACACATATATATGTCAAGTGTATTCTTGAACACTGGATTTGTAAGATAAGTATGAGTTTGAGGGTCTGTATAATAAAACAAGTGTTAGTTTGTTTGCATAACCAAATAAAAAACGAGTGGTATAGAAGCTTTCACAAAACATACAATTTGAGTGGAAGAAGGCATCTTGAAGAAAGGAATCGACCTAAAAATCTACAACTTACTAGTGTTTTTGAAGGAATAGTGTCGTCTACTATAAACACTGATAGTCAACTAGCTGACGAAAATTATTAGCTTCAAACACCGTCGGAAAACAACACGACTTCGATACGACTTAATGTCCACATATTATCGAGATGTGAAGACATACATTGTCGATTTCGCTCAAACGCTGACAATGTGTCCATCTCTATTCACAGTTATTAACAGCTAATAACATTGAAAGAGTAGACGTTCTCTAGATGTGTAAGTTGCGCTTTAATTGCTTAAAAACTAATCATCGAACAGTAAACTGTCGTCAGCTCATGCGATATGGCATCGGTGGTTGTAAACTGCAATATTGTAGACTTGTGCACTGTACAAAGTCTGTAGCTAAGAAAGCCTATTGTAATTAAACTTATTCTTCTGGGAATCATTTAACATTCTTACCTATCCGACCACGTATGCTTTGTTACACGACAAGTTTGAAGAGTTACATAATATGCTTAGCTATAACAATCTGGCCAACAAACTGTACAAAATCAATGACTTGACAATATGCGTAATTTCCAGCGCATAATATGAGTGATCAGTCCTTAGTGTATAAAGTTGAATCATGTAAATGCACACAATTTACCTATCAATCTCAAAGCATATCCATTTTAAACAATTATTACGGTTCCTTAAGTAAACAAAAAAATTTTAAAACCTTTATTAGTAAAAACAGAAAAAGTCGATTGACTAGTTACCAGTAGGTGTATGGTGCTGTGATGACTGAAACATTGTCATTGATCAAATAGTGTAAAATGCTCGCAGAACGAATGACAGATCTATCCATAACCTAGTATCTCATAGAGAGTCAGTAACAGCTGGGATAACTGAGTAATAAACCATCCTGTTATAATTCTAACAGTGCCTCTATAAATTCCACAAAGAATGAAGGGAATCTTATATAAAATTTCAAATAAAATAACAGGGAGTCATCAAAAACGTAACTTATTCCTGACATGTCCGAAAAACACCAATTGAACGGTAACTTCCGGGAATTATCTATGGACTGTTAAATTTTATTTATTTAAACATATAAACATAGGTACAAGAAGGCACCAAATAGAAATGCGCCACATAAATCATTCGACTTGTGTGAGAGCTAGGACACAGCCCGGGTGCCCAAACCAAAGAAAGTAGTTTTCTTAGGGGGCCACATCCCAGTTATATATATATATATATATATATAGTAACTAGATCATGTATATTTATATTCATTTTGTCATAAGCTTTCATTTATCCCATTAACTACTATTATATGATTTTTAATTCTTAATTTATTCCAAATCTATTAGTTACAGTATTCTATACTCACAGCGACTTTTGGAATTGATCTTTCATAAGTATCATTTTTTATTTTATGGTATGGTACAGTCTGGTTTGCTAGTATATAAACTATGTAAGTCTGAAATATATTATTCATACTATATTGAGAACTAATAAGGATACGGAGTTGACTCAAGGCTACTAGTGCTGGTTGACGTGTCATCAGTTTAGCACAGGGATAACGTCATAGAAGTCGATAATTTTTGTCGTAACACACCAAATTAAAGCAATCCCGGGGAGGTATGATCAAACGACAAACTTACCGATGTAATATTTGTAATAGTTCAATAGATATTTCTGTTGATGATTGCATCAGATAAGCACGAAATTTCGGCTTACTCAATAGGCATAGAATACAACGCAAACATGTATGAATAATGGATATTGGTTGTTTGGACGTTGGATTACACATAGCTTCTGCACACATACCTTTAATGGATAAAAATAGTAAGACAACAATAATGAATAAGCAATCAACCAAACACCATTGCCATCGAGAGTACCGGTATAGTAGGTTTAAAGAAAAAAATTATATTAAACTATATTGTCTGGGATCTGTGTTAACTCAAGGTGCTATAATTATATCACAAAAACCTGCTAGAAAGTGATTAGATTGTTAAAAGAAATGCGAACAAGTACAGCTACCTAGATGTGACAGCAGTGAAATATTTTATTCAGCGATCAGTGATTTCACTGATGCTGATTTCCTTTTCTGGAAAAAACGAGTCAGTGTAGATCAAGACAAAAGCCACATATCTATTCAACCACATAGCTTTTTTGCTGTCAGTAAGGTCTATTAAATAACGGACAGAACAAACTCTCGGACAGTTCATGTATCTGAAAACACTATATAGCACCAGCTCCAATGAGGTCTTATTTAGAGGCTCTGTGATCATGTAAGACTGATCTTTCTTTCATTCATTCAGATAACTGAAGAGGACATAAAGATTAATATTCAAATAAGAAACCGTAACTATATTCAGCGTAAGTTCAGAAGTATCATTGCCAAAGTTTGATTTGATAATTGAGAATAAATTGACTATTAGGTGTATTGTTTTAATAGTCTATTTAAACATATGTTAATTCAGTTCTGTTAATTATTTATTCTCTGAAGTAGCAACTTACAATAAGGCGTGGAATTTCATAGACTCAAATTTTTACTCATTGGGATATTACAAATGTATTATTTTATTCATATAAATTCAACATAATTTATACGAAAAATACATAAAAGTAAGAAACTAATCACATACATAGAAATGGATTGAATTTAAGTGATAAATAAAAAAATCCTATAACCTAAAAGATTCAATCTACAATTCTTAAGATTTTATAAGCTAGTGGATTGAAACAATTAATTTTTTTTAAAAAATCTTGTTACAGTATCCTTAATTTGACTATTAGAAATAGGAACGTTAACACCTAAAAATTAAATGAAGTTCACAAACCCAATAGTAGATAAACTTACACTAGTTACCTGAGTTATTTATATGAACATTTAGGTCAGGGTAAATTGAATAGAATTCGTTATGAAACAGTTGTATTTAAATAATCAGAGAAAAACATACTATATAAAAATTGTCAGGAAATATTCAAGTCTTTCAAAAATGAATATATCATCGGCTTAAAAAATAATACATATCTAGTTCGACTTTAAAACTTCATGTAGTAGACAGAAAATACGGTTTGGTTAGTAAAGCAACAGTATTATTAGTACCCGGAGAATTAAAGCCTGACTTAAAGCAAAATATCTAAATTTACACTTGATAAACGAAAATTGAATTCGTTCCTTTCTTACCACTTAAAAGTAATAATCATCTCTTTTTCGCTAGTAAAGAAATACAATAACAAATCAATACTTACCTAGAATTAAAAAGAATTGTCGAGCTGATTTCGACATTTCATTCTTTGATAAATTTGTATCAATCTCTTCGACACATAATTCATTATTAGTTAACCATAAAGCTAATGCATATGTCATACAAGGCCAATAACGTGCATAATATCCACGTATTAGATCAAGATTATGATTAATAGAACTATTATTGACATTGAATAGTAAGATAGATGAGTGTTGAGTTGACAAATTATCTGGTAGACACATATATGCATAATTTTTTAGTGCATCTAACCAAGCATTACTTAAATTTGGGAGAATCGGTTGAATCCATTTCGATAATAAATGGTAGATAAATTTACTTGACGCGGCAGAACAACTACTCGACTGAAGGTAAGGAGCAGGTTTACAAACTGAAAAATCAAATAGACAGACACAGAAAATAAGGAAAAACAATTAAAATAAGCAAAGTAAATAATTCAAATATTTACTTGAAACCTGTACATTGTGAACTCGAATAGTTGATGATTGCTCCGCACTCAGAAGGAAGATTGGAAATTATTATTATATGAAAAAAAAGTTTATATGATGTGAAAAACTATTGAATAAAAATGTCAGAAGAAGCGAGCAAAATTATATTAGACTGAACTGAAAGTAGAAAGGCAGAAAACAGCACGGATAGAAGAAATAGTAAATTTAATATCTAAGATTTATTTTAGAGTAAGACAGCTTTTAAAACTGACTGAAAAGAGAAACAGGAACTCAACAGCAGTGTAAACAGTTGATCACTTTTAATTTGTAATTCATTAGCAAAAAAGGATTTCCTATATTCTTTCAAGAAAACAAATCAGTCATTGGCTTACGACCAGCGCATGGATTTAAAACAGTTTACTAAATATTTATTACTCACTTCATTTCAGATGTTTAAACTCAGGAATCCACGTGAGGTTTTTAACCATAGGATCAATCGAATAGACAATTACAATTGATCCCCATTGTGTGCTGTTAAGTTCAGTGCATGCTAGAACACATACTAATCTTGAACAAAGTAAGGCTTCGGTCGAAACGAAAACGAAGTTATTGACTGTTGGTCTGAGTCATGAAGAAATACGCAAACAAGCTAGATATGTGGTATATATGTGTGGTAGATATGTGGTGCATGCTACTTAGACTGATAGTTATAAGTAGTATGCACAATATTCGGAAGTGGAATGTCTGCCAGCAGAAGATTGGAATGTAGGGAACAGAAAAGAAATCGGAGAGAAATCGAAATAACAACAAAATTCGAGCACTAATGGATCATGTAAAGGAGAACGCAAAGAAGCTAAGCAAAAGATTTATTTTAAGTATGATTTTTATATTTTACGAGGACACTGTAGTTTTGCACTGAACAATAATAAATTGGTTCTCCCCATCTCACTTTACGTTCACTACAGGGGTCTAAGTGAAAATCAGAATCGATGGTACAAAAGTTGTCATATGGCTCAAAATCCCTAACAACTGCACAGATGCATCTACTCCCTATCTTACACCAGATCTTCAGTTCCAGTATTCCCTAATGAATAATTTTTTTATATTCTGTCTTCTCGAACTATATTCTCAATGCTTAGTCTTTCTCATTATCCTTGCAACTGTAGACTTTTTTTAAATTCTATATTCATTTTGTTTTTATATCTCAGAAATACTTGGCATTAGTATCTATTTGTATAAACAAGAAAGATTTTTAAAACAAATAAGTACCTTAATCTACCCATTGAACACTGAGTACGTTATACACTGTTTATTTTAATAGTTTATGTGTACGCAGGCATTAACACACATACATATATGGAGTTTATGTGTATACCGAGATTTGTAGTTTACTATGACAAAATATGTACCCAAATAACTTCAAACTCAGATAAGTATATAGGGTAAACAAACATATTGCTAAGCAGCCAAACATGATTGAAACAGAAAAAAGAGATGACCTTAAATTTGGTTTTACATTTCCAGGTAGAAGCCTTAAAAGTGAGTTTTTATGATTTCATAAGTGTCCAACTAGTTATCACTTTATATCTGTTCTGGTAATCCGCACGATCCCTTGAACAGTTAGTCAATTTCCTACTCTTTCTATCATATACCACCTCTATCTCTTATATTTCCAAATATTATCTCTTAATGTATATACACAAAATCCATAGACGTGTAAATGTGCGACCAGTTGTATTGTATTAAATAAAACACACTTTTCAGATTGTTAAAAACCCATGAAAAGGAATAATTGTTTTAAATTACTGAAATCAACTAACATCTGTGTTGCACAGTACACTGTTCCTATATATGAAAATAGCACAAGCGGAACTAACTGGTTCACTTATACAAAAAAAACACTCAGACAACGCAAAATTAAGTATTGCATGAAAAAGTAAAAACACAACATAATTCTGTCCTAATTCAAAAAGGATCGTAGAGCGAAAAATGATTTCTTTTTGAAAAACAATTTTAAACTACGATGGAACTTATACTTTAAAGTCGATCACATGTTAAATTGAAAACATTTAATTTGTAGTTTTAAAATATCTGTATAGCCTTTTGATATACAAATTATAGTTCATGAGGTGAACAACTGAAGTCACTTCTAATATGTGGGGGAAATATATTTCAAAATAAGATTAATGAGCAGTTTCTAATAATAAGTGACAAGAAAAGCACCTAACTATAAAACAAGAGTCATAGAGTTATAATCAATGTAGACCCTAGAATATATATACGTTGACCCAACTTTCCATACCACATGAACACGATGAGATGAAACTAACAAAACTAATATAGAATGAAAGTCTACAGTTGCAAAGATAATGAGAAAGACTAAGCATTGAGAATATAGTTCGAGAAGACAGAATATAAAAAATTATTCATTAGGGAATACTGGAACTGAAGATCTAATGTAAGATAGGGAGTAGATGCATCTGTGCAGTTGTTAGGGATTTCGAGCCATATGACAACTTTTGAACCACTGATTCTGGTATTTGTGTACGACACAACCTGATGGTATGGCCCAGCTAACATGAACAGAACATGAAATAAGTGTAACTGGAATAATAAACTGTATGAAATTTTGAGAATGCTAGTATCTGAAGCACAGAACCAGTGCTTTACAAACTCGTATACAACATAGGAAACCAAAAATGTTTCGTTACTTATAGATTATTGTATTTAACTATTTTTGGAGTTGATTGAAATATACCCTCGTTAAGAAACTAATAGAACAAAAGGTGAAAGGGTATATATATAGTCATTTACAAAAATATACAAACGTACAATTGTTGGATTCAAATCAAACAAAAGCTTGTTTACAGCATAATTTATTATTTCTCAGTTGGCAAATGATTTGATGAACAATTTTGAATCTGTCCATTAACTGGTTTTTTTTTCTTTTTTATATATTTATTATCCAATAAATAGTCTATTAACAAAGGTTACTTTAGATAGAGAAACAAACAAATAATTAATAAAATAGTTTAACTAACCGAATAATGTGATATCTTCTATTGATATTCCTTTAATGATTATATTGTAGTCGGAATCATTGTCATTTTCACTTTCATCATTCATCATATCATCTGATTCATCATCCATCAATTGTTCATCATCTAAGACCTGAGACGATTGACTAGTGATCAGGTGTTGTTGTTTTTGGTGTAATTTATTTTCCCATTTCTTACTATGCCCAGCTGTCAAAATGTAAACTTTAGCCCAAGCAGCTAAAACAGATAGTTTCTCAACTATTGCAGAATTTTCCGATATCGATTGGGATGGTTCTACTCGTTGACTTTGTGCAGACACATTGGATGAGTGATCTTCAGTGCATATGTTAAGTTTTAATTTATCAAATGCTTGTCTTAGAAGGTCTTGTACACGACGTAAATCTTCTGGATCACGACCAACGCCAGAAGTAAGCCATGTACTGCACACTTGACATGCTATAGATAGCAGTTCTGGATTAGGTTGAACTGGACCAGATAATACGGAATTATTGGTAGTTGAAGATTGTGCAACTGTTATACTGTCGAATGAATTTAACAATGAACTATTCATAAACGCTGGTCGTAGTGCAGCTGAAACTTGAGCTTGATACTGTTCCAAAATAACATGATCTGAAAATAGTTTCATGAGAAAACAAGTAGTTGGAAAGAAACCTATTGAAACATTTTGGTTTTCAGTCAAGAAAAATTTACAATACTTTATGCTAATATTTACATGAATTATTTTCTAAGAATATTGTCGGGCATCAAAAGTTTGAGGCGTAAATAAATTAAGTCATTTTTTCATTTGATCTTATTGGACTGTAATCTTACCTAAATTAGGAAGTTAATCGACTAAATATTATCAATGTTATTACTGGAAATCAGTTTGAAAAGTTTAAAAATGTCTCTTTATATATATTACCAAAACAGTATTGAGGGGAAAAGTAAGCAAGAGAAATAAAAAATAGAGCAGAGAAAGGAAGTGAACATGAGAGAAATAAAGAATGGATACTGCTGTGCTGGTTTTGGACTTTTGCATAGTTTAAACCACCACTAAGATTTCTTACTTCTAACAAATAACAAACAGATTCACGTTAACTGAAATAAACACTGTTCATTTTTCACTCACCAGTTGCATCACTCATTACAATTGAGAAGATAGTGGCTGAGAGTGTGTACAATAAGAATTGACATTAATAGGAGAACCACTAAAACTACTGAAACATCTACTAACGATTTCTTTTCAGTTTTCAACTTCTCAATAATGTGCACTTAAAATAACATATTACATAGAATCCAGGATTCATAGATGTCAGATGATGACGAGAAACATCTTCGGTGTCATTTTATTGAACAAAATATTCTCATAAATGGATAATAAAACAAAAACGAATAATATAGTGAGACAAAGTACCTGGATAGTCTGGATCTGGTACTAGGGAAAATCTTTGAATAACATCTTGCATAAGTTTTAAACCTGTGATACGAAGTCGTTCACTATCCGATGTGGCTGACATGAAAGCTACACGAATTAAATCAGACAGGTACAGAATAAGCCAATCGGATTTTCCCGATTGAGAACGTAGGATTCTAGCTTTAGCCAAATCAAAATGAGCGAGTGACTTGGAATTTATTAACGAATCATCAGTAGTATCACCATCATTTACAGATGTTTTCATATACGGAAGAGAATCATTTACAAATGTTGTATTGCACAATCTGGCACAGTTAGATATCAGGATACGCAAACAACTGATTGCAAAAATTCGTGTTGAGCATCTGAAAAATGTGCAAAGAAAACCATTCACACATATTTTATCAAAAAAATACATGAGGCATGCTTAGTACCAGGATGAGCACAAAAAAATTTATGATTTATAATCAAGTACATAATAAAACGATCGAAGAGAATGAGGCACGAGAGAAGTTGATGTATTTGCTTTGATAAATGTCATGATAAACTTTTTAGATCGAAAGTAGCTTCTCCTTACTTTGAAATTTTTCAACTGTTAAGATAGTAGGGGAACGCCCACGTAACAAGTTCAATGCATGAAAGGCTAATGGTGAAAACAACTCATCGTGTGACAGACAACGAGAAACAAGGCAGTTCTACCTCATCGTATTGATTCAAACTGACAAAATGTACAGGAAAGAATACGGATAATAAGTCAATATGGAGGGAATGATGATGAAAACGGTGATAAAAAATAAAAAATGGGAAAGAAACAAGTAGAAAGAATAAGATAAGTAATAAACTTTATCTACAATGAGACAGTTTGTCTAAGAAAACGTAAACATGGTCTCACTTAATCATTAATTTAAACTACCTATCGAATTCCAACTCGGGATTTTGAACAAAGGCAAAACTAATGGACAGAGATTTCGAAAATAAAGATTTCCGCTCGGTATGTTAATTCTATCCCAGTTACGTCATTTATTTATGCAACCACTTAATATCAGTAATTAGTACTACTTATTAATCGTCCGTCTATAATTTCTTTAGCTATACCTTTCTCATACATACATAGGTATTAAATTTAGCTACAGTGTATAATGTTAGTGTTTTTACTCTATTTTTTATGGATGTTGCTGTCTTGTTTCGAACTTCCATTTCAATTTCATTGCCTAAAGTATAAGAGATAATCTTTTTAATCTAACCTCAATATTCGTCGTAAATTTAGCTTTTTCGAAGTTAATAGAATGACTTGAAAGACAATGAATTCATTTATATATCACAAATATTTTTTTTCCTATTCTACACAAGACTGAAAATTTTCATTGGCTTTTCTTTATCAAGAATTTGAAAGAGTCAGAAAACTCAATTACCTTGGTAATAAAATGTTTACAAGTTAGTTATGAAAGACACCATTGTATTTTAGATTGATGATTTTTAACCTGTTATTTTCAATATTCAAACAAGAACAATGTAAGATTTGATAGGGTTCACACAAGAACTTGAAGGTAAAATCGGAAAAGATACTAATGTCCAGTATCTACAGAAATGTAATTTAAATGTATTGTTAGCATCGAAAACTAGTCTAATAGATTACTTCTGAAATCTTATGTAATCACATAGAATTCCTTGTTGGCTAGGAATCATATCAACAATTTACATCTGACAATCCATATGACTCATTGGATGAATATAACTCCATTAAGGTGAACCTCTGATATCAAACTAATCAAATAACATTAGAATATATAGGTCAAGAAAACCACAGAATTCTTAGAACAAATAAACCAAGCTAAATAGACAACAGCTGATAGTTGTATCAGTAGTTCATATCAAATTCAGAATCTGACAGCACCGAATAGCTGTCTCTTTATCACCTCGCACCGCTAGGGCAAACGATTCGAGTACGTGGAACGCCATTCCTGGTCTCCTGAAACCACGCTCTAAACTACACGTAGGAGCTTTTAACGTACGAACACTTTGTCAAATAGGACAGCAGGCTTCCTTAGCGAAAACTTTAGAATCTCGCGCCATCGATGTGTGCTGCGTCTCCGAAACGCGCATACAGGATCCAAGTAGTGTCATTCATTTGACCTCACCATGCCAAAATAAAGAACCGACTCGATTTACGCTTCGTGTATCTGGAAGCCCTGATTCTGCTTCCCGTGGCCTCGCCGGCGTAGGTATAGCATTGAGTCCTAGGGCAGAACTAGCTCTCTTAGAGTGGATCCCAGTAAACAGTCGTTTGTGCGCTGTCCGACTGAACGGAACAGTAAGAATCCGGAAAGATAGGGACACTCGTCGTTGCCTCTTCGTCGTCTCTGCCTATTCTCCCACTGACTGCAGCTCAGATGATGTAAAAGATGAGTTTTACAGAAAGCTTTCGGACCTTCTCCGAAAAGCTAAGCGCTCGGATGTAGTAATAGTGGCCGGAGACTTTAATGCTCAAGTAGGTAAACTAAGCGATAAGGAAAGACACCTAGGTGGATCCTATGGTGTCGTGGCTCAAAGAACAGATAATGGCGACCGTCTGTTGCAGCTATGCTCAGATAACCGCCTGTTCCTTGCAAATACTAACTTTAAGCATAAGGAAAAACATCTTTTAACATGGCGACCCCCTAATTCGTCCCAACGTTGGACCCAAATAGATCACATCGCTATCAGCCACCGATGGAGGGGCTCGATAGAAGACTGTCGCTCATTCTGGAGCACATGCCTAGATTCAGATCATGCTCTAGTGCGAGCGCGTATTTGCTTGCGTCTTACTGGACGTAGGAAAGATCCTGCAAGGAAACCTCTTAGGGCTCTACTTAATGATAGTCAAGCTAAGAATATATTTCAGGAACAACTAGGAAAACAGTTAGGCAGCCATGTATGTGATGCCCACCCCGAGGCAGCATGGAACGATATCCGAAAAGCTGTGGAAACAGCAGTGATATCTGCTAGTAAGGTAAATCAGAAGCTTAGGGAGCAACACTGGATCTCAGCAGCATCTATCTCACTGATAGATGCTCGGAAACTCATTCCACCTGGCTCTGAACATAATGAAGAGCGGAGTCAGCTTAAGCGCAAGCTGACAAGAAGTCTACGCAATGATCGCGAACAGTGGTGGGTAGCGAAAGCAAGAGAGATGGAAAAGGCAGCGGCAATAGGTAATAGCAGACAATTGTTTAGACTCGTTAAGGAAACCGGAATTAGGAACCCGACCGTTAGCGAAACAATCTCAGAGAAAGATGGACATATTATTCATTCTCAATCCAGGAGATTGGATCGATGGGCAGAACACTTTAGGGATCAGTTCAACTGGCCTTCAGCCACACTTCGGTTTCCCACGATCTCCAGTCAACCTGAATGGCAAGTTAATGTAAGTCCTCCGTCCCTTTACGAAGTTGAAAAAGCCATAGGAAATCTGAAACGAGGGAGAGCAGCAGGCCCTGACAGGTTTACTCCTGAGATTTTTAAGGATGGTGGTCCAGAATTAGCAGTGAGATTAACTGAGGTCTTAGGTAGAATTTGGGAACTGGACGTAATCCCATCTGACTGGTCTCAATCACTGATTGTGCCAGTCTATAAGAAAGGACAAAAGTCCTCTTGTGACAATCACAGAGGAATCAGTTTGACTAACATAGTGTCTAAAATATTAGCCTCAATAATACTTCGACGCCTAACTAAAGCTCGTGAAGAGCAGACTAGAGAAAACCAGGCTGGTTTTCGACCTGGACGTGGTTGTATCGATCAGATATTCACACTACGTCAGGTTCTAGAACAGAGACACACATTCAGACGCCCCACAATGGTAGTATTTCTCGACCTTAAGGCGGCATTCGACTCCGTTGATCGTGAGGTTCTATGGCAGTGTTTGTCACTGAAAGGAGTACCAAAGAAGTACATTAACCTTATAAAGGCTCTCTACTCGAACACAACTGGTCGAGTGAGAGCTTATGGCGAACTGTCATCAGAATTGATCACCTCAAGTGGTGTTCGTCAGGGCTGTCCACTCTCCCCATTCTTGTTCAACTTTGTGGTCGACGTACTTTTAGAGATAACACTCTCCTCATCTAAATTTCCAGGGGTTGAACTTGTACCAGGAGGTTCACTTGTTGACTTAGAATATGCAGATGACATAGTTTTATTTGGTGAAGACGCTGACAAAATGCAGAGTCTTCTGACCACTCTAAGCAACAATGCAAGCATGTTCGGGATGCGATTCTCTCCCTCGAAATGCAAAATGTTGCTTCAGGATTGGGTTACATCGACACCCGAACTAGTGATAGGGAGTGAAGTAGTTGAGTGTGTCGACCGCTTCACTTATCTTGGAAGTCTCATCAGCCCTTGTGGTTTGGTGTGTGACGAAATCTCAGCACGGATACAGAAGGCTCGACTAGCTTTTGCCAACTTGCGTCATTTATGGCGTAGGCGAGATATCCGTCTATCAACCAAAGGACAGGTTTACTGCGCAGCAGTTCGTTCCGTCCTACTTTATGGCAGTGAAACATGGTCGGTAAGAGTAGAGGATATCCGTAGGTTACTAGTATTTGATCATAGGTGTCTTCGAAACATTGCTCGTATATCATGGGACCATCGAGTAAGTAACACAGTTGTTAGGAAACGGGTACTAGGTAAGGATGGCAAATCAATTGATGAAGTAGTGAAACTTCATCAGTTGAGATGGCTGGGACACGTGTTACGTATGCCCTACGACCGACTGCCTCGACGTGCTATGTTCAGTGGTATAGGAGTAGGTTGGAAGAAAGCTAGGGGCGGCCAAACCAAAACATGGCACAAATCCATGAAGTCACTGACAAGTGGACTGAGTCATGTTGGTAGGTGTAGACTACCTGGTTGGGGACCGCGAGATGACAGCAACCGATGGTTAGAGACCCTGAATGACATGGCTCAAAATCGTTTGCAATGGCGCAGGTGCATCCACTCTCTGTGTTCTCCCAAACTCTAATCTTCTTAATTCTTCATGTCCCTTTTTTCCTCTTTCCAAATTTCTTTCACTGTATTATACTCTTTAAATAACATCTCCAAACCCTAATCTTCCCGATTACTACTTATACTCTTATTACCTCTATCACTACGGGATTTGAATCGACAAGTGCATCTCTGTGCTAATGTGGTGTGGCAACTCGAACTGATGTACGTACGTACGAAGTTCTACGTTGTTACTGACTGACTGACTGACTGAATAGCTGTTTTGGTTTAGTTTCAGACTTCAATGTTTAGTGAGCAACGCATAGTTGCCTGTACAATTACAGACAAGATTTTTTCATTTCGCAACGAACACAATAACCATTGAGCTATTTATTCGGTGAATTTACGACCAAATGTGATCATCACTTAATGTCACCAATCACTAACCAATATATTAAAATCTGAGTTCACTATACAGGACGTGAATTATTATTGTAACTTTAGAAAATCTACGTTGAGCAGATGAGTTGATGAATTCCGTCCATTAATATCCATTAATTGAAGTAAAAAGTATAAGAGTGGTTATATGTACCAGTGAATCTATACATTTGTTTTTTTTTGAAGTCAACTAACAATATAATCAACAGTGATATATATATATATATATATATATATATAATCCTATATCATATTACTTGAGCATTGATTATGCATTTTACATACCACTTCATTAGTCACCAATAACATACACAATCGGCAAGATAAGTTACAGAAGAACACATAATAACGGAAAAAAAGAATTACCAAATCAAACATAGAAAAACTAACTAACAAAGAGGGAAAAACAAACCTGGCCCTAATTTTGACAGTGAATAACTGATTAATTTCTTGATTAGATTGTTTTGGTTTAAAATTAATGTCAACATCCTCATATTCATTATCTTCTGGTTGAATAGAACCACTAATGTTTTCTTCGTCTACACGACTATTTCGTTCAGACACAGTCATTATATCTACATCATCGTTATTAATGGAAGATAGTTTATCTCCCCCAATAGAGTTTGATTCGTTCGTACTGGATGATTTTTGTATAGAATTTCTGATAACAATATTACTGTCACTGGTCAAATCAGTTTTCAGTGAGGTGGAAACCTTTAAAAATAAATAAATACATACATACACATCATAATAGGTACGTTTCGGTTAAATAGCCGTTTTCATGTAAATTAAAATAAAAGCAAAATTACGTTCACTGGAATTTATTGTAATTAACTAATGTCATTGATAAAAAGTAATGAATCAATAGTTCAGCCGCTGTATTCTAGAACTTTACAAACAACGTACACTTAGTCGCTCTTTATTAATATCCAATAATACAATATACAGACATCTAACAACGTTAATTTATCTTTGGAATACTGAGGCTAGTTTAAATATAGCTAACACTTTTTCTACCCTGAATTAAATAGTGTATGCACTTGACATACACCGTATCATGTAATCGAAAGATTATGGAATTTATATAAATGTGAATTTTTCTAGCTCATACACGAAGCGGTGGTTTAGTAAATAAAGCACACAATTTTCAACCACTAAGTAGGATGTTAAAAAACCGCTTCAATCTACTTCAGTTTGAACAATTGAGTAGTATCACTAACCGTCAAATAAATGTACTAATCTCTACTTAACCAGCAAGATACATTAGGTTTTTGAGAGGTCCATTGTTGACCAGGAGCATCTAATAAGAATACAGGTATTTATAGGCAGACTAATTAACAAAAATTAATGAAATACCAAACTAGATAATAAAACTGTTTGTGTGTTGCATAAAAAGTCACCTGTTAGTTGGATGGAATAAATGAAATCTGTGAAAGTCTGGAGTGACTAAATTAAATAAGATGGGATCACAATTTACTAAATAGTTTATACGAAACAGCGGAAATTATTAGCTGTTCGACCTCCGAATAAAGTAAACTAAAACAGTAATATTCAAAACATTGATTCATTTTTATATATTTTCCCTCACTTTACAACTACATATTTCTATTTCTAATATATACTGCTCTTTAATCTTCTTTGTGTAGTTTTAAACTATTACGATCTTCTTGTCACTGGTGCATTTTTTTTCAAGTGTACCAACTTGGAATCACTATAACAAGTTTTATTTTGCTGTTCTTCACATGATGATCATTTGTCATTCTGTAGTGAAATGTGTGTATGTGGTTTGAAAAACATCAACGCTGTACAAATTGTTGATTAAAAGAAAAATAATAAACACGAATTCATAATTGGTCAAATGAAGTATACGTTGATTAAGTTATTTAAGATAATTATTACGAAACATTTGATATACATTGTGAACTGATTAGGCAATTTTCATGAAAACAATCAAAATTTATTCGATTATATTATATAAGCATTCAACAAATACGGAATAATAGTAGTGTGAAGTTGTTTTATTTTTAATTTATGCAAAACAAAAAAGAAACGCAATCAATAATGAGAAAGAAATTATGAAAAGGAACTCACAAATGAAACTAAATATACAATACGATTGTAGTAAATTTTATGCATCCACCTAACTAAAACCTCTTGCATGGTGTGTAACAAAAAAAGCAAAGAAAAATGGAACTGACAATATATATATATATATATATATATATATATATATATATATATATATATATATATATATATATATATATATATATGAAATAATTTCATGCTTTCAACACGAAACCATATTAGAAATGAAACGATCCATAGTCATTCGTGTTAATTAGAATAGACTGATTAAATATTATGTATATTTGTACTTTATATTTTTATGGAAATAACCTTAAAGTTGGATTTCATGCTCATCAAGTATTATTCCGTGCAGAACATATAATCTACAGTCTTAAGGACATATACGATTCGTTTGACATGATGCACTGCATTATTTCATTTTACCAAGTTTGAAAATTAAAATAAAAACATCAAACATATGCTCTACGTCATTCACAATCGCCATAAGAATCAGGTAAAAAAAATTTGTGTTAATTCAAATTATCATATTACATTAACACGACGAGATGAAAGTAAAAAGATGAATAGTAAATGAGTTGAAATAATTTATTCGCAAGGATAACGAAAAGGACTAAACTCTAAGAACATAGTTAAAGAAAACAGAATGAAAAGCGGTACGTGTTAAGGAATACAGTAGCTCAATATCTTGAGTGAGACGAGTAAATGCATATGCTATTGTGACTGATCCTGAGTCATATCATTCAATTTCCTTAACTACTGATCTTAGTTAGTACTTCAATGCCAAACCAGGTACTCGGGATCTATTAACATAACTCAGATGAAAATCCTTGTATGATGTACGTAAAGAATATTTTTTTGCAGAGAAATGCCAAATGGCTTTATAAAAACCCAAGTACTATCAACTTTTGAAGCATACTACCTAATGTTTTCGAAAATAATCACTTGTTTTGCTTTTTTTTTAAAGTTTCCGAACAGATGAAAAATAAGCTATTTTAATTTATCAACTTATTGCAATCAATCATTTTTACCATGTACGGTTGAATAAATCCAATAAATGAGGGAAAAAAATTTATACAATCAACAGTACATATTAATTCTTCATGTCGATAATGTTTGATAAATGAAGTTATCGAAAATAACTATTGATGAGTTTGAAAAAAAATCGTCAATCAAGAAACAAAGAAAAACGATTCATTCAACTGTTAAACTTTTCAAAGACGTCGTTATTTATTTCATTCAATAAGTCAGAACTAAATACTACTATTATATTGTTGAACAACTATGTTATAATGTTGACAGTTTTTTTTTTATAATTTACTTAACGAGGTTACAGTGAAAACAATGGATTTATGAATGATTTGAAATTGTTGTTCACAATAAATATTGATTGATAATGAATCTTTTTCTCGTTAATTAAAAGTTATTATTATTTTAGAAAAATAGTAAAGAAATAACGTAGTAATTAAAACGCTTGATATACAATCATTGAACTAAAGGTTCTGAGTGTTTTCTGTTTGATTTTCATACAAGTAGTATCAGCAGCTTTGAATACATTTGGCAGAAGAAAAAAAACGAATGTATAGATGTGCATGAACCATTTGTAACTAAGCTAATTTATCTTATATCTACTTGCATAGATGTGTTTGCAAAACAGAATTCCATGTTTGCAAGAAAATGAGTCAGCTATATAAGTATTTATAATCAGTAAGAAAATGTTACTTCATAGAGAAAAGTTCAGTAGATTATCTCTTCGTCCTAGATAGCAAGAAAATCGATAATTTTCATACCTTCTTAATTATATTTTTATTTAAATGTTCTAAACTAATTATCTTCAAACCATTCCACTTTCTACAAACTTTTATTGTGATTTAAAAAATCTTAAATTTGTTCCAGTGGAGAAAAAATAAGGAAATGAATACATTAACAACGAATGTACTATAAATATTCAACTGGGATGAGCGCTTTTTAGAGAAATTCGATCAATAGTCAGATTTGGAAGAGAAATCACAAGAAATATGGATAATAAATTATTTTCACACTTTAATAGTCAACAAACTACTCGAAACAAAGTAGGACTAGACACAGTGGTGATTAAAGAGGGAAACATGTGATGAGTTGGCTAGTTAGCCAAGTTTTATAATCTAAATCAGAACTAAATGGTAATAGATAGGAGCAGTCCAATTTACTAACAATTACTTCTACGTCTATTTTATCCAGGATAGGCTTCGAGAAAATTAAGCATTTGAACGAATATCAAGTTGTACGATTTATTTATCATACACTACAGAAGAGGAACATTTAAATGATAAAAATTGAGTCAGTTTTCATATTTTTTTCCACTAAGTCATGAAACGTCAGAAAATCTAATTTTTTTTACTCATTGAGATATTACAAATATACTATTTATTTAATAGTATATGAAGTTAATTTACCTGAAGAAAAGTTCACTAACTTAAATAAAGCATTTAATTCAAACAACCAACTCAAAGAGAATCAACGCAAACATAATTGTACGTTATTAGGTCCAATTGATGATAATTGCAATAAAAATTAATCACACGCAATCAATGAGAGATTAATATATTCAAAAATTTACCAATAATACTTCTTTCAATAATGTAAACCAATACGAAAGTTGTGAGGTACCAGTTGCTTCCAACATTCCAATAAGTGTATCTTCAATGTCTCGGCGTAGTTGATAGTCCATTTCAACATCAAGTAAACTAAATAACTTTTTTTCTAATTTCTCACTAGTTGTTGATTTCGAAAAACTATTCATATCATTTTTATTGGAGATAGCAGAAAATGAAGAGAGAACAGGAGAAGGTTTCTCTTCTAACAAACCTCCTAGTGTCATACAACCATACAAATCCTTAGCCTCTTTTTGACTTAATTGTCGTAAACATGATAATGCTGCACGTCTCAAGACCAAATGGAAACTGGACACACTGGTCTGAAGTATAAAAAAAGAATAAAACAGAAAATACATTGGAACAAGTTATATTTACACGTCAATTCATAAACAACCACTTTTTAAAAAGAATATCAAATGGAACTTAGTGATTGATGTGTAAAATTTGTACACTACTGAATGTTAAACATTCTTCAACAGATACTTTATGAACATCATGTAGTAAAATTAAATGTTTTGGAAGAAAATATTTCGAATGAAGGTTTACGTAGAAAATTCGCAATTCAAAGTAGGTTGGCACCCAAAAGAGAGAAAAACAGTGCCGAAGTCAAGTATTTAAAACATGTTTTCTATTTGGTATAGTACTGGTTCAGTAAATTAATAATCGATTTAAGTACTATATGGGTAAGTAACATAACAAAGAAGGCTAAAAATTCAAATTGATCAAATCAGTTACGCAATCTATTGTATTTTATTTGTTATATAAACTCAGAATTGGATATACACCCACCATGTCATACAAAACTAGCTATTCCACTTATCAGTTTTCGAAATCTGCCCAAACAAAATGTGTTATAATTCAACCAGTAACGATGACGATCACGAGGTTTTAAAAACTAAACCGACCACTGCTTAGGTTTATACATTTGATATGTTATTCTTCTTTCAATTTCTAATCACTGTCGTTTAAGTGTGTTCTGTATGTTTGTCTACCCAAAAAACAGTTCACGTTTTTAATTGTTCTCGTTTAGATCTTTAGACTTTTGTTTTTCACCATACTTCTTTTATCGGCAGTAACAGTAACGTACACACTAGTTACAAACCTACATACAATTCACTTAATCAGTCAGTCAGAACGTAGAAACTGTACATATGTACATCTATTCAAGTTGCCACATCCCATTAGCACAGAAAGATGGAACTGATAGGCCAAATCTCATAATGGTAGAGGTAGTAACAGTATCAGCGGTAATGGGAAAGATAAGGCATCGAAGATATGACTTCGAAAAGAAAATATATATCAGCGAAATAAAAACAAAAAAGGCAATGGAAATTTAGAATCTCAGAATTTGGGGGAAGACAAAGAATGGATGTACCTGTACCACTGAAAACGATTTTAAGCCATGTCATTCAAAGTCTCTAAACATTTTTTTAAGATAATCACTCGGATCCCAACCACATCGTCTATACCTAGTAACATGGATAAGTCTGATTGTCAGTGACTTCATGGACTGATACCATGTTTCGATTTGGCCATCTCTAGCTTACTTCCAGCCTACTCTTACTCCAGAAAACATCGCTTATAGAGGCAGGTGATGGTTGAGCATACGTAGCAGATGCCCCAACCACCTTAGTTGATGAAGATTTACTACCTCTTAAATTGATTTTCCACCTTTACCAAGAACCCTATTTTTAAGCCACGCACTGCTTACTCTGTGGTCCAAAAATAGCCGTAACAACAATAACAGTAACGTACACACGAGTAAGTTACAAACCTACTTACGATTAGATGTAACAAATTGCTGTGAAGACACAAATCTAACTAAATCTCTCGATAACAGTGAATTACTATCAGATCTGATTCATCAAAGTGAACCAACACGTCGGACTAAAATACGACTGAGTAAATATCGCATAAACTAACAATATTGTACATGATTAGTAAACAACAAGACAACTGAACAAACAATATCAAAATACAAAGAGGGAAAAAACTAACTTGTAATTCAGGAACCAGACCAGCTAACTTAACATGCATTGGAGCAAACATATGCAATTGTTGTAGACAGGCTATACCTTCAGCTTGTAGTAGAGCATCCGGTGAATCACGCATAATCATACAACATAATAAACATGAATGTCGAACAGACGTTATACCAGCGCTTGTACCTATGTGAAGGTATTATTTAATCACAAATACAGTACAAGGAAAGGGAATATAAAAACATAATTCGGCAAAGATATGTATAAAATTTATCATTTGCGATTGGACTGGTTGTTATCATACAACCTATAATAATGTATATTAATGTTTCTTAAAACCGGCTAGCATCGGTATATATATATAATATTAGAAGCGATTTGATTAGATGTGAAAAGAACAACACTGTGTAAGCGGTTTTTTCAGCTATTTATTACAACATGAGATTTTTCTGATGATGATTAACTCAACTAAAATAAAATTAGTCACCATTCAACGTAAACATGTATGGACATGTTTGAAATTAAAAGATTTTGTTACAACTAAATATTTTATTCTAAGAAATACGACTGAGAACCGGTACAAAAAGATTGAGATGATTGAAATAGATAATTATGTGATCAAGATAGCAATCAGTGAAGGATTAGAAAAAGTGTGAGAAATACTGTATTGAACGCATTTTATTAAAATCATAGACTTCCACAGATTAATTAAAAAACTAAACTGAAGAATCATGTCCTTGAAGAAAGAACGACTTAGGCATTTAATTGCTGAAGCAGTGAAACCAATATTATCTCATTTTAGAACGCATAAATCAGAAACATTTGTAAAAGAGGACACTTTCAGATGAAGATTTATTTATGATTTTACCTTAGCATAATAAAAAGGCAGTTAAGCAAATAGCGCTTATTATTTTAAAGAAACATATTATATTACTGTCACATTTAAAATCCAGAAAGGAATAACATATTATACTATGACCACTGTTTTTTTGATAAAATAACTTTATAACAAGCATTTATTCATGCCCATTCTCTAAGACTTAGATTTTTTTTAAAGTACATAATAAATTCTACAATACAGACCAAAATAACGTACCACGTAATTCAGGTCCCAAAGTAGTAATTAACGCAGCAAATAAACGACCAAGACTTCTTTGAATTTCATGCATAGCGCTTGGTGATTTCAATAATAGCTGAAGTACTAAGTTTAAACTTGGTTCAATATATTCTCTAAATATTGGGCCACCTGATTCCGCAACTAGTGCAAGAGCATGTAATGCCCAAACTTGTACTTCGGGCACACTGGAATCTTGTGCAATAGCTAATAGTACACCGACACTTGAACTTAGATGTTGTCCAGACGCCAAACCACCGACATAACTGTGTAAACAACCAATAGCTAAACAATGACCAGCTCTTGCAATCGGATTGCGAATAGCACGCAAACGTTCAAAAATTTGTTGAGCTAATTCTGCTAAAAATCCAGATTCGCCAACAACTTGTGCAAGCCTTCCAAGACATTCACCAGCCACACAACGTAGTAGAACACTTGGACTGGTCAAAGTAGCCTAAAAAACAAGCAAGATTACAGGAAAGACGAAATTAAAAGGTGAATGATAGAAAATAGAAAGATTTAGAGACATACACGCTTTGAAACCACTCGCTCCAACACCTTTGAATGTCCTAGCAGCATAATGCAAATAAACACAATGTTTTTATCGAAAGTTGTAGATACCTTTCGAATGACTGAACTTAAGTGAGTAAAGTTAACATTGAAGTTATGACGACTTGAGAAATACGATTACCCACAGGTAGAAATCCGATCAAACAAAAGTGAAAATAGAAATATGTTTACAGAAACCTAACGAGTGTATATATGTATTTTAGTGCAAACAAACAAGAAAACAAAGTATACCCCCTAGTTCTAACATTCAAGAGAGAATAATTAAACCTCCTATCCTATTTAAAGGCAAACATTACTGTTAGGCATAACAGCCATAACGACAAACTTGTCCTCATATTTACACAAGTCTACATATACACCCTGAATGACCTTCACATCCATCTGTTTATTTTGTCTCTGGCTTGTTATTATTATTTATTTATTTATTTATTTATTAATTAATTTATTATTATTATTATTATTATTATTATTATTATTATTATTATTATTATTATTATTATTATTATTATTATTATTATTCAGTCAACATGCACTGAAACGAATTCTGACAGATTTTTGCATTACAACATATAGGACGTGTTTTTCACTCAATCAAAATTAATAAAACATTGTTGAAGCAGTTAGCATGTATTTTACAAGCAGAACAAATATTTGTTTGCATGTCTCGTATCATTTAAATAATAATTTTAACGAGATAGAGAGAGAAACTGAAACACATGGAGAAATGTCAGATTAATTCATCTATAGACTGTTTAACCGATCAATAGTTAAGAGAGTAAGGAATATGTACGTATGCATATCCTATGATTGTTCTTTATATGAGAAAAGTAGGCCAAGCTAATTCGAGAGTGCATGTGCATTAGTACCACAAATTCCTATGGACACATGTTAATAAAATAAACTTACGTAACAATTTATGATTATGTACTATTGCTTTTGAAAATATTTAGAGAATTTTATGAAAATTCCGAACCACATGATCTGAATTGACTGTATGTTTATAAACCACTTTTACACACTGTTCCTACCTGATTATCACCACAGTCTAGGCAAATTCCCACATCAACACTTAACTAACACATTATAATTTTGATGTTTATTTGAGTTTATTATTTTAACGTACATTTCTTGTGCTTAAAAATCGTTCAGATCTTTCATTTTTCTAAGAAAAAAGAGTAGTAAGCTAGTACATTACAATGTAACTCTTTCTTTTCGCCAAATACTTTTTTCTCTTCATTATGTATTGACAAACGAAGAGCTGTGAATGTACTATTAATGATACACCCCACAGATCCATTACATGTTCAATAATTAAAAATTAAACAATACCTGAAAGAAAAACAATGTACACAAAAATATTTTATGTTTAATACTCAACACAGTACAGGTTCAAGTTAATATTTCATAGATACCTGACTATCAAGTAACCCGTTGAGTCATTGGAGAAGAATTAAAGACAATCCAGCGAAAAAATTTTCTTATCGACAAAATCTACTGAAGCTGTACAATCACATTTAGATCTGATTACCAAATAAGGTAGTCTACTGGAAAGCTCAACGTTTTATTGATTAAAAGTGGCTATCCATTTCGTCTCGTTGAGAAAAACAAGAAAATTAAACTACAATTTCCAAGATCTACAGTTTTAAAAGAAAATCTCTTCATAAAGATTGGGTCCGATGGAGGCGCTAGGGTAGAAAATTTGAAGAATCGTCTAAGGAAATCTTTAAGAAAACGTTTATATGCTATGATGCGCGAAACGGGTTATCTACTTAACCAATACGTAAATAATTATGACTAAGTGTCGATACATAATACCCAACATTCATATAACTAGCATATAAACCGTTATAAAGTCTGTCTATACCTTACATAAACTTGTTTTGATCAGATGTTAGGAGGGTGTATTGATAAAAACAAACTGTAGATTATATCAAAAACTTCATCCATTTATTAATCTTATAAGGAAGAAAATCACATCAATCAACTCTAAATAAAACAGGGAAAATAAAACTTTTCTTACAAAGTAATTTGAAGACAAAAACAAGAAACACCCATAACCATAATATGAGATAGCAATAAAAGAACTCCTCTAGATTAAAAAAAGTAACAATACCAATGGGTTAGTGAGATTTCCCCATAAGATTTTGTCATGTGCACAAAAATATCACTGAGATAAATTATTGTTTGATCGTGATTTTAGTTTGGTTAGCGAGATGATAGAAAATGTAAACGAAAGAATTAACTTAGTGAATGGTGAAGTGAAAAACGGGGATTATACTCTGTGGATTAGCCATCATCAATTATTATTATTATTATTATTATTATTATTATTATTATTATTATTATGATAATCACTATTATCAACATTAATGCCATCACTAGTGCTATACACACACACAAGCACCACTTACATCATAAACAATACTCCTTTGTGATCCGTTCAACGAAGAATTCTGAGCATAATGGTCTCCGCATAATCTAGACTAAAAAAACTTCCTTAATAGTTTACTTTTTCTAAAAAGAAATAAATTTTATGATTTTCGCATTCATACACACATACATACACAGATGAAAAATGAAATCGTAAATGATTTATATTCGTGGATTGGTTGAAGTTAGACATTAACACCGTTGGACGCCGGCTCAGTGGTCTAGAGGTTTAGCGTTCGCGCGCGAGACAGATAAGCCCCGGGTTCGAATTCCGCGGGCGGGATTGTGGATGCGCACTACTGAGGAGTCCCATACTAGAACGACACGACCGTCCAGTGCTTCCAGGTTTCCCATGGTGATCTAGATTTAATTGACTCATGAGTTTCAGCTATTAAATTACTGTATTCTCTATCATAGTTATGTATAGGAAAAAAAGATTTCACTTAAACTACATGGTAAGACAAAGCTGCGAATCTCAATCATTCATTAATAGCCACAATCGTGCTTTTTTAGTGTAATTTAGTTTTTAAAAAGTATAGTTTCGTACACTTAACTTTCTGGTCCAATTTTTATGTGAGAAGTAGTGATATTTATTAAAGCGGCCTCAAGTAAATTAGAGTAGGGTATGAACCATGGACATACCAAAGGGAGGATAGTTATGAAAATTACACTATATATTGGTAATGAAGTCATCGCCCAAACAAATTGTATATTATGCATGATGGTTTTAAACTAAGAAATTGCCATATTACAAATCGATCAAGAGAATTCTGCCAGGAAAAAATAGTAATAAGAAACCTTTATGTAGACGTTACTGGTGGAAACTTTCATTCACACATATTCTGAAGCTATTTAAGCTTAACCAAACAATATTTCATAAATAATACATAACCCTTCCATTTATACAGATAGGATACATACATTAACATACGATAAATTACAATTAATTTATGAAATTTTATTCTATAGGTCTGTTGTATGTAAATGTACATAAATTTTTAATTAATTTTTCCGAAAATTTTCCACAATGATTATCTTGCTTTAATAGAATTCAAGACTATGTCATGAGATCAAGGGAATTTAATTGGTGTCAGCGTTTATTGATCATCTATTGATCCTGAATGATAATGTCCCAAGTGACCGAGTAAAATCAATGAGACGAGATATTATCTAACGTAAGTTAAGATGGAAGCTAGTAATTATCTTGCATATGATTTCACTCTTATTCATTAAAATAGATGTTTATTTCGTCAATAACCAAATTGCATCATAGTTATGGTGTTCCAAATTGAACCATATATATTTGATTATTCTTATTCGTTTTATTCTGTCGGTAAAAGTAAGGAAGTAAGTGGATATAAGCAATGGATTTCAAATCACCTACTGGGTCCCAATCAATAAGCTGCATGGTTTATGCATACGTCTTTTACATATAGCAGAAGTCATCGATATCGATCTTAACAAACATAAGTATTGTATCTATAAAAACTTTGTACAACCACTTTCCTTACTCTGGTCATCATAATAACAAATATTTGAATGAATTACAAATGACTTATTGCACAATACAATTTTTAATCTATTTCGTATTTTCTCTGCATTTACTACTCACACGTAGACCTTAACAACTATCATCTTAATAAGCTTACTTTCTAAAGTTTTAAAATACTCTGTATTTTAAAATATTTACTCAAACCTTTATTATTCATATCAGTATTAGTGCACTTGTTAGCTTTCCGTTAGTTTGCGCTTCTTTTTACTGATTATGATTAGTCTATTTGATTGTTATCACTGACCAGTAAATCAATTAGTAATTAATTTTTTGTGAAATGTACATAAATAATAAAGTATACTAGGGTAAAGCTTGACGAAGATCTGACATATATATCCACCTGTAGGCCTTACTCTAAAATAAAATTAGAGGAGTAAACGTTATTGAACATATAATATTTTACATCAACGTACAACAAGAGAACCCAAATAAATTTGGAGTTTCATGATCGATGTCGTAATATACTTAATGTAAAAGGATAGTAAAAAAGTAATAACAATAATAAAAGCCTATCGATATTGGATGAGGATAGTAATCATCAACGATACGGTAATGACCAATTATCTGAGTGAATAAATGTAATAAATACCTTAAAATTAATGTAAAAACTAAATAGAAACGTTTCAGAAAAACTAAATATTTATACACCGTTTGCCGATGAATAGAAGGTAAGAGAAAAAGCCTTTTATCATCACAATCTTCTAGATAGCCAATGGTCTCTTTTATATTTTCGCTCATCCACACATTCACGAACATACGTAGAAACAGGGAAAGAGATAAGCTTTATAAAACATTATAATAAGTTAAAAAGAACAAGAATGATAATAATATCGCATTATTTTTATATCACTTTTTCTTTTCTCATCAGTTAATTTAAACTACTGAACTTACCTTGTAGGTAGAATGAGTCGTAAAATAGCCTCAATTAATATACTACTTCAAACAAGGGAATATTGCATAGCTATTCAGTGTTAGTATGGAACTTCTTAACAATGATGATTTTCCTCTATAAACTAAACCAATATCCATTGAACTTTTTCATCACTACTACTAAACTCATTGTTAAATTTCTGTGTTTATCTTATCCTTTACAGGTTAGTTTCAATTGTTTCCGTTTCATATATACATACATATATAATCAATGACATGTTACAGTTTTCCTTAGACTAAACAAACGATTTTTTTTTGAGTATTTTCCAAACGGATTGTTATCTTTTTATGTCCGGTTATGAATTTATTTGTTGGTATAAATCAATGCTCAACTTAACTTCAAATATAATCCGAATAAAAGCTTACTTTTGTCGTGTATTCGTTTTCGCAGCTAATATTATCATTTTAGATCGATGAAAGTATTATGTACAGATAGTCCATTTATATTGCAATTTATTTCGTCTGTCTTCAACCGGACACTGAGTTACATACTCATATAACTTGTTAATCACTCAAATAAGAATAACTGATGAGAATCACAAAAATTAGAAAATATTAATAGTAAATTGTATTACTCTAGTCATAAAATAGACGGTCATACAATGATGTAAGAGTTGAATTTGAAGCCTAATAATAACGTTTATCTGGATGAAAGAAAGCACATTTAGTCTTTTGTGAGTAGGGAAAATTCCTCCGACGATCAAGGTTGATTAGTGTAAACAAATGTTAAAGAAACTCAGATGACACTTATCTCAATAGTGAATAAAATTAACAAGTCAAACTGTCGACAGACGATTTCGTTGTATTCCAGCGTACCATCGGGAAACTCTTAGAACAGAACACCGTCTTTTACCCCACAAGTGTTCGGCGCTAGTGCTGAGGACTTAGAAACTGATGTGAGTCATAAATACCATACCTCAAGTAATTATTTTTAAGCTGTGGAGCTGAGCTATCATACCGACAAACCATCCAACTCATCCTGTTTCTTTTTTAAGCATTTCAAAAAGGAATACCCTTCAAGAATGTGAGCAGCTGAGACGTTTCATTCATCAGTATAGGTTTAACAGTACAAATAAGCCATATCGATATAAAATATGAAAAAAAAGATTTTTGTCTTGTCTTGCAATTCCGCGATTATACAAACAAGAATTCAGGATAATCATTTGGAGTGAATTAACATGTACAGTATAATCCTATCATGAAGCATTCAAACAGGACATAAAATATAAACCACGTAGCATCAAAGAACTTACAAAAATTAAGTTTGTAGCAGCTTTTCTTAACGCTGGATCATCACCGAATGTAGATTTTGTTTCAGCTAAATGTCTTAATGCACTTAATAAAGCAGCGAAAACATTAATTTGTACAGCTTCTTGGCGTATTGATTTTGTAAGACGAATACATTCAGTAAAATGTTCTAACATTTGCGTACGATGACGAATAGAAACACAAGCAAATAAACGACCAAACAATTCAATTGATGCATCTATTACAGTAACACTAACAGGTATAGGTCCAGTTAATTGTAATGCACATGAAAGCGTGGAATTAGTAAAATTTCCAAGATTATGTCCACATGATAAATTATTAGTATTAGTATTTGAGGTAGAATTAATACTGTAGAATTTAGAAGTGGTAAAAGTACCATTATTATTTAGTAAAGTATGTGATGGGCCATGAAACAGTGTTCCAGCTGTCAATGATAGATTTTCATCATTCTCATCTTCAGTATTCGATATATTTGTCAAGGTAACATCAGTAGCCTGAAAAAGCAATGAATCAAGAAATAATGTATATGCAAGAACTAATGTCAATTTATTATTAGATATAACGTTTTTTTATTTATTACTGATGATACTACTACAGATGAGAAAACAGTATCTATGTCTGACTCAACAAATAGTTTACTGTTAAACTAGACATCATAAATTTGAATCTGTAGAGACAAGACATAGTTTACCTGATTATTTCAATTGAACGGGGGTAATAACAATATGTCATATCGGTAAAATGAATGATTGGTCAAGCAAATTAGAAGTTACCTAAGCCTAAATTAATTGACTAACCCCGTCTAATATTATTACAGGATCATCAGTCACGATGCAAATGATTAGTTTCTTTTGTAGTAATGAGTAAGATGGAGGTTAATCATATTTGACTTAGTGTATATGAACTGTAGAGAAACTAGTCGCTTGGCTAAATGATTAAAGACTATTGCAGGATTCCAAGCCAATGTGATGTTACGATTCAACAACTTTTATTATTCATTGTTAAAATCGAAACACAAAATATTTTAGTATTATTACTAGTAGAACATGAAACCAGTTTATTAAAGTATGGAATATACTGTTAACGTTCTAGCGTTTTGTTCAACTAAGCAATCGCTAGATGTGGCACATTTGAGAGGAAAAGCGTAAGTGTTGCATCATGTGATGAAAGTACTTATTGTTTAATTTTAAGGTTATTTATAAAGCCGTAGGTAAAAAAAATTAAACCTACGTAACTACTTCAGCAGGCGATAAAATATGTGTTACCTATGCCAAGTTAATACCATTGTTTAATTTCGATACGACAAGAAAAAATTGGTCAAGCGAAGGAATTAACAATCCATAGTTAGTCCGAGTTAAGTATAAATACACATTCCAATAATTGGTGTTTCGGAGACGAAATGTCAGTGGCTGAAGTTATTATATGGTATGATTTAAGATTTATCGTAGCAGTATAAACACTTCAATTCGTCGTCTTATCTAACAGATTATTATTCGTCATTAATTGTACTTGTTTAACTTCGTCTGCCTTGGGGTTTTTAAGATGGTCTAATGGAATAAAATCTATTCATCGAAAACGTTAACATAAGCAAGTACGAACATGCAATAAATAACAGCTTCGTTATCAGTTTGCAAAAAATAGAAATTAAGATCGTGGAATGTTAAGTAGAACAAAATAAACAAGTCCTCTATTCTCAGTACCTCCAATTGTATTTATTGATTTACATACACCTGCACAAGAAGAACAGAGAAAAGAGTATATGTTCGTACCTCCAACCATGTTTCACAAAACCTGAGACTGAAAATTCCCACTGTCATAAACAGTGCAAAGGCTCAAAAGTTAATGAATAGAGGGAATATTGTCAAAGTTGTAAAATCTTTCAAAAAAATTAACAGAATAAAGGAAGCAACTTTATTAAGCTTCACTGAATCAAACCCAAACCGAATACACACGTGTTTAGAAGGAGACATCATTAACTTACCATGACACCAAAAGAAAATTGAAATTTTCATTACATACTCTATAAGTGTTACTACTACCATTCTTACCAGTATTTTTCTGTAATCTTCACTTCATCAATTGTTATTTCATTAACTTAAAAAGTACCTTTACGTAATTTGCACTGACCCAACTCCCAAAACTTATGTAAACTTTACTTATTTTCTGTAATTATCACACAACTCATCAAATTTTCAATCCTAGATAATTCCTGTCTAAACCTCTTTACATTTTTTATATCTATCATTAAATAATCCATGTCACTCCAATTTTTCAGTCAAAAATGTTTCAAATAAATTGATCATTGGGTAGAAAGTTAATAATAAATATTTTTTTGTTATATCCTTTCACTCATTGGGATACAACGAAAAAAATATATTTATCATAATCACTAATGTTATCTTCCAATACGAATAGAGTCATAAACAAGAGATGAGAATTACCTAGAAAAATTCATTTGCATAGTTGCTATTCATGCTTTTAGTTCGAATTCATATAAAAACAGAAAATACAATTATTCAAGTGTTTTGTTGATTTATTTTACATTTCATTTGACAACAACAAAAAAAGATTACTGAGGAAAAAACGATTGTTAAGATCAGTAATTCTAAGGAATAATAAATTATGGGGGAAAAAAGACTTACCAGTAAATTATTAACACCATCATGTAGATATAGGTAAGAAGGATCATGTTCTAATGCCCTAGGTGAATTGTTTAATATAGTCGATTGTAACTATATCGAAAAGAAGGGATAGAAATGGTGCAAAATGATTATAGTACAATAAATGTTTAGATACTGTTCAGATACACATTTTAACTACTAAGATAAAGTTATATTGTGATGGATCAATATTACTACACAAATATGGTTTCCGGGTTCTGTTTTATTGTGATAAGAATTTCCTAAGGATCATGTGAACAAATGGTAGTCATTAGAGCATAAAAATATTATGACAAGTTAACAATTTATGATTGGGAGTTGTTTAAGTTTACAATGAATAGAACTGAGTTTCTTTTCTAAAATGGATTCATAATGAAAATCAGGATAATCAACACGATAAATTATTGAGATGTTTAAGGAATAGAAAACTAGTAGACTATAAATGATATGTTAAGTTTACGTTAATAAAAAAGATATTAAAACATTTACATTGAACATATTAAGGATGGTATATTTGCTTATCCATCAATGCGACGTACTATATCTATATATCATTATGATTATGATCTATAGTTAGGTACTATACACCTAATAAATATTTCTGACACAAAACTGTAGATAGTTACGAACATGTTTTCTACAAAAAAACCTTCATGGATATTCTTTAATAGAAGTAATTAAAAGTGGATGCTATTTTATTTAGAGAGAAAAATATATTTCCCCAGACAAACCCAGTATACGACATCTAGTGAATAAATATGGATAAAGAAAAAGAGGGGGGATCGCCTATGAAATGATGTAATTGTGTATGCGCTATTTCTAGTCCTTATTTTTGATGTAAAATATCTAAAAAGATCTTTTCGAAAAAAGACAAGATGGTGATAAGAAAAGTATAAGATTTCTTTATACTCAATAGTTCTGTCTCAACAGCCCTTCTTTATTAACATTTCTATAAATGTGCTGATGATTGGCGATAGTTCAAAGACGGTTGAATCATCACCTAACAGAAATTAATCGAAAATTCAGTCGTGAATACTAATAACGTGAAAAGTAATTACCCCAACAAATAACTACTGATAATGTAAATCATTTATCAAATACAAATATTGTTTTATAATTGATTTCAAGTCATACTATATATGTGAAGACTTTCGATGTTACCTGGCTAGTTAAACTGATCTACGTGAAGAAAGATTCGAAGCCCAGTCCCGTTGATTGAAGGCTTAGTGCTTTAAGCACCAGACTATTTAATCGAAGTGATAAGACCAAACGAAAACATAGTCCATCAAATTCCGGGTATATTGGGGAGTGGCTTAATAGTTAAAGCATTCAGATTTTAATCGGTAAGTTGCATGTTCAGAACCCGCACTACTTATTATGTTCAGGGCAGAAAATTAATATAACTGGTCGTTAGACATAGCGTGCCTCACGGTAGAGCATACTAAGCTGTATCTAATGGGTTGCACTACCAGATACAAAAAAAAAATAGGAATCAGTGACAACAGAAAATGACTGAGGCAAAGGATAACAGATTTCGAAAAAGTATGTTCCATCAAAGGAATAACTATGCTTTCCATGTTTTTTTAGATCCGCCCAAATTATTGATTTAGGTCATAATGTTATTATTTATGATAACATTACTATGCCTATATTATTACAATAGTTTTTTTTTCAAAACAAGCTATACGGTCCAATGTAATTCATCTGACTAGATAAATGAAGTTTATATCGGATTTTTCAGGTGTTTAGTAAATAAGCATGATTAGTGTACTTCTTGTAAAGTGAATGAGGAAGAACAGTATAGAGCTTGGTAACCATTAGTAACTCCATGATCCAAAAGTACAAGGAGAGGTAAGTCACTGAAAAATCTTTAGAATAAACAACTAATTTCCAAGTGAAAACCTACAATAAATTCTCACTAGAAACATTAGTAGAGTTGAATATTTAATTTTACCAGGAAAAAAATAGTCTATAAACAAAATCAACGATAGTAATTCAGCAGGATACATGGCTAAAGGAAGAGTAAAAGTAAAAGTTTTGCGCATTTAAAGTGATATTTCGTTTGTAAATGTGAATTCGCATAGAGCTTAACAAATAGTGATACATCCATACAGAAAAATACTGAATAGTTTACATGCTATAAGTTAAATGAAGACAATTAAAAATCATATTTCTCTCTCACACACTCTGCCGTAAAATAAAGCATGCGAATTACAGGACAGAATAACAAAAACAGTAACAATAATGATCATAATAGTAAATGAAAAAGAATTGTCATTTAATTCATATAGGTTTTAATAGTTGTATAACTTTATATCTATTCGTTATATAACAACATGTATTCTTTCTTAATAATTCAAAAATAAACTAATTACCATATTAATTTTCTTTATTGATTGGTATTACATTTTTGTACCGTAAAAGTTATAAAATACATGGCTCTAAACCCCCTCGAGTTGACGATTATGTCGACAATGCAAATCCGTAGCAGGAGAAAGACAATTAAATAGATACAAGTGTAGTTAACAAATCTACACAACTCAAAACCAGATATAAATGGAGCTATATGTAGTGAGATATGTGAAGATTTCAAATCTGGAAACCATTGGCTACTGGTTAGAATTACTAAGGTATAATTTCCCTCTTTTCAGATGTTTGACATGAATTAAGATGAACAAAGTATCGATAAAGTATATGACGTAAATCAATGGAAAAGTTACAATTCTGAGTAAAGTTATATGTATATAAAATAATGATTAAACTGACTGACTTACTTGTTCCTCTAATAATCTTTGATCTGTATCCTGTAAGCATGATCCAAGTGTGATACTGTCTTCAGAACAACTTAAAGACTTCAATAAAGAGGTTGTTACATTTGCTACATTATCAGTTAACGTGAATTCAGCTACTAATTCACGTAAAATTGTACTATAAGAACCTATAAATATAAATAATGTGTTAAAAATAAGAAATCCATTGAAACAGAATTTTAAAAACTGGTAGTTCAGTCACATAGTAATAAACAATAATAAGCAGGAAATAGTTCAAAAAATAAACTGATCAAAATCAGATTAATATTAATGCGAACTTTCTTCTTTTCTGTATAAAAACGAGAGGTCATCAAAACACATATCTATATTATTCATAGTAGTGATGATCGTTATTTAATTTGTTTCTTCTAAAAAATGCAATATAAATATTACTGTACATAAGAATTAAAGCCTGAAATTTGTATTCAGTTAAAATTATGCAGGTATAAAGACAAACGATAACATGCGTTTATTCACATACTGGATTTACTAAACATACGAAAAATGCACAATGAACAATGTAAAGATTTTTTATAGCTTAGATTAAGAATGGATCTTAGGCAACCATTGAAAACGTGAAGATAAGGGAATATAATGAATTATGATTGATTAATATATTTTCTATTTACTTGAAAGTTTACGGTAATTAGTTTTTTGAAATACAATTACATAAATTAATTAAAGAACTATAGGAAGCATGATTATTACCATGTGGAATTGTGAGAATATAGATAATAAATTATTACTAGTAATTATCACAGATGAAGAGTAGTTGTAAAAGCAAGCAATTGAAAAATTCAGTAGTATATATTTTATACTAAGCGAGAAGAAAGAAGAAAATTCGCACAAATATGTAATAATGTAAATTGTTATTAATGTGTTCACATGTATATGTGAACCAATTAATGAATATGAACATAGAGATATTGTCGAATTCGAAGTTACTCAAGTTATCTTTACACAAATCTCATTTGGTGAACCACTGATAGAGTAAAACATAGAGGTTTGTTTACCATTCTATGTTTTCTGGAATAAGCCGATAAGTTCTCCTTATTCCCAAGGCTTACAAACAACATCGAATGATAAATTCTAATTCAGCATTAGTTTGAACAGTTAGATTATATTTTTAAATGTAGATCAGAGCGCATTTCAAAGTTTTGTGTTGAACTACGAACTATCACAATGCCAACAGTTGGAAGATTGGCCAAGGATTTCATCTAAGTGGGTTATTATTTTTTTAAATGGACTTACTATGAGTACCGAACCATATTGACAAACAGTATTGGACATTAAATGGATATATCACCACATACTAGGACGAAACGGCCGTCCAGTGCTTCCAGGCTTTCCATGGTGGTCTAGCTTCAATTGACTTATGATTTCAATCAGTGAAATTTCTAAAATCTCCACAAACCCCTTCTGATAACAATCATCTGCTCACTAGTGACTGACTTCAAGAGATACTCCAGGAGTTCTAGTGAGAAGCCGTTAGCAGTGGAGTTCAACCAGGTCTGTTGTGAGATATCAACTCACTGAAGACAATGGTGTACGGTGACGCAACTTCGTGCATTTGTTGAAGTTAGATATTAACACCATTGGATGCCGGCTCAGTTTATTTATTAATTTATTTGAACACATGAATATTGGTACAGGAGAGCGCCAATATATATGCGCCACACAAAACAATAAAAATTCGAAGAGAAGTAGAGAAAAAAACTAAGGAGCGCAAAAGAAAAATAGAACAATAACGAAGAGATTGGTGTAAGGTAGTGTGGTAGTAACGAGGGAACGAAAAAGTACAATCAGAAGAAATCTTTCAGGTAAGGGAGACACAACCACTTTTTATGAAGAAAGTAAAAGAAGGTTAAAGCAGGGTCGCCACTGGCTTCTATTCTGAGCCATATCTGATAACGTCTCTAGCCACTGTGTTGCACCATCTCTCAGACCCCAGTCCCAGAGTCGGCAAATAATGCACGACGTGGAATTCTCTGGGACGACATTCGGAGAACATGTCCAAGCCACCGAAGTCGGTGTTTCAAGATGGTGACACCAATTGAATTATCATCTCTGTGCTCGAACACACGATGCCGAACCTCTGCATTACTGACATGGTGTTGCCACTGAATGTCAGCAATCCTTCGGAGACAGCGATGATCGAACACAGAGAGTCGTCTAACATCCTCAACTCGGAGAGGCCAGTTTTCACAAGCATAGAGCAGAACTGCTCTCACCGACGCGTTGTAGATCCAACCTTTTACAGCCAGACTAACATCACGAAGGCGCCAAAGGTGGCCCAGATTGGCCTAAGCCGCTCTGGCTTTCACTATACGTGCATTGATCTCATCACTCACACCCCCACCAGCACTTATGCAGCTACCCAGATACACGAACTTCCCGACTACGTCTATCTGCTCACCATCCAGGGTGAGTACAGGATTGGAATCCTGCCAGTCTTGTAGAAGTACTTTGCACTTCGAAGGTGCAAAGCACATACCATACCTACGGACACTGATTGCCAACTGATTAAGTGCGGATTGCATGCCTTGGGCATTATCGCACAGTAAGACAATATCGTCCGCATACTCAAGGTCGAGAAGTCTTTCTCCAGGCAACAGACCCACACCACCATAACTTACATCCACCAGAGCTGTTTCCAGAATGTCATCAATGGCAAAGTTGAAGAGGAATGGTGAGATTGGGCAACCCTGCCCAACCCCACTGCTCGAATGGAACAATGGAGAGAGGTGGTTGGATGCCCTCACTCTGCCTGAGGTGTTTTTATATAGGGCTTTTAGGATGTTAATAAACTTCTCAGGCACACCCTTCTTCAATAGACAATCCCAGAGAACAGTCCTGTCCAACGAATCGAAGGCAGCCCTGATGTCAAGAAACACTACGATTGTTGGCCTTTGAAAAGTATGGCGGTGTTCTAACATTTGGCGGAGGGTGAAGATATGATCAATACATCCTCGACCAGAACGAAACCCAGCCTGCTCCTCGCGAGTCAATCTTTCTCGGGTTTTGAACAACCTACGAAGTATGACGGCGGCGACCATACCACGTTGAAAGCACCGGCTCTCGTCCGATCACCGCAGTTAAGCCAGCTCAGTGGTCTAGTTGGTTAAGTGCCTCTCCGAGTTGAGGACGTTAGACGACTCTCTGTGTTCCATCATCGCTGTCTCCGAAGGATTGCTGACATTCAGTGGCAACACCATGTCAGTAATGCAGAGGTTCGGCATCGTGTGTTCGAGCACAGAGATGATAATTCAATTGGTGTCACCATCTTGAAACACCGACTTCGGTGGCTTGGACATGTTCTCCGAATGTCGTCCCAGAGAATTCCACGTCGTGCATTATTTGCCGACTCTGGGACTGGTTGGAAGAAGCGGAGAGGTGGTCAGTGCATGACATGGTGTCGTGGCATGAAAGAAAGCTGCAAAGGACTGGCTTGTGTTGGTCCTTCACGATTCCCTGGTTGGGGTCCGAGAGATGGTGCTACACAGTGGCTAGAGACGTTATCAGATATGGCTCAGAATAGAAGCCAGTGGCGACCCTGCTGTAACCTTCTTTTACTTTCTTCATAAAAAGTGGTTCTGTCTTCCTTACCTGAAAGATTTCTTCCGATTGTACCTTTGCGTTCCCTGATTACTAGCACATTACCTTACACCAGTCTCTTCGTTATTGTTCTCTCTTTTTTTGTTGCGCTCCTTAGCTTTTTTTTTCTTTCTTTGTATTCCTCTCGAATTTTTATTGTTTTGTGTGGCGCATATATATTGGCGCTCTCCTGTACCAATATTCATGTGTCCAAATAAATAAATAAATAAAGTGCCTGGAGTGAGACTGATAGGTTCTGGGTTCGAATCTCGTGGGGGGCGGGATCGTGGATGCGCACTACTGAGGAGCCACACACTGTGACGAAACGGCCGTCCAGTGCTTCCAGGTTTTCCATAGTGGTCTAGCTTCAATTGATTTATGATTTCAATCAGTGAAACCTCATTAATTCTCAGGAATTTATGAGCTAAAGCCTATTCAATTTTAAAAAAACTAGTCATTCGAAAATACTAATGGAGAATAGCGGAAGACAACTCTATTTTAGATGCAGCTGAAAGTAGAACGAATATTTACTCCATTTCAAAGATAAGAGAACACATAATACTATTTTACAGTTTAATTTCAAGCTTAAGAAGTTAATATGAAATACATATTTGGATTATTCTTTCGAAATGTTTACTCATTACTCTATCCAAACTGTTGTCGAATACTTTGTATTTTCTTTTAATAATAATTATTTTACTGTACACAAATAGTTTTTTTAAAAGAAAAACTTTCAAGTCGAAATTCTGTCAAAAAACTCATCTCTTACATAAATTTTCTGCACTATGAAATAAGGATTTATGTTGCCGTTGTACGTTGACAATTGATAATTAGACATCATTGGTTTCCAAAAAAAGAAATGATCCCATTCTTTTAGAAAAGTTAATTAATTGGGTTTTTATTTCTAACATAATGAAATATTATAATGATAATTTAATATTTTATTGTCCTATGAGAATTTCCCACTCACTATTGAATATAAGAATTCTTTGGCGTAAAAAAATTAAGTAAACAAAGCATCACATTATGTGAAAGGTGAACGGAAGTTAAAAAATATGAAGCATTGAATTTCTAACCAATCGATTAAAAGCATAGTGTACACACACACCACTAGACTCGAAAAGGTGACTCCGATCTTTAGGTATGAATGATATGCTCTTTTCATTAAACCATGTTTACTCCAATGTATATATATATATAGCATGAAAGAGAACGAGATGAATACATACACATTCGCATGCAATATATTATTTTGATAACTATTGCATAACCAACGACATAATACTTCTAGTAATGGTGTTAATATAAATACTAACATGTCTAGTGAAAACCAAACAAACCAATTAGGATAAATAGGAAACACATTGAATGAAACAAATGGATCAGGAATTAAACAAGACAAATGCAAATAATAAGCACACAAAAGAATAAAATCAAGTTATATAGATGCATACGTGTATTTTATTTTACCTTGTTGACTAAGGCTTGTTTGCCACAAATGATGTATAAATGCTAATCCACAAAATCAGGGGAATGAAATCAATAGAAAGTAATATTTTTATTAATACTGATCCCAAAAGGTACACATATATATCCTTGCAATTGATTATTGAGTAGCGAACAGTGTCGTATTCGTCTAATCATCTGAGTTGACTGAAATCTCTCGACTAAATTGAAATGTCGCCACTAGTATAAGCGATTCGACATTGTGTGCAGTATTTTAAGACGTTAAGTGGTTGCAGACAGTCGATCGAAAACCCTGAACCTAGGTTTTTTGTTAGTTGCCAATAGTCAGCAATCTGAATAGATCATTGGCAATATTTCAGGTTGTGAAGGTGGGTGACGAGTAGTGGGATACCACCGGAAACATCAGTTCCCGCAAGATTGCAAAGAGACCTTGCTGATGTGTGTCAACAACATATACGATATGCAGAACTACGGTTTCCTATCAACTACATCTAACAACTTAATATATATATATATATATATATATATATATATATATATATATATCCTTTTACTATTTGCTTACTTGAATAATAGTTTCTATTTAGCGTATTTTTTAACAAAGTTTCCTTCCATATATAGGGTTGTTGACCTCATGACCAAACCTCCGCCTTTCCCCAAACTTGGGACCGGTAGTAACTCTACAAGTGCTCCAAGAGGAGATTTTTCCTTTAATAAGGTGTTCAGAAAATATCTCAGATATTGCAAGACAGACTATACATTAACTTCAATCAAAATCATTATGGAATGTGATTGACGACCAATCTTGCTTTATTTCAGTAGTACGTAAAGTTATGTGCCAGTGAACATGCAATTTTGTCAGTGATTATAACCCAAAATACTTATGATCTGGTAACATTTTATGAATCAGAGCTTCAAAGAGTTGTAAATTCTACCAATTAACATGAAAAGCATGTATCTACGCTATCTACTATTAATAATAAAATTTGCTTAATAATTTAATTTAATTGAATGAATAAATGAAGAATGAACTTAAAAAATTAAAGATAACAAAATAAAGATGGTAGGTTGCAGGAATATAGATGAAACAGTGAAAAAGGATCTAAGATTAACAACAAAGTACGAAAAAATTAATAGGTAGACCATCAACCTTTTCTGAACACATAAACACACACTGACACGGTTGCTGGTGTACTTGAGTCAAGTACAACACAAGTACCAATTCGGTTTCCAACCATGATACTCCTGGGCAATTTACAACCATTTACTATAATATTATTTGGCACATGGTCACTACATATGTGACATACTGAATTAATTAATTAGCAAATACTATTTTAAGCCAATAACACATTAGCAAGTTAGTTGTAATTGAAAAATGATATAGAAATATATAATTAGACAAGCAAAAAAGTATTTCCCATTAATTATAATCATAATAAGATATTATTAACAATTAATCAACTTACTAGTGTATGCTGTAGATGGTAGTAAAAGTAAAATTCGATAAAGTCGTAATCGAATAAAACCAGCTATTATTTTTAAGTGATTTCCATAAATTCGAACAATATCATTCATTTGTCCAAGCATATTTAATGCACATTCAATAAGCGGTAAAAGACGATGAATTATATCTTCAGTAAGTAATTGTGGTGAACAATATTCTAAAAAGCTTTGTATAGAGCATAATGCACCCGATCTGGATTCCAGCATAATCTACAATGTTGAAGTTGAGGCAGGAAGATGGTAGATAGAAAGTGAGAGACAGACAACAAAGGGATAGGTAAAGACATTTAACAAAAGTATCAAGTGGCTGGAGTTAGTCGACAAGAAATCTAGTATTGACATAGATTTCGTGCTAGTTAACGCTTGTCAATCAGATATGTTATCTTGGGGGGAACTAATGCTCCCAATGTCATCCGACCGTACGTCAGTTAGCTTCACAATCTGAGACGTTACTACTAAATTATTCGGGCAGTGACTGAGATATTTACAAATGATTGACCATAGAGTAATGAATAATGTTACATTTGTCTAATTTTTTGGTGCCGATCAAACTTTAAGGTAAGAAATAAAGTATGTAGAAAAGAACGGCGAAAAACACCTGAGAAATAGAATTCACCTAATTATATTGATATAACATGAGATTTAATTTATAAAAGTAGATCAGTTTGAAATCGCTCTACAAAGACAACCATCAAAATCATATACACGAACAATTAATACGAAAACATTAACCTCATCAACGCTTATGACAACATTGATTTACGACTAATTCAATAGTCCATTCCGCCCAAATGATTTTTTCCTATCGATTCTCATTATGAAGTCTAGTTTTGATGTTATCTAATAATTTTGGTTTATTAATTGAAAAGAAAGAAACAATTAAAAATCATTTCAGAATATATGCCAGAAAGGATTTATTTATTCAAATGGAAAAGCGATAATTAACTAGTCAATAATATAACAAATAAAGCAAAATCATTTGGATAGTTTCCACAATCTGAGATGAGAACGACATACATCGAGATGAATTTCCGTTATGAAATTTTGTTATGATTTTCTCAGTAAAACGAGTCATCTAAGTCACCCTGTATGATCTACTCTCAATGATGAAGCCAGAAAACACTAGTGTGGAAACTATACCCTACATCTTAGTGAATTGAACAGTTAGCATATTTTCAGCTCGCCGAATGGCACCATTCTTAATCCAAATTAAGCACATCTTCGGAAAAAAAGTTGCTCTAACTGGAAGAGTCTGTCCACCTACCAGGACAAATTTTCATTCATTCAAAAAAGTTAGATATTTCTGAGAATCGATACAATCATGGCATGTTACTCCAAATGAGCGCACCCAGAAGACAAATACGAAACAATTGTTCAATATATAAAGCATAGTGCAATTTGGTTAAACATTGAGTTAGTCAGTCAGCTAAAACGTTGGACCAGGCATAAATATCCATCTGTCCAAGTTGCCACATCTCATTAGCACAACAGGATGAACACCGAAGTAGTTACTTCAATGGTAGTAATATATAAAAGAAAGATTATGTATAAGGATATAGTACAGGAAGAAAGAATTAGTTGATACAAAGGAAGGCATAAAATAATTTTCATCTCACGGTTTAAGGGGAAACAATGGGTGTATACATCTACGCCATTGTGACCGATTATGTGTCATGTCACACATGGTCTCCAATCATTGGTTTCGATAGTCACGCGGACCCCAACCATGTAGTCTACATCTACCAACATGGCTCAGACTAGAAGTTAGTGACTTCAAGGACTGATGTCACGTTTTAGTTTGGTCAACACTAACTTACTTCCAACCATCCCCAACACTAATCAGCATTGTGCGTCGTGGTAATCGGTGTTCAGGCATATGTAACACGTGGCCCAACCATCTCAGTCGATGAAGATTCACAACCTCATCAACTGATTTACCATCATTCTCTAACCTCACTATTACTTACCCGATGATCCCAGCAGATGCGAGCAATATTTCTAAGACATTTGTGATCAAATACTAGTAGTAGGCATCGACGCAACCAGTGGCTCACAAACAAATCTATATTAGAAATTCACTTTGTATTGCTCATTTGAATCTTCTCACTGATGTTTAGGACTGCGATTGACCAGTCTTTTATTGGCATATTTGCATGCTGTGCGGATTGCCTCGATGTTGCCCTAATTCACAAGTAGTATAAGCAAAGATGGATGGCGGCTAGCAGTGGAATCAAGGACGCACGTTTCGTCCTATTTGGGATTCGTCATCAGGATGTACCTGCATCCCAGAGTTGATGTTCATTCTAGGACTAAGTGGGAAACGCGATGGCGCTTGAATCGAACGGTGCTGAATTCGAGTTCTGGAGTAAACATTAACTCTGGGATGTAAGTGCATCCAGCTGACAAGTCCCAAATAGGACGAAACGCGCGTTCTGGATTCCACTATTAGCCACCATCCATCTTTGCTTATATATATTATATACAGCTGTGCAAATCCAGAATAAATATTTCTGTCAACCAATTTACTTTTCTAATTTATAAATATTTAATCGAATTAAAAAAAGACTAGCCACCTCAATAAATTCTGGGATGAATGTATGTATGTATGTAGAAACAAACAAACACACACACACACACAGAATGTACAAAAAGTGTACAACACTCAGAAAAACCAACATACCATAGAGAAGTAGGCGAAAGTAGAGACAATTTAAATAAACAAATAAATAAAATTGCCAATCAATTTTAAACGAAATTAATTTTTAAAAAGAGAATTACATTGTCAATTAACTTTACTTCATCATATTATTTCTTTTATAGAAAAATTAAAAAAAAACTAAATTATCATTGGAGAAAAAGTAAATCAGATCAATAAAAATATGATCAAATTATATCGCCATTAAATTGATTAAATAAAATAAGGAAGTAAATAAGATCAAAATGTATCAATCAAGGGGCTATGTATGCATATAGAAATGAATTACAACGGTGCAAATCATTTATTTATTTAGTCATTAAGCAGTAATATCAAGTATACGAATGACTTTTCAGATGACGATGACCTAATTATATAAACTGTTGAAAACACCCAAAACAAATGGTGGGAAGATGGTTTGATGAATGAATGTCTTTACTGTTGAACATTGTTACGTCTGTTTTGATGTGAGAAGGTGGATAGTATCGTCGGACCTCATTCAAACAGTGCGGCAAAAGTATGAGTATGCAAACAGGTACTTGATGATAGTTTGTCATCAAAAGTGATGGCGTTTTTCTACAGCACATCTAAAAATTGATAATTATTGTAGCGACGGACCACCGGTGAACTCGAGGAAGCTGTAAGAGGCTCAGAAGGAGCCGAAGACGTCCAATCCAATCACCTTTCGGAGGAATATTCTAGAATTCCTACGTGTAGCTTCCCGATTGGATAATGCTAATTACGCCCTGTATGCCGATTGAAGGACTGTAATGATGATTTCGTTCTTACTAAAAACTATAAATACCTGACAATTTCGTACTATGATTGACACTGTATGGAATAATATTCCTCTCGTTAGTCTTCTGTCTTCTTATTGAGACTTGGAATGGTTTTGGGTGTCCTAGTGCTGTGTTATACGCGGTATATCGAGAAATCAACTTTCGAGATATAACAATTATCTGATCTGTTTGGTTACTGGAAGAGTTGAAAACAAGCGTTAAAAGATTTACATTCGAATTAAGATGAGAAAAAGTAGAAAAAAACATATTCAAGTACCTGATTTACTCAAGGTGAATTAAAGCACTTAACCTCGCACTCAATGAATTAAGCCCACAAATGTATCATATCATACAACCATTTAGGGGAACAGCCAGAATGATCAAGTTACGGGATAATGAAGATTGATTTATAATCAGTGTTAGAAAACAGTATGGCCTCAGAAGAGAGACAGCTATGATAGAAGACTAAAAGAAGGTTTAACAAGGGAGGTATTATGACAAAAGTTTTCATTGGCAAGCAACATGAATTGAATCTCTGTTCATTTTTCAAAGCAATCAAACTACCATATTCATAACTTAATGTACTTTTAAGCTTAATTTAAAAAAACTATGTAAATATTGAGAAAGCTAAAATACCTGCCAAGTAAAAGCGTCACCGCGCTGTTTCTCCGCTTCCAGCTCACGTAAACTGCGTGGAAATGCATTACGCCAAAATAACAACATTCTAGGTAAATGAGGCTTGACAACATTTGGTCCAAGAGTTATACAAGCAGCTAATAAACTCCAACCACTTTGAGTACGAGCCAATGCGAATCGGCTATTTTGATTGGCCGCACGTAGAAGCTCTTCAGCTAAACTAAACAACTAAATGGAAAAAGATATTAGTATAGAATTATCAAACTAGTGGAGATCATAAGAATCCTGTTGAAGAAATCAATCATAAAAGTTAGCTTTACCATTAAAAGCAAATGACGCCAACTTGATCAATGAAAAAGTGGCGAGACTATAACTTGTGGACGAACCAATCAGATTAAAGATAGTAGGTCTTGGATTTTGGCGTGAAAAATCATTCATCCATCGGATTAAATACCACTTGACATCATAGCTGAAAACCCTAAATCCAATTCCTAACCCTAACATCCAAATGTAAATACTAATCCTAATTCCTCACACTGATTTTAAACCTTTATTTAACCGTAGTAAGTAGGTAGACATTCTGAAGACCACTTTGGCGTTACCAAAAGTCGTCCATAAATTAGAGTCTCACTGAAAAGTTTGCAAGTCTGTAATTTCAGATGTTCACATTGAAGAAATATATTCTGTTCATTAATTAATTCACTATCATTGAATTTTGTATTTAGATGAAGATGATTTCAAATAATTTAAGAGCTTGTTTGCATATTATTTTTAATCACCTATAATAAAGTCACCACTAACATATCACACATTCATCTTCATATCTAAGATATGAAAATAAATTAAGCTTAGCTTACATTTTTAATTGGTCAATACACCCATTTCAAACAGTCTTTGCCTAATACCTTACTGAGGAAGTTTAGCTAAAACACTTTAAAAAGAACAAAGTATACTTTAAAGTCAAGTGTGTTAATTAGGTGTAAAATAATAGAACTTTAATATACGATGACCACCTTGTAAGTAAACACTAAGTTAAAAAATGAAATGTTAATATTAATTGCTGCCTTAAAAGAATGTACTTGTTAAGCTTTTATTTAAAGAGGATTCAATAAGCTCTTATACGAATCAACTAATAAGAGACTATTGCACTTGTTTGATAAATTAACATTCCCGTAAAATCATGTCCGTAAAGTCTAACATCAACATTTCTCCTCTAGTTACCATTTTGCCGTGTTTACCTGTTCAGTTATATTTATAGTAGTAGTACATGCATTGGAAGGGAAAGGCGAATTCTACCGAAAGGAGAACCTATAAGTATGAACGAAAAATCGCTGTCAGTTCTTTTGCTCTATTGAGAACGACTTGCGAATGTTCTTTGTGGTTAATTAATTTATTATCTCACTTACTTCGTTCCTACAGAACTGGGACTTCTGTAATCATATAGGGTATTTATGATTATTTATACCAATGAAATGAATTATTGCATGCATGTTTCTCACAAACTACAATCGAGAAAGTGCTTCGTATCCATACAAAATAGTTCGTACGTTCAATAGCTGACATTATAAAGTGAATTCAGCACAATATATGTTCCCTTGTTTTGAATGTGTGCTTATTAACAGCATAAAACCAAAAAGCCATTTTAGAATACCAGTTTCTTATTAAAAGCAATATAGTCCCACTAAGTTAGTGTGATAAATTCATTTTTGACTATTATCATATTAAGGTCGAAATTATCAATCTAACACCAAATATTATTTGAAAACAGCAAGTTTACTGTCCATCAGTAGACCAATCGAATAAACAAAACAAAATTCACATATATAAAATGATGGCAAACTAACTTGATCTGGTACATTATTCGGCAAACCAAGAATAGAATAATTAACTCCAGCTAGAAGTCCAGTTATGCCGAAAGTAACGCCTAAAAGTGTTTCAGCACTATATCTATGAGATTGTTGCAAACAATGTAAACATTTATTTAATAAAGGGATGCGTTGGCTTGGTACAACAATTACTAACTGCCTTAAACACGATGCAGCTGCCAAACGAACCGCCTGTACTGGATGTGATAAACATGTGCATAGTACATCAGTTAGTTGAATGGGTTGATCCAAAAGTTGAACTAAAATTTGAAAAAAAAAAATGAATTAATGTAAAACTGTGAATGAACAGGGAAATCCTACACTTGATATCACATTAACAACTACTTAAGAATCAGAAATTAATAAGAACTTTATTGTATTTCTTTGAAGAAATTTAACACCCACAGGTAAATAACATAGGTCAATATTCTAGACGGAAATGAGAGAAATAAATTCTAACCTTTCAGGTGGAGATGGATGGTGGGACTCATCAATTGGATGCATATACACCTTAGTATGAGTATTCACATTTGGACTCGAAACCACTACCGGTCGCTTCAAACTCCAATCGTATTATCTACTGAGCTACTGAGCCCAGATAGCCTGTGTAGCAGCTTGTGTAATGCAGTGAATTTTGCACAAGCTAGTGTATATGCATTCAACTGATGAGTCCCACAAAGGACGGAACGCGTATCCTGGATTCAACTACTAACCACCATCCATCTATACTTAAAAGTGCTTGTGACTTAGTAGCAATGTCGAGGTAATGCGCACAAGATGTACGTATGCCAAAGGAGACTGGTCAGCTGCAGTCCTAAGCGTCGAATGGAAGATTCAAACAACCAATATTTGTAAAATTTCAATTAAAAACTATAGATCAAAAAAAGCTGTAACTGAATGGGTCTAGGATCTAGCTCCAGCCAATGGATCATAAAATTCACATCTTCCTCCGCTTAACAGTGATTTATGAAATCGGACAGTATTTCCTAGTGCTACTTGAAAACGGGTACATAAATATCTCAAAGGATTATTGGTTAGGAAATTAATTGGTCAACAAAAACCAAGCATGAATAAATTCCTGAATGAAAAAAGCCCAAGTCCATGAACAAAGGTTTGCAAAGGTGGGATCCAGATGAAAGTGTAATGTTGGCTTAATAGTTAAGGCGTTGACTTCCAACCACAATCGTATGTTCGAACCCCACTCCACCTACAACAGCATGGGTAGCTTAGAGCGCTGCCGAGAACCAAGTATACTAATTTGTACATAGTAAATAAGCTGAATAAAAATAAAATAGAATAGAATAAAACAAGAACTTAAAATACATCATTCGACTAATCTAATAAAATAAGTGTTTACAGAATAAAATTGTAGATAAAAGTGCTTACCAACTAGTGAATCTAACCAACGAATTAATTGACTAATTATATCTAACACACAAATAACTAAGTGCTGATGTTGTTGTTCGCGATTCGAACGGGAACTGCTACCACCCGTAGTAGCTGTTGTCGTTATTGTCGCTGTTGCTACTTGACGCCCAATTCCACGTTTCACTTTTCCACTATCCGGTTCCACAACACTATCCAAATTACGTACATTACTAGTTGCCTGATTATCCCCATGTGTTACGTTGATACCAGTCTCATTGAAAATATCATTCGGTAACGAATCTGATGGTTCGTTTGTATTACCATTATTATTAAGAGTAGGTGTTACGGAAGAAGAGGATGAAGAGAATATCTGTTGAAACACATCACCGTCGTTCATTGAATATTCATTCACATGAAGATTTTGTAAATATTGTAAATGATATACTAATATCTTTATCAATTCACTAATCGCAACTAATTGAATTGATTCAGGCAATAAGTGTCGAAATACAGTACCCAATAGATATTGTATACATTGACGTGCATATATAGCCTCGACATGCGTTGGTGTAGCACGTGGAACTAATAAAAGATTCACTAAATGTGTCAGTATAGTTGACAGATTAGTTTCAAACCATAACGGCCCCATTTCAACAATAAATTCGATGTAAGCCTGCAAATAAAATAAAAGCAAATTGACTAATTAACACATCAACGAAGTGTAAATCATTTTAATGGTCATTTTAATCAACGCTAATTGACGTTTATTCAGTAGTGGTTGAAAAACAAAAGAAAGAAGGGAGAAAATACATTAATTCCTAATGCCTATTAATGTAGATAGATATCAATCATTATTAAACTTGGGTAGTGGCTAGCAATAGAATTTCGTCCTGTGGGGGACTCGTCAACTGGATGGGTGTTTACATCTAAACTCGAACTTAATGCCCATCACACAAAACTCCAATCGCATTATCCGCTAAGCTATTGAGTCTAGGTAGCCACTAACTTGTGCAACAAGCACTTGATAACGATAGTTATATCGAGAACTAACTGAATTCGAACTCATGTACAATTCATTGAATCCATGAAAAGATGCCCACGCTAACGAATTGAGGTATTTTTGGAAACGGTGATAATAATTAAAATATAAAAAGGCATTCACTGTAAGACAACTAAGGTCGAGAGTGAGGAGAGTTCACTCATCCTCTCGAAATGCTCTCAAATGGCCACGTGTATATAGCCATTGTTAGGGAAGTCCTACTCACTGCATTCTCGTGGTGGGATGTTGTTTATGAAATTGAGAGGACGAAAAGCGACTATCTGGCCCTTTAACCGGGTTGATGGACAGGAGGAATCCACTTAGGGGAGTTGGAAAACACTGATTCCAAACCAATGGTGCACATGAGTTGCAGGATCCTGAGGAAACAAATGGAGTGGGAATCTATTGTTGGTCACCGGCGACCATGGGACTGCACCTCCTAACGGTGGCTCCACTGCCTTGTGGATTAGACCTCTAGGTCAAATAGTTAGGGAGTGACCATTTAAGATAACCACCTGCTTCGGTCTCGGCACCCAGGCGATATCAAAGCCCTCACATAAATTAATAGTGGCTACCACTGGCCTCATTGTTATTGTGTGGAGCATATGTATTTGGTGTCCTCTTGTACCAACGTTTATGTGTTCAAATAAATTAAATAAATAACTGAGCCGATAAATCAAATCATGGGTGATAAGTGTTTTCAGTACTTTACTTATGTTTATTGCTTCACAAGTTCAAATTCAGTTCTGTCTTAAGCGAGCTGTAGGTCATGAGATAGCATTGTAACTCATATACATAAAGACAGTTATGGTTTGTAAATTAATGCATAACTATGTGTGGAGTTGCTGCTTTGTACGTTACTGTCGAAAACTGATCAGTCAAGGAGTATGGCATAAACACACATCGACCTACAAATAGATTTCCACGATATTTAGTACTCATTCACTTCGTCACTGTAACTGATTTGGATTACCTAGAGAACCATAACCAAGATGTTTGCATCTCTCAACATGACTTGATAAAAAAACAATGATTTCACGGACTAACTCCATAACACTGTTCGACAGCTCTTAGTTCTCTTTATAATTACTCATATGTTAGAAACTATTGAAAGAACATACTTAAAATACATCAAAGCTATCCCAGTCGTCAAAATTCCACAGCCTCATCGACCAATTTGTCAAATTTATCCAGTACTTTACATTTAACTTCAACATTACTCACCTCATTATCTATGAAATAGTTTAATTAGATAAAAGTCTTTAACAAAAAAAACTATTTTCACACAAATAATTATATTAACACCATGCTTTATATACTTACATACGTTACACCAACACGAACTTCTCGATTAACTGGACTAGTTCCTTTAATCATATCAGTAGCACTGGTACCTTTTAAAAACCCACCTGGACCTTTCAAAAATCCTGACGACAATAATGACAATGCATCTGTAAGTGGGATAGGTTTACTCCGCGAATTATCTGCAAAGAAAGAAAGACAAACAATAACCATATAAATACTTCATAATTATCAATAATAAAGCTAAAATATGAGCATCACATAGCGATAACAAAAAAAGTAATATGAAAACGGACGGTAATACACAACACTAAATATCAGATAGACATAATTAATACTATCAAGTTACATTTGAAAGTGTTTGTATTGCATTTTACATACGTTTCTTTGAAAAAAATATTTATATCAAAGGCAGAAGTTCAAAAAAGAACTGACGAGTTTGCTTTGAGTCTTGCATGATTTATCGGGTCTACAATGTATGAATTATAGTGCATCATTAAAAAGTATTAATCCAGGATAACTGTAGTGAACACGAACACCAGCTGGGACAATCGAATGTATTTGACACGTTTACAGGACTTGTTAATAAAATCTAACAATCAAATAGTAAATACGTAATCTGAAAAATGTCTATCAGTTGTTTCATAATGACTCAGACTTCATTGTTCTTGCATTTTCATACAAATTGCATTCTGTTCCCATTCTTTACTGTTCGATCCTCTTGTCTCTCTGCTGCCAGACATTCTGTTCACGACTAACATCCTATACTACTTATGTCGATATAAGTAGCAAACACCATATAACAATGCCTGATTTGACAACAATAAATCTATTATAAAAGAATAGTATTATCTGAAAAACTAACCATATTTAATTCGCGGTTATTTCATCGACAAAATTACTACATATACAATTTTACCCCAGTCAATGTTAGAAAGTGGATAAACAAACAAAATAAGCATAGATTAAAACAAACTAAAAAATAAAACATAAAAATAAATTCACCTACACAGTTTATTAATTGTATAGTTTACTAGAACTTGTTCCACTGGTCTACAAACCAATATAGCTATTGTAGGCGTATAACTGTCAATACATACATCCATCAAGTATAGTCAATATGTGGAGTATTACATTAACCTTAATTTTGTAAACTTAGATTTTACCTTTTAAAGTGAGGAGTATTCACCAAGCCTACTGAGATGTACAAATAGATACTATTTCCAGAACCTGTTTTATTACCACGTATCATGAAAAAAAGCAAAACAATTGAAAATATGACGAACACCGTTTGTGAAGTATCTCCACAAGAAAGTGGAATAAATGCATGTATCCAAATATAAGGACTTGACTTGAGGTAAGGAGATTTAAACGTCCTTGGAAGACTAAAACCGACAGTTAGTGGCTTCCTGAACTCGCATTAAATTGAACGACCTTGACTTGTTACCACACTAATTTTAGTTTCATTTAATGCTGGCAACAGTCCCACAAAATATATGTAACCTATGCCTACCTAATTCTAACGGTTATGTGACACACACCTGTAGGTCATAACAAAATGAACTGGTACCCAATACCCCTGCCATTTGGTAAACAGCTAAATAAATCACTATCACCATAGATCAAAAAACATGAAACAAGCGTGATATTGTTAAATTGTCGGAAAACACTAGTATTTGGACAGTTTGATGCGTCCTTTGAATTACTGATAAACATAACATTTTTTTAACCGGTACGAACGACATAAAGTAATCAACTATAAATTTCATCTATGGTCCTATCTACCTGATATATTAAAACAAATTGTGAGGACATCGAATTGCCAAGGAACTAAACATCTGTACGGTTCGACCAAAACATTAAAAATGATTGATTTACACAATATATTCAATTTACTACCAGAAATACTGAGTTTTTATTTATTTAAGTGTTGTGTGCATATGTATGTGTAAAAATATAACTATGTATACATTCGGCCAAGTGACTAGGCAATAGGTCTTAAGCCACGTTTATTACATCAGGATTAAAGGTAGTACCTAGAAACTTAAGGACGTTCTCAATGCAATTGCGTTCCTACTGCATCTCAGTGGATTAAAGTTGGTTCTATAAATAAATGTATTACAACTCTACGAAAAAAATGGTTTTTCGTAAAAGGTTTTTCACCTTTAGGTTAAACCCCAGTAGCATTGAGAAAATGTTCATATTATGAATAGGAAGTTCCATGAAATAACTTTTTTGGACAACTTGGAAGAAAAAACTGGTATGAAATTGTGAAAAAAAAATAATTTCATTAATTTTCTTAACATAAAAAACAGGAAAAACGCTACATAAACAACTTACTAGACGTCCCAACTGTTCCACTGCTGGATGCATCAGATCCTGTATCTGCAACCCTTTTACGCTGAGTTTTTGCTAACAAATGACCCAAAGTACGTGCGGTCTCAAGTCGAGTTGTATAATTGGATCCATCCATACATCGCAAACACAAACTTACAGTAGCTTCTAATGCGTTGGTATGAATTGAATGAGAATGGTCAACCAGGAAGTAAAGACACTAAGGTTAAAGAAATAACAAACTGAATGAGTAAGTAGTACGCAATAGACGGTTTGGAAACTGTAGACGGATATCATGAAAGATGAGAAATGAAGTAAAAATCCATGAGATATTTGAGAGATGAAATTGCAGATATAATATTCAATAACGTTTATCGAAAGTACCACCTGCAACAGTCATAAGATTTACAGAACAAGACTGTTTTCATAAACAGTATTGATTCTGTAATTTACGTTCTTCAGTTTTCCCTTCTGCCCTACTAATATTTACTACAGTTCTTTTTTGCAAGTGATCAACACTCCAAGTGACACGTTTCTGTTACACACTCAATAGCAGTAAGTGACAAAGGTGATAAATTCTGCTGGAAATTTAATGATGCTAGCCAACCATATAATGTTTTTTTATCTTTAAAACTGACTGCTATGCCAGGAAAACATTTACTAAAGAAAAACTATTACAAGTCAAATACTGCCTCTAAAAACGGCACTTACAAGATGAGTTGTACTTTGAAGAACTTGGACTTGTAAAATTATGACATTTATTGTGCTGAAATAAGTCAGATTAATGCATCAACCCTTTAAAGTTTATTGCAAGCTCCAACCATATGCTTAATGAGATGGATGGAAATACTCGTTAATAAAAATTCACGATACATATATAGTTTAAACTTATGACAGTATCGTGCACAAAGTATCTACGTTTAAATACTTTGTACATATTTTCTCACAGCATATAACTAATATATAGTAATAATTCGATATTGTACAAAAAACCACAGTAAAAATATAATAATTTGGACATCTGTGTTGAATACGGAACATACATCAATGGTTGGTTGACTCACTTTCACTGCAGCAACACGCACATAGAGTACTCGATCCGTCATGCAGATTTTCACTGCTTTATATATTTCTTTGTGACACACAATACTGGCTGAACCAACACCTTCAACCAAACTGCACAATGTGTTCATAATTTCACATCGAACTAGTGACTCAGACTGAAGAAAAAAGAAGTTACAAATTAAATTATCTATTCTTCGCAATGAACTAACTGTATATTAGCAAGAATAAAATATGAACTACTTAAGATTTTATCCATAATAAAAGATACTTCGAACAATAGTATAACAAGAAATGTGCAGATTAAGAATTAGGTATTTTTAATTCATTGTTAAGGATTTTAGAAGTCAGCTTTTTATCGCTAATACAAGAAATGAAGTTAACAGTTTCACGACTCGGAAATTTGCTCCATAATCATCAGTAATTCTGAAGGTTTACAATCTAAAAGTGGCAAATTACCCAACAAACCACACATCGGAAACTGTCTGGTAATTAGCAGCGTAGCCCAGATTGTTAGCATACGTTATTCTAATCATTCAGTTGGATGCTGACAATCTTAATAGAATGAACCATATTCATAACCTGGTAAAATGGAATGTAAAGGATGACTCAGATGCCAGGGATGCGAATAGCAAGAAATTAATTATAACTTATGAAGTACTTTTACAGAGCTATGCTTAATATAATAACATCTATGAATACCATTCCCTGGGCGGCCTGCTTGAGCATCTGGGCTACCTGTTCCTGTCATCTAAATATTTCAACAAGTTATCTATTTTTGTTTGTTTTAATATATCATTATGTATATTAATCGCATAACCCATCCTTGTGCATTTCTGAAAAGTTTACAACCTTTCATTGTCAAAGTTACTAAAAGCTCAATAAGAGATAATGTGGTCGCTGGCAATATGCAGAGAAAAGAATATACATTATTCAGATGTTTATTTACTGGACTGCTAACATCTGACTGGCTATCACTCAATATTTATCGTCAGGATCGACCCAGAAGAAACGGAAACTTGTTGGAATACTTTGTGCTGAGAATTCTATATTGTACCGAAAATATAATATTGAATAAAGCTTATAATAATAAATAAAAATAAATAATGTTTATTTAAGATGGTCTTACTAAAATACTGAAGAACTTTGCATACCGTAGGGTGTTTAGATATTACATAAGAAACCGGACAATTGAACTACAGTGTACAAATGATAACAGTCATCACGAATAAATTCGTTGTAAGATGAAAAGTACACAATTTTGAGGTTAGTCTTTATACTCCAGTGGTTAATTTAAATAAATGTAATGAAAAAACCCATCCAAAGTATCTTGCAAAATATTTCTGCCGTCCCAATTTACAGAAGAGAAACAAATGTATGAAAATTAGACAGCAACATCAACAGCATTATAGTGATGGCTAAAGTTGATTTGCAACTAAATTTTTTAATAAGATAACTACCTCTCTAGTTATTGGTTCTTCATAAAAAGAGGACTTAACGGAAAAGTTTCGATTAACAAGTGTGAAGGAACTATTTCCGAAGTCATCAGTTTTAAATAACTCCAACTTTGGGAATAATCGAACATAAGCACTACCAAAGCCTTGCGCTTTGTTGTGGAATGAACTTGTAGCTCTTTTTTAGCTCGGAAAAAATGAATAGTCAGTGTTGATAGTAAAAGATTAACAAAAGATCTTAAGGCTTCAAATGTAGTTTTTGGTCATATGATTTTAGAATGAAACACTGTTTTTGTTAAACTATGCCTAAATTGATGTTTTAAAAGTTAGATTCGAAACTATCAGAGCACTTTTCTCAAAATGCCTGATTTTTATCGCCCACTCTTGTTGCTAATTACTTTAAAGAATATAATAAGGTTAGTTTTAGAACCATTTATCCCATCCAGTCTATTCAAACTCGATAACAAAAAGATGCACATTTTCACTCATTTCCTAAATGTAAACGGATGTACGTGAAGTGTAACCAAGGTTCAACTGCAAGCTCTAAAACTGGCTTACCTTCTAATGATTTCTCTAAATGTAACTAATAATCCCAGAATTTTAGATTTAAATTATTTAGAGATGATGGTTTGAAGTTGTTTTATTCGTAAAACGGAAATTTCTGACAAAATAGAGCAACAAGAAATGCACTAGAGGGATGTAAACAACAGTATTTCGCCCTGCTTGGCTAGGATAGTCTACAAATTCAAGATCCAGTCATCTGATATCTAACAAGAATTCGGAGAACAAAAAGGCTTGTATGGTGAATTAAAAACGTTTCTGGTGCTAATGTGGATTGTGATGACTAAGTATACTAACTGAGTGCTAAGAACCAGACAGGAAAGTTTTCAAATCCAATGACTGAAATCTAGGTGATCAAACAGCTAAACCCCAATACAGAAAGAGAATGTTATGAATCCTGTAGTTACAAACTGAATGAGAACTATACACTTCGGATCTTATCATACAAACGCCTATCCAGTAACAAACAAGTGGCGAATTTCAGAATCTTGGCAGAATTTCTATGTGTGAAATAAAGAAAAAAATAGATTGACAGTATAAATTCTGATATATTGGGACATCAGTGAAAACTAATTAAATGAATTTTTACATTACCTGCTTGATCAACTTCACCATTATGATAACGCTGTCTTCAAAAGACCGACCTATCATACGTCCAAGGCGTTTGTATATGGCTCCGAGGCAGCTTAATGCAGCTAGACGACTATTGATGCAAGCAAGTCCATCATCTCGGGATTTTAGAAGCGCGTTACATGTGTTCACTGCTGTATAAAGCAAAAGCGAGTCTCCCACTAAAAATAGGTTAGCGAAACAACGGCCCAAAAGCTTGTGTGTTGGACGTCCAGGAGCATGCGTCAGGTGAGACAACAGTTGTTGCACAAGATCTTCTTGGCATTCCTTGATAGCCTGTCTATTTTCTGCCACTAATCGTTTTTCCAGTGAACACAGCCAGTCAAATACAAATATTGGTTTTTTAACTTCAGAAATCTTTTCATACGCCTCCTCGTCGAAAAGAAGAGATATACTCATTCTTCTGAATGTTTACAACTACCGCCTTTTTGTTCCGACCCTTCAAGTGACCTTCAAATAGATGCTCAACATCTGTGGTTGAAAATACAGGTGAATTAGTTACGTTAGGACTCCCGAGGTGACCTTCCTGTCGTCTAATTAGTCTTTTAAATATAATTTCAAACTAAGTTCGTTGTGACACTAACTATAATAACACTGTGACTATTCAGCGACCATATTAGACAAATTATTTTCAGCTTTCAGGATTAATTATAGGAGGTCCTTGCAATTTGTAGTACTCAGTACTAGGACCTTCACATGTGAAGATTCAACAGAAGGTCTTGATATTACGCATTCTGTCAGAGAATTCCCGTTATTCACTACACGATGGGACAAACGGTACTTCAGACGTTGAAGATTTGCTCTCGACCTTTGAACTTTTTACAGTGTCCTTTCAGATTATCTGTATTGTATGGAAGGGAAACATAGGACATGTTAATACAAAAATCACTGTTTAAGCTACGCAAAGCTGGCAATAAATAATCCTGTAACTTGTGGTGAGATAACGAAAGTAGACTTAAGTATCTCAGTCTATTCTCATAAGATAGATCAGAAAGGCTTCTCACCATTTTGGTTCCACGCTACTGAACTCATCCACGCATGTCCTTTTCACACTTGAAGTAAGGACTTGACGCTTGAATCCCGAATTCACAACATTTGGATATGAAATCCTAAACATTTCTTCATCCACATAATGAAGTGATTTATGGAATCCACATAGAACTCTGAAGCCATTTGTAGTATCAGCCTTGCAATCAGTCTTAGTTGAAAAGTCCCTGTCAATTGTGACTCATAGTTCTTTATAGTTCATTACTTTAAATAACCTTGTTTTGATTTTTTGTGTAGTGATATGATTCTCTAACACAACATTCGAAATTACTTAGTCATACATTACAGTTAAGTGTAAGATTGCAAATAAACTATGTCTGCAAACGAGACGTTCAGCAAAATTTCGGAGCTTGTTCACCAATCCTATGATATCATAACACTTGAAGATACCATGAATATTCAGAGCTTGACAAATTTTTTGCTTGTAACACCTTTATAATCGAAGTATAACAACCCGGTTAAATCACAAGTCGGAAATTAAGGGGTTCGGACATATATTTAGAAGTCTATAGATATATCGAGGAACGCTTGGTCTGAGCTGGCGAGTAGTTGCAAAGGATGTGTAGCATGGAGTACCCCACTTGTGATCTGGCGCGGATGCGTACCCAAGCGCCTTCAGCATCAATATCAAGGACATACAGAACTACTTATTTTGAGGATTTGCTAACCGTCACAAATGCAAGTTTCCTGCTGTTGTTATCAAACATTAAAGCAAGATTTGTTGAACCACACAGTCCCAAAGTTGTAACTGATTTATGGAGGTATATATGGTGAGGCTACTTAAGTTTATGGCAACTTTTTCTGCCGAATCCACCTACCGCTTTTCATGATAATCTGAAAAGCACAGCAGATTTTGCTTCACTGAACTGAGTAAAATGTGCCTTGCTGGATTTTGAAAACCTAAATTCTGACAGAAATTGGTAACTAACAGAAAACGTCAAGGTGTGCCACAGTTGTGTCAGAAATGCCTTCGTGACTTTTAGTACGTGATCCTATGCAGCACACGCCTACAAAAGTTCTGGACGTACCATTATATTTCCTTAGACTCCTACGGTTTTCAGTTCAGTGACTAAGAGTCAGAATACTTGACTTACGCAGTAAATCAGAATGTTTGGTAAATGACCATAGCTCATTCCACCCTCTACGTCTACAGCAAAATTTAAATCTGATCTTTTCGGGTAAAACCTACTTGAGATTCCATACAAAAATCGTTTCAGGTTCATTTGTTATCGCGGTGACCCAAGGATAAGTGAATAATCGACTAAGACCATGTCACTGTTGAAGTGTTAAAAATTAGACGATGGTTTCTGGATATATCATTTAAACGTTGTTCGGCTGTATGCAGTGTGAATGATAAGGCATGGACAGCGGTCCGCTGATTTAATCTGCTAAATCGTGGAACCTGCAGAAAATAACTCCAAGAGAAGTCCAAACAGCCATAAACCAACAAATATGTAAGTAGTGATTAGTTCAATGGTTATCAATCTTAAAAAGGAAACGTAGTATCTTGCGATAACGATATATAGGACACAATTAATGCGGCTTTTGATGGAGCTTTGTTCTCTGAGCTCGATTGTCTGGTTGTGGAGCTTACATCGTTCTTCTGTATGACATCATTAGCACAAACATCAGGTAGACCTGAAGTGTTTGCGTTTCTCCACATGCGTTCACAGCTTGTCCTGTAGACCACGATGGTGACTGGTTCTTGTTGATCTTAAACCTGTCATTGTTTACTTCTTTATCTTGGTTGTATCTCCCATTGGTTAGATTTTTGTTCCTATGTTTGTCCATAATTTTTCTGATATAAGTGAAAACATGTCAGAGCGTCTGACGTTCATGCAGGCGAAGATGAAGAGGGCGTTCGCTTTGTCCGATATAGTTTTTTTGCGGTTGGCACAATTTATTTTGGGTTGTCTTCTTTCGTCATCTCATCCTTTGTTTTGCATAGGATTGATTGTAGTGATTTTGTTGATTTGTGTGTAAGACCTATTCCGAAGGTTTTTAGAAGTCTAGTTGTAGTTCCTGATATGCCTTTTATGTATAGTACAGTGATCCTTTTGTTGATTTTTGCACTAAAACAGTCATTCACGGTACCTAGGGAACTAAAGTAGACATTCAGCTCTCTTTTAAATAATTGTTTATGAGGTGCCGTTATTATCTATTTTAGTGAAGAGATGCACAGTTAAACGTGTAGAATTATGGTCTACTATGATGTTAGTACTGCTCTAATAATAGGCCAAATCCTAAATTTGTAGATTTGTCATGATATAACTGTCTAATCTATAAGATCTTACGTGGAAGTCACACCATCGACTACACCAACTCACTGTATCGTATCAATTACCAATACATGATGTAGAACAAGGTTAGGCTAGAGGAAGAACAATATATTTAATATGAATGGAAGATATAAGGTAACATTCGGCAGAGACCACGCCTGCATGGCCGAGCCATGCCACTCGATCAACTCCAGTCAATTCAATTTATTGTTCGCGCCTTCTCCATTGTTAGATATTTCTCCGCATTAAATATTGAATATCTATTTTCTGAGTAGTCTCGTGTTCACAGCTTTGTGGATTGTGTGGCTATTGTCCAATGCCACCACAAACGAATCTGACCAAAAGTAGTTTACGTGGATCTTCTTGGAAGCATGTTTGTTTTCCATCCGAAATGGAAGTCCTCTTAGGTGTACTTTTATACTGAAATGAAATGGTGATCTGCCATGATGAAAGGGATTATGATTGATTAGACATATCAAGATCATATGACTCCTTATCATTCTATACTGCAAATGTTGCGAATTGAGAGCTTCTAGACTGCTTTCGTTGGGTTTATATCTTTTTGGTTGATTTTTTGTAAAGATGCTTAAAGAAAGCGTTATCAGTATTATGTTGGGAGACCAAAGCGAAGACAACGAAACGTAGAAATCATACCAGAAAACCAATGCATTAACATCGTAAACTGCGTAAGTGATAGATAACTTGTTAAAAGCAATAACATTAATTAAATGAATCAACCCAAGACTAAATATAGCACTCATAATTGCTCATATGGATAAAAAAATAGTGCATATCCAGTCGTTACGGCACATACGTGGCTGGTTGCTAGGACGAAAAAGCAGAATATGTGAAAAAACTCCACTCTTCTATGTTTATGGATTCCAGAAGACCTTAACATTGAAGGTTTGTTACAAGTTTATGGTCATGCCTCTGGTAAAGGACAGTATTTTGATAGATTTGGGATTACATTCAATAAATTTCATTCCGGTTAGGGAATTGACTTAGTTTCGCCCACCCCAAAATATGGAAATTTTTGTACGTCGATTTAACTTGGGTATTTCCCTAAGCTTTTCTATATCGTTTGTGTTAAGATCTGAGTATGACCTCGTTTGAGAGTTTAAAGTGCTAGGTAAATCTTTAACAAATAATAAGTGAAGGAGTAGTTCAAAGATTAGGCCTTTTGTCTTTGATGAGTAACCACATAGAGTTAACTATGAGCACCCCTTGAATAATAATAATAAAGGAATTTCATCATAAACACACCACTGCCCTTCAGAACCGATTTCTAGAAAAAAATTCAATAATCTACCTTGTCAAACGACTCGAATAGGTCTTGGGATACTAAATGAGCAGTATATTCATAGGTCAACGAAAGAATTTCGATATGTTAGACAGTCCATGGATTTGTGTTATGTGGTTTACCTTAGAGAGAAAACCAGTTTGCGAATGAGAAACAAGTTACTTAGCAGATAGTTTCAGAAGTGTTCATTTATGACTGTTTACATGACAAAAATCTCCTCCTGGAGCCCTTCTGAGGTTACTGCCGGTCCCAAGCCCGGGTAAAGAAGCAGGGTTGGATGTAGGGTTAGTATGATAATTAGAAGTATTTGAATTATAATTTGAACTAAGAATTCCAGAAATAACGTAATCGGATCAAGAAGTACTAGACAATAACAAACGAATGTACTGTATTTATAATTCGAAATCAAGCATTCAACAAGTACAAAGGAATCATTAGTTCATTCAAACGCCAAAGTTAGCGTCCCCATCCCGTGGAAAACTAACTCGCTAAAAAACGCTAACCAGAAAAAATTATTCAAACCTTTTAAACTCTGCCCTGGGAGTCAGAAGGTCTTCATTTAGAAGAATTATGACGCCTCATGATGAAAGCCGGATTTCTTCGGAAGTTACGAGGCCGATGCCCCTTCTGACAACCAGAGCGATCATTTATTTAGGTACATGGAATGTTCGTACAATGTGGGACACCGGGAGAGCCTTCCAAATCGCTGCAGAAATGAGAAGTTACAACGTAGAGGTGCTTGGGATCAGTGAAACACATTGGACGCAAGTTGGACAACAACGACTAACTTCAGGAGAGCTTCTGTTATACTCCGGCCATGA